TGTATGAGGGTGTCGTGGCCCCAAATCCTTCTCATGAGCCTCCAATACTCGTCGTTTCAAAGTCTCAGCTTCTTCGAATTTCCCTCGGCGCTCTAGCACAGTAGACAAATTGCCTATGCTGATCTGCGTATCTGGGTGCTGTACACCTAGCTCTTTCTCCCTTCCTTCTAGCGCTTTCCGGTGAAGCTTCTCTGCCTCCGAGTACTTCCCCTGATAGCTCAGCACCAACGCTAGAAGGTTAACACTATCTAGTGTTAATCGATCATCTTCTCCATACACTCTTTCTCTAGCCTTAAGTGCCTTTGCTGCTATGTCTTGTCCTGTCTTATACCTCCCTATCATCCACATATACCACGCAGCATTTGTAAGAATCTGAGCCCAGTCCTTTACGGACTCGTCAGTCACCGGCTCAGCGTTATACAACGATTCAACGTGCGGAAGCAGTTGCTGGCACTTCGCCCAGTTCTTAAACTCGCCGGTAGGCAGCTCTCGTGCCATTAATTGTACGAATTGTTGCTTCCACCACTCCGCATCGCTAAACGACGACAGCCAGACTTGTGTGCAGAACTGTACCAGGGCGTGCATCTCACACGCGTCAGTCTCGGGTGTCACAGCAACAAGGGAGTAAGCTTGTAAGGTATCAAAGTCTTCGTCGAATTTATTGTTAGCCTCGTCCTCGCAGCCTGATTTTGCCACTATCCTACTGGCTGTCCTATTATGCCTTCGAAGTATTGACTCTGGAATTCCTTGCGGGTTAAAGAAGCTCATAAGCGACAGCAAGTCTGTAGCAGAAGGCCTTTCTTCACGAATACGCTCAAACGACATCTGCCACGTCGTTACTACCGAGTTAGATGCACTGTCGTCCCTACGGATATCGCCTGTATCCCAATTTAGGAGATTTTCTCTCTTGTTGTTGTTTCTACGAAACTCGTCGAGGTACTTAGAGATCGTCATTCGAGCTCGCCGGTTGATGTATGCAGCGGCCTGGGTGATTGCAAGAGGGATATAATCGAGAGCACATAGCAGATCAATTGCGTCGTCGGTTAACGCGTCCTGCAGCTTGTTCCGGAGGAGCTGTAGGCCTTGGGTCTCGTTAATTGCCCGTACCTCCTTGATATTCTTGTAGCCTCCTGCTAGTCTGGCTGCTGCATCCTTGTTCCTAGAAGTGATCAGGATCGATCCGTTCCGGCTTTGCGGGAGGTAAGCCGCCAGCGATGCCGGCGGGCTTCTCGACGGCTCGTCTTTCTTACCGTCTCGCGACGGGAAGAAGGTCTCGAGGTTATCGACGTTGTCCAGGATCATCGTCCATTGGCCGTTTGTCTCCTCGCACAGCCAGTTGCGGACCAGCCGTAAAATGTCGGCCTTCGGATTCTCTCGCCCTGGAAGCTCCAGCCGGTCTGCAATGTCTCTGTACGCTTCTTCGAACCGGGCCTTAGTGCTGGCGTGCACCCAGTAGACGGACGTTTGCGGCGATGTATCGCGGATCTCGTGGCAGTATCGGATGGCTATTTGCGACTTTCTACCAGCTGTTAGCCTGCTAACGCAATAAGCGGACATTGACATACCCTACGCCGCCTAGACCGACGAGCGCGGCGCGAGCGCCCGATCTTGCACACTTGTCGTGGATCCACGCTAGAGTATCAGGCCGGTCGACGAAGTCTGGGTCTGGGGCGAACGGGACGGCGGAGAAAGGCTTGCGTTTTCGGCTCGGCTCGTCTGTGCGCTGGTTTAAGCATAGATAATAGATATTAGACAGTCATGAACCCCATGGTGCGCTCACTTGAAATAATGAAGTTCGTCGTCCCGCCAGCCGCAGTGGTCGTCCCGGCAATGACGGTGTCACCATGAATGCCACCAGTAAATTCACTCGTTTGCTGCATGCTTTGACTCGGATGACTCAGATACGAGGCAGGCGAGGTGCTTCTTATGGACATCTATTCGCACTCAAAGTAGCAGTTAAGGAGGGACCGGACGCCCACAGTACTACGTATGGCGCCTCGCCGTTTTATCATTTATCAGTCCAGTCTTCGGAGCTCATCAAAGTTGAGGCTGTGCCGGAATATTATCGGCCCGATACCAGTCGTTACAGCGCTCTCCAGTCTCCAATCGAGTTTATAGTCCATGCGTGCACCATGAAGCCGCACAGCGCACCCGCACTCCGCAGGCCCGCAGCCCGTAGGCCGTAGCCCGCTCCCCGCTGGCCGCTAGCCGCTAGAGTCTCGGAGTGAAAGGCCCCACATGCTTTGGGGCGGAGTTGACTCCGTCGAACATAGCTTCCGATGGAGAGCATGATTGCATTTTGTCCTCTACCTTCTTTCCAACTCAGCAATTTACGAAGTTGCAAGCTGTCTCGACCGGTTTCATTCAATATATGGAGTTCTTGAAGCGGTTGAAGGGCAAAGGAGGTGCCCAGGCTGCTCTTGCTGAACCCCCAACAGATGAGCTATTCTCAACGGTTGGAGAATATGGCCTTCAAACGTTATCCGAGAACGCTGATGATATTATCGAGTAAGCGATCTAGCATACCTCATTAACTCCGCCAACCAGCAAAACCAGCATCGTTTTCGTCCACGGTTTAACCGGCAATCGCGAATCGACTTGGACCGACAGGACCGCCAACGTGTTCTGGCCAAAGGATCTACTCGCAAAAGATCTCCCAAAGGCGCGAGTCATCACGTTTGGGTACGATGCCGATATCGTTCGAGGATTGAGCACGGCCGGAAACGGCACACTGAGAGACCATGGGAAAGCTTTAGCTGAGGATCTGGCTATGCGGAGGAAAAGGACAGATTCTGTAAGACTCGTTGCGGCGCAAATTAAACCAATAGCTCTAGCAACGCAAGAGTGTCGTCCCGGCACACATACCCGTCATTTACGATCTTTGAATGTGATGCATGTCGAAAGAGCTGAAAAGAGCTGAAAAGAGCTGTCGCCGAAGTAGCCGATATATATCGTTGGAAGGCCGTTAGCAAACACTGACTCAAGTAACAGAACCTTCGCCCCCTGATCTTCGTTGCGCACAGCCTTGGTGGATTGGTTGCTGAGCAGGCGAGTCACCCTCCAAGATATTCACCAGCCGCCAGTTCATTAATACCCCAGTGCAGGCACTTCTTGTCTCACGCGGCTCGGCTGAACAGCATGCTAAGGACTTGCTTGAAAGCACCGTAGCGATTGCGTTCATGGGTACTCCACACCTCGGGTCGAATCTTGCAAATTGGGGGCATCCAATCTCGAAACTTTCAAATCTGCTGCGCAAAACCAACTCCGAGATTGTAGGAGTCTTGCAGCCAGGCTCTGAGATGCTCGCCGCGGTCCAACAAGAGTTCCATACCATGCTTGACGACCGAAGCAGAAACGACAGCAAATATATCAATATCTTTTGCTTTTATGAGGAAGTCGGATACCCTGGGCTCGGCGAGGTATGCCACTCCTCCAATATCTTCTGCAACCGAATTCTAGTCCTAAGCTCTTGCAGATAGTACCAAAGCAATCAGCGATCCTCACGGCGTATCCAAACAATGGCATCCATGCAACCCACACAGGGATGACAAAGTTCAAGACTTCTATGGACGCCGGCTATGTGCGAGTACATGATCGGCTTTGGCTCTGGTATAATACGGTTGAAGAGAGTCAAGATTCATGGAAGGAAAAGAAGGATGCCGCGAAAAGGCAACACCAGCAGCTTCTTCAACCTGCTAGCGTCAATGAGAGCGGTCGCGGAGAGGCTGCGAACATCGGGTCTGTTTTTAACGGTCCCGTTTCTGCCCACACGATGATTTCTGGAACTCAAGTCACTGGCGGAACGGCTAATTTTGATCTCCGTGGATGAACAGGGTGCGGCCAGTAGTAGGTGGTAACTTCCATGATTCTTCTATATATTTTTCAATCATGCAAGTAGTGATTATGGCACCTCATGTACGCGACGACCTCGGCGCTGGCTTGGCGATTAAAGGCAGCATGGCTCACCAGGCACGACCAGATCAAGCTACAGATGGCTCAGTTTCAGGTTCATGCGCGACACGCCAAAGCATAGAGAGACCCTGTTGGCACTAAGTTTGGATTGTTGTCTCGCTACGGAGTACGCGCGTGACATTCGGGAAGCTACCTTCCTCGCCCATCGGTTTTGGCTGATATGTTAACGGACTGTCTTTCCCAACCGCTGCTGTCGTGGGGTGCAACCACGATGGCGAGCCCTTTTCTTTACCAAGTCCTCATTCCTTCTGGCGCCCTCGGCCGGTCCGATCTCGATACCCTGCAGGCGTACTCTCTCATAACAGCGACGGCGGAGAAGCTTCACCGGCGAGCGCTGGAAGGGAGGGAGAAGGAGCTTGGAATGGACCATCCTGATACACTAACTTCCGTCTACTGCCTTGCCTATCTTTTACACAAGCGCAGCCGATATAAGGAGGCGTCCGAGCTCTACCAGAGAGCATCCAACGGCTACAAGCAGAAGCTCGGTTCTCAGCACCCGACAACTATTGCGTGTCTGAATCACTTTACAGCTATGCAACAAGAGGCAAAGGAGAAAAGACAAGGACCAAGCAGGACAGCAGTTGACAATGATAATGAGGAGCTTAGAGAGATACCCACCGAGGGTGCTAGTACTCTGCGTAGCAGCGAGGCTATGCCTGAGCAAGCCAGCAGCGGCTTGAAGAGCAAAAGAGGCTCATTTTACATGCGCTTTAAAGGGAGGATGCATAGAAAAGATCTATAGAATAGAGATATGACTCTGTTCTATTACTGATATAGTTTCCTAAGTGACATGCTGTACTGTGAAGAATAAATCATGATTTGATGGATCTAAGGCATCAATTGTTCACAGATGACGGTTGTCTTGCACTGACTGTGCCATGATTTGCGACATCTTCATTTCTACTCATTCATGTTAATAATAATGATTAAAAGTCAGGTCTTCTTTGAGTTGCGAAACTGTTTGGACCTTGTACTGCCCATCCATTAGGTTTGGGGTTTGGGTAGTTGGCCTCAACTATTGGCTACTGGCGATTTGAAGCTTGACAAGATGTTTCTGGAAGCGCTTCGCCGCAGCCACGCGACACGGACGGGGATCTCCAATGCTCAACGATTGGTTCGGCTTCAGTTCGCCTTCTCCTCCCTGCCATCACGTATCGACCATTCAAGTAGGAGATCTGTGAAACATTGAGACGGATCTGGTGACCACTCTCGGTTGGACAGTGTTGCAGCCATCCCGGTGATTGAACGGATGACAACTATTGTGACAATGGGGTTTAGGCACTTAGTAGGCGTTCAATATTAGGCCGAATACGATGCACAGGAGATAGACATGATAATTCTTAGTTAGAACTTAGAAGGCCGAACTTAGAACACTCCAGGTCGATGAATTTCTACATAGTAAAACACAGCATCAACTGAAGGATGACGTCGATAGTGGCGGCATCAAAACAGGGAACGAACTAGAAAGGCTCTGCTGCAAATCGACTGTGGCGCCGGCGGCGGCTTCCCCAGACCCCGGCTACAAAACCGTCGTCTACCCAACGTCGAATTCATTCAAATCTTTGGGCGACTTCTCGACAACGAATCTGCAGCTGTGCTTTCGCCACCTCCAAGTCGTCCCCTTGCGATGTCGTGAACCACGCGCCCACCAGCTTCGAGATACCAGCAACAGCCCATCGAGGCCTTCGCTTCGACAGCGGCTGTCGCTGGGGTTGCTCGGAGGTGGTGGTGCGTTTGGGGAAGACTCAGTTCCTGCTGCGGGTTGCTAAAACTCGCGCAGGAGGATAAATACCGTCGCAAGACACGGCGGGTCGAACGCTCGAGGCCAACCACTGCGACTTCAAACGATCAATCAAGACATGAAGTCGCAAGCTCGATCGCTTTGACTCGGCCGTTCAAGTCCTGTCTGGTGGAACAAGGAAAACGACTGGATGCCAGTCACTTGTTGCATCTCCGCCAGGCGCCTATTGTGGGGAGCACCCTGCGGCTCCTAGAGCCTCATCGTGTACCCAGAATAGAGCCGTGGTTTGACTGGTGGTCCCTTGAAACGGTTCTGCCATGGCGACCTCTTTGTTTCAGTGGCCGTCGCGAGGCCGCTGACTTGGTCGTGTCTTTATTTGGTATGTCAGTCCTTTTATTGTCTTGTCAACGCCCTTCACTTCACTTTGAGTCTCTCTATTGTCCTCGCCCTCCCACTTCTCAATTGCATATGCATGTGTGAACGAGTTTCTTTTGTTCTTTAAGTCGAGTCTCATTCACGTGTCTATTCATGAACAATAACTTGTGCTTGTTAATACATCCTGTTAATTCCTGACTGGCCTGGTGTCCTATTGTTCCATCTCTAGGTGTTCTTTGGTGAACACTTTTGGCAATTGAGAGACCATATACAAGATTCATCACACACACACCACTTCCACACTTTGCAAAACCTCTGACTCTTTCTTCTTCCTTTCCCTTTTCACTTTCCGTTACTGCTTCCCTCTTAATACACAACTGCCGCCGGCGGCCTGCTAAGACTATTTTCTGCAAGCAGAACCTCATTTCTTTGCGATCCCTCAACCATGTCTTCCGCCGAGAAGAACCAACAGCAAACCTTTCCGGCCATACCTCCATCTCTCTCCGCTGGCGATCATGAGATGCGAGACTACTACGCCCCACAAGATGCGCCACGACCGACTCCGAACCAAACACCATACCTCACCCCATATCTGGGCCTGCAAGCAAGGCTTTCTCAGGTCTGGATCAACCGATGGACTATCCTACTAATCCTCGTTCTCATTCGCACCCTCCTCGCGATCGGATCTATCGACGATGGGCTTGACTCTGCCCGTCGCCAAGCACTCTCTGCATGCACAAGCGTGGAGACCGTCGGCAGCTCCATGGCTTCGATGCCCCATTACATGTCGAAAGGAGTCAACAAAATGACTGCAAGCGGCATCGAAAAATCCGTGAATGCCCTCATGTCCATGGTCACGATGACCGTCACCGGTGTTGAAGAACTTGTCGTGTTCGTCATCGGCATGCTGACCAACACCTACCTCTGCCTTATCACCCTAGTTGTAACTGGCAGCCTGCGTGCCGCTACCGCACTGATCAAGGAGGTCCAGGAATTTATGAACGAGAGCCTAGGAAAATTAGGTGATAGCTTGTCCGATGCTACCCAGGGTTTTGAGGATCTCCTGAACGGGTTCCTCAGCAAAATCCAGGGCATTCCGCTCATTGGAAATACCGTAACAGAAAAGCCTGAACTCAATCTGGACCAGCAAATCGCCGATGTGCGGAATCTCAAACTACCGGGAGATCTCACCAATGAACTCGACCGGCTGAACGCCGCGATTCCCACGTTTGACGATGTCAAGAACTTCACCGAAACTGCGATTCGATTCCCGTTCGAACAGCTCAAAAAAGTCATCAAGGACAACATGGGTACCTACGCCTTCGATGGTTCCTTGTTGCCGGTCGCAGCCAAAGAAAAACTGAGCTTCTGTACTGACAACAACGACATCAACGACTTCTTCGACGGCCTTGTGCGGATCGAATCCATTGCTAAGAAGGTCTTCCTTGGAGTACTCATCACTGCTGCAATCCTTGCCTGCGTTCCGATGGCATGGCGAGAAATCCAGAAGTGGAGACAAATGAAAGAGCGGGCCGAACGACTACAAAAAGAAGCAGTTGACCCCATGGATGCTGTGTACATGGCATCTCGACCCTACACTTCTCAGTTTGGCCTATGGCTAGCAAGCAAGACAAGCTCTCGCCGCCATCAGACCCTAGTCCGCTGGTGTGTTGCCTACCCAACCACGACTCCAGCACTCTTTGTCCTTTCTCTCGGTCTTGCAGGCCTGTTCGCTTGCTTGTGCCAATACATCCTCCTCAAATCTCTCGAGAGACAGGTTCCCGGCCTAACTGCTCAAGTTGGCGCCTTCACAAATAAAGTGGTCGGCTCGTTGAACAACGCGTCCCTACAATGGTCTGTTGGCACCAACGCGGCGATCCGGAACGAGAGCGATCATCTCAACCAAGAGCTTTTTGGGTGGGTGAAGACCTCCACGGATGCAGTCAACGACACTCTGAATGTCTTTATCGACAAGACTATCGGCGCGCTCAACGATACATTTGGCGGCACGATCCTTTTCGACCCGGTCAAGGAAGTATTCAACTGCCTGATCGGACTCAAAGTTCAAGGCGTTCAGCAAGGTCTTACCTGGGTCCACGACAATGCGCACATCAACTTCCCACAGCTTGCTAACGATACGTTCTCTCTTGGAGCTCTCGCTTCGGTCTCTGACTCCAAAGACGACGACCAGCTCCTCGCCAATCCTGGCAGCGGGCACGACGATATTTCTGCGGCTGTCTTCCGCGTCACCGACAAACTTGCATCTGCCATCCGACAAGAAGCCATCATCTCGACTATGATACTCCTCGTGTGGGTCCTCATCGTCCTCATCGGTACCATCCGCACCGTCATCCTCGTCGTCCGCCACGACAAAATGCGAGGAGAGGGTGGCCAAACTTATCCAGGATGGTCCGGCGTCACCGATGGGACTCGCGCTAAACAACCTGGCGCGGCATACACGTCCGACGACACCCCCGCTCCACCCACCTACACTCGAGATCTCAAGGACGTCGGCGTTAACCCCTATGCTCCATACACATTGGAGTCCCGCGAATTCCCGCGCCACCCGAACGATAGCCCGTACACCTCCGATAATACGTCCGAGACGCGCAACACGCGCGCAATATTCGACACCATCGGCGAGAAATTTCTACGGGTCCCGGTCGGGCGTGGGACGACGTCGCGGAGCTTGACACGGAAAAGCGTGCAGGGAGAGCGAGAAGGATGGGTGTGATGAACGACCACGTTCAGATTTTGCTTTCAATAGGATAGTTCCACAAACATTATGCGGTTGATTTTGATTTTTTGCCTTTCCCTGCGATATATACCCCACAGATCTGCGCGTCATTTCAAGTCGAGCTTGCATATGCCTGATATCTGGGTTGCTGAGGTTTTCATTTTGCTGAGAACGGCCGTGGGATTGACGGCTCCGGCCTCTTCCACGCCGTATGGTCCCTTTGCGTTTTCGGAGGCTTATTGCGTTATGTTGCTGCATCTTGCGCGTTGTGCGTTGGACGCGTTTCCCATTTCCGCGGGCTCGCTCTGGAGCACGGCGACCCGGCCCACCTTTCTCCTCGGACGCGTCGCCCCAACCCCCCCTCTCCAAAGCCTGCCCCAGAAATCCTGAGACCCCTCCGCGGTATGTCTACGGTACTCCTCGCCCTTTCCATCCCGCGACCTACCGCACTGACCCTCGCCCTCCCGTCGACCCATCCTTTCCTGTTTCCCTTTCCGCGTGAGCATCTCCGCGGAAACTGGACAACCGCAACGGATGCGCGTCCAGGAGGCGTCGCGTCGGTGCGCTCGCCGGACTTATTGGGTGTGATCGCTCGCTCCACCGTCCATAACCTTGCCTCCAGCACTGCTCACCTGCGATTGTATCTTCGGACCCTGGCGCGGCGGTGCGAACGGAGGGCTCGGCGGATGGTGTTTTTCCGAGTTTGATAACAAGCGTACGAGGAAGATGAGCTGTGTATAGTTGATGCAAGGCGTCCCCGTCCCTAGGATTGGGGGTTGGCTCATCTGTTATTTTCTTTGAAGATATGCTCGGTGGTGTGGTCTAGCGTTGCAGATGCGACGAGCTGCACTGTGCCGACGGATTTTTTTTCTTGTACATACATGGATGTGATCCTTGACTTTGGGAGGATGGTTCGATTTAGTCAAGCACTATTATCATGCTCCAGATTGTCGATTTGTCGGAAGGGGAAGAAGGGGCTCCTTAACTTGACAAGCTACATATACTGAGCAATAGAAAGCTTCTTCCCAAACTAAATTTTGCCTATTATGCAGTGCTGGTGGTTTTCCGGAGAATGTCCTGTCAACTAATCGACAACTTAATAGCTCCAATCGAATATCCCCGACCTGAGAACCAGGAACTCAGCGCATTATGAAAAATTCGTTAGTTTTTGCAGGAGGTCTTTGTCCCTTTACCCAAATTCTAGATAAGCGCCCGTATTGTTGTTGTAGTGAAGTCGGTGATTACAATTCAGTTGAATCAATGAGAGGGAGGTCACGCAAGCAAGGGGACTTAGCCGCGTAGAGGATAGTGCCTTGAATAAACCGTATTGAGGGACATTCTAGTAGAATCACGGCCAAGGCTTCCTCAGTTAACGTCTAGATCTCTTTGAAGATTGACACCAACTTGACCCGAAAGTCGATGAACTGGACGATATCGCTCCCCAAGGGCGAATCGTGGAGGTAGTCACCGGGCGTACGGAGTATTGTACAACCACACCTCGTCAATAAACATTATTATGATCAACACGATTGCGCCACCCGGCCGTTACTGCCTTGAACTCCCTTGCTCCCGCTGAGCGTATGCAAGAAGTCAAGAACGCAGACGAGAGTCTACCATTGGTTGGGATGGGGCTTCATTGCCACTACGGCGGTTTAAGGTATGTACGTTGGCTATGCTTGGGTACAAGAGGACAAGCAGGTCTCTGTAGTGGTTCATTGCCATACGGTGGTTCAGATGATCAATTCCAGAGGTTTAGTCTGCAATTGTTGGAGAAGAATGTGGGGTTGGGAATGAAAAGGAGAAGATCGCCATGGATGCGACGTCAGTCGATCTTCCACGCGTCACTATTGGTCTCTCCGGGCAACCGGGCAGTGACTCATACAACCTCATGGTTGACTTCATCCTTCTTCCAGAGGCGGGCGGTGCCAAAGCATAGAAGACGAAGCACTCCATCGGTCGTATGTATCCAGGTTTCTGGTTTTTGATATCTCGGAAAATACTATATTTATCCGCATCCTTGGCCATTCCGCCAATGACTACGAGGCTCAAACCCCAGTATCGGTATCGTATCATCGGACCGACCCCTTTGCGTCGAAGTGCATGCCATTCAGGATATTAAGGAATGCTTTTACGAGCCAAATGTCGTGTTACTGCCTGTTAAATGCCGTGGGTTCTTTCCGATACCAAAGGAGATACTGGCTGTTGACCGATCAACCTCATATTGTTGATCGTTCCCCAACACGAAGTGATCGCCCCCAGGCTGAGCATTCTTTCTCTGCCTTACCGGGATCAAACACGAGTTCACATCGTATAGTACCACAAATCCACAGTTAAGTGTTTCAATGTCATCGAAGAATTTGGGGAACTGGAATGGATTAAAGATCAAAATAGAATCATTTTGAGAAATTCGATCGTCTTTAAAATTTTAGCGTCCGAGTTGTGGGCCTATCTGAAATGATATCGGTGGCTCGATAGCAGTATAAAGACTCGCCTTGGTTTGACCATTTGACAATAGAAAGTCTTCAGTAGATCAAGTCAATACAATCTTATCATCGTCAGGTCGTCAGTTTTCTATCTATCACAATGCGGTCCATGTCAGTCACTCGTGTTGCCGTGGTGCTCCTTGGTACCCTTTCGTCTCTCCTTCCTCTGGCCATCGCCAACCCTGTCCTTGCGCCTCGAGCCTCAGTGCCTGGCCCTCCTAAGGACCCACCGCTCCCATCGGGTGACGGGTCCGGCGAATATAACACCATATGGCTCTGCGGTCCAAACGATTACAAAGTTAGAGCGCTCCTTGAAGGCGGAGTGCTAGCGTTCGCCGCGAAAGGCTGGGTATGGTCTCCGAGACCCTATTCTTAGGCTCCTTACTAACGATATGAACAGTGCCAAGCGTCTCGAGCCATGAACCATTATCTTCTTGACAACGGCAAGGACCTAAACGAGAACGTTGCAAACATGATGGAAGACACCCCCGCGTTCAAGAAAGCCGTCCATGCTCTTGCTGAGAAGGAGGCGAAGGACGCCGTCGATTTCATCGGCCCCTGGGTGACCAAGACGTTCAACAGCGGTTGGAAGGTCTGGCACGCGTGGAACAAAGAGAAGAACGAAGCCCATAACCTGGACTGGTACTACGCGCTGGGCGAATACAGCTACGCGGTCACCGGCGTCCTCACCAACGGAGGCACCGGAAAAGTCAAGCTGGAATGGAAAGCGCACATCTTCGACCGATACAACTGGGATAACTCCGGCAAGAAGCAGTCATTCGGTCCCATCTCGGTGACCCATAAGGAGATCGGTCACTTGCATAAATGCGGCGGCGCGCGAGAATATGTGGTCCGAGGATCGAGCAAGGAACAGGTGGTGAATAACTACAATTCGAAGAAGCCACTCCCGGCTGTGGACACGAGTGGCTCGTCATCGTGCTGGTGGCAGCCAGCAAAGGAATGAAACATTACGTCTCCAGAATTTAGGATACGAACTTGATGTTGGACGAATCTTTTCTCGCATTATTAAACGGCATGTATGATCTGACGGAATTAGGTATCAACATGAACGGTCTTGTTGCATATTTCGATGTCTTTGGTGGTGGGAACGTCGGGTTTTGCTGAGCCATTATAGTGTGCTCTTCGTTCTGCTATCCTGAGGAGAACCATGTGGATATATACCGTCCACGGGCCACCATGGCTCCTCGTCTTAGTAGATATAATCGTAGTACTTAGCCCAAGTAAGACACCATCAAATATAACATGACAGGCAGATACACTGAGGTGAACAACTGAAGCATTGGGTGAAAGTTGAGGAGTTGATATTGTCGACTGGTATGTATATAAATTACACTAAAGAGTAATACGAGCCATTAATACAGCCGGCTAGACCATTAATGTGAACCTGGCTCGCCTGGCCCACTTTAATTTTCGACGAGGTTCGCCATCACAGAATGAAGATTCGATCTCAACCCATGCCTGATGATTGACCTTTTCCCACATTCAATTTAACCATGGCCGAAGAGGAGGGACAAGAACATGGCGCGCTGCGTCTAGGAAAGCCTACGAAATCACCCACCGCGCTCCTGAGCCCCCAGGAGATTGCGAGGAAGAAGCAGGTTGCGGAAGCTCAGCTCAAATATGGCAGAGGCAAAGCGGTGCAAACTCGCAATATCCGAGACAAGAAACTGCGGTCGAACCTCCGAGCGCTCGAGAAGAAGTACCGCGACGCTGCGGTCCGAGCGAAAGATGCCGAAATTCTCTTGGAGAACAACTCGGGGGTCCTGGAACCCGAAACCGAATTGGAGAGGACGTACAAAGTCCGCCAGGATGACATTCGAGAGAGTGTTGCAGAAGAAACGGCACGAAAGGGATTTGAACTCCGGTTAGAAGAACTTGGCCCGTACAAGGCCGAGTACACAAGAAATGGCAGGCATCTATTACTTGCTGGGCGCAAAGGGCATATTGCGACCATGGACTGGAGAGACGGAAAGCTAGGCTGTGAACTGCATCTCAATGAGACAGTGAGGGATGCTAAATGGCTGCATAACAATCAGTTCTTTGCAGTGGCGCAAAAGAAATACGTCCACATCTACGATTCGGCTGGTGTGGAGCTGCATAAACTGCAGAAACATATCGAAGTGACGAATATGGAGTTTCTACCCTACCATTTCTTGCTAGCGACAATAGTGAGTACCCGAGCCGATCTATGTGAGGATCTCTTGCTGACGACAGATGCAGGGAAATGCAGGATACCTCAAATATCAGGACACATCAACCGGCCAACTTGTCGCCGAGCACGCCACGAAGCAAGGCTCACCTACCGCCTTTGCGCAAAACCCTCACAATGCGGTCATACATGTCGGACACCAGAACGGGCAGGTCAGTCTCTGGTCCCCGAACTCCAGCACACCTCTCGTGAAGCTTTTGGCGCATCGTGGTCCTGTACGGGATATGGCTATTGATCGGGAAGGGCGATACATGGTGTCGACAGGGCAGGACATGCGCATGGCGGTCTGGGACATCCGGACGATGAAAGAAGTGAACAACTACTTCCTGCGGCAGCCTGGTTCAAGCGTTGCGATTAGTGACAGAGGGTCGACGGCAGTTGGGTGGGGCACACAGACGACGGTGTGGAATGGGCTGTTCAACAAACATGTCAAGGACCAGGTTAAGGTGCAGAGTCCTTACATGCACTGGGGAGGCGATGGTTACCACATCGAACGTGTGCAGTGGTGTCCATTTGAGGATATACTAGGCGTGAGCCACAACAAGGGGTTCGCTAGTATCCTCGTCCCCGGCGCCGGTGAGCCGAACTTCGACGCGTTGGAGGCGAACCCGTACGAAACCACGAAGCAGCGGCAAGAAGGCGAGGTGAAGTCCTTGCTCAACAAGCTCCAGCCCGGCATGATCTCTCTGGACCCGAATTTCATCGGGAACTTGGATCTGGCGTCGCACGAGACGAGGAAGCAGGAAGCCGACCTCGATCGGAGAGAGGGAGACGCGGTGGAAAAGATGAAGAATAGAGGGAGAGGGAGGAACAGCGCCTTGAGGAAATTCTTAAGGAAGAGCGGGAACAAGAACGTCATCGATGAGAAGAGGGTGAGGGTTGAGGCGGCGTTCAAGGCACAGAGCAAAAAGGAAATGGAGAGGGTGAAGAGACAGCAAGAGGAATATGGGCCGGCTCTCGCCAGGTTTGCACGAAAGGAAGGTTGAGAACCTGTCGAGATTGCGGTTCTTCATTTTTAAAAGGCTTGGTTCTCGTCCAAGTCGTCATGGGGATGTCCGAATCAGCGGCAAGTAAAACATGGTTTTCAAACGGATCATCGATATGGGGAAGTCTCCCATCCGCAGCTGCCGTTCGAACAGCTTCGTCTTGGACGTGGAGTCGAGCATTGTGGTGCGACGGATGGCATGGGCCAGAATACTCTGGCGCTATGGGGTTGATATCTCAAGGCAAAGCAGCTTAATACAACCGGCACTACCATACTGTCCGAATGAAACGGAGAGATCAGGACTACGACTTCACGCTTGTCTCGTGGTATCAGAATTGTAACTCAATAGCAAGACTCGATTCTGGTATGATACAGATATCTATAGAAGTAACCAACGGGTGCCCTAAGTGCTCCGCCGATGTTCATCTAGATTGACTTATTGATCGAGACGAGACGGGAAGGTGCCGTTATCTGCAGAAATGTATAAGTCAACCTGGTAAATCCACATCCGGAAGCGAAACTCACCACGCTGGTCATCCCATCGCTCGGTCCAGGAGCTGGGGCAGAGGGTTCGGTAAGCGACTTTGAACTGTAGCTGTCGTCAGATATTTGTCGCAGACTTGGTGTCGGAAGGCCATTAATGTGCCGGATGACGCACCTGAAGGCATGGCTTGAAGTCCTCGCCCTTTGCCAGGACGCACTTGTGGTAATCGACATAGTTTTGCCAGCAGTGCTTGGTCCTGTTGTGGATGGATCAGTATATCGCGTTGTCGAGGATTCTGTAGCTGATACGTACTGGTTCATGTTCGGGAACCGGGCGTCGAAGCCTGTGGAATTCATCGCTTAGTCTCACTTCTCATACACCTTCCGATATCCTTTCGCATTGAGGGCTCGGCGACATGGTCGTATATCTCTTACCAGCTGCTCTGGAGTTAGCTAACCGCGCCGGCAAGAAGCATCTCTGCCATGGGATGATTTCGAAGTACCTGTGACAAACTTGAACGGCTTGGTGACGCGCTCATCTTCGCTAGCGTCCGACATGGCGACGGGATCAAGAACTGGATTCTCGACGGTTGGGGATATGGACACAGGTCAATTGACGGATGGCGCTTGGTCGCTTGCGGATGCTGAAGCTCTTCTGTAGTGAGGTGAGGTTTACGATCCAAGTTCCCACGAGTTGGTGACCTGATAATCTTGGCAGGCGCTAGCACCGATTGGTCGAAACAGTTCAGCAATCAGCGGTTGGAACCGCGGCAGCAATTGATAGACAGTGAGGTTCGTCAAGAGAATATGCCACAGTCTGTTACGGGTTAGTGCTATCAATTATCTTACCTTCAAATATCAACGTATTTCAACACTCTGTTGCCCTTCGTTTGCTGTCGGTTGGCGAAAACAAGGATCACGTGACATACCGGGAGCTCGCGAGCTTCCCTCATCCTGACGTCTCAGCTTCTTTCTCTTTGGCACCACCTCACATATCTGGATTCTCGTCGCCTGGATTGACCTCTGGAGTTCTCGAACTTAACCGTCCAACCAATTCATCTCCGCTCCTTCATCCGGCTTCCAGTCGACCTTCAATTACACCATGCAGGCTACGCGAGCGCTGAGGATGCTGCCCACGAAGGCACTCCGCATCCAACCAACCCGGGTTTCCATGATCCAGCCCTCGCGCAGGGCGATGGGACCGGTTCCTGTATGTTTTTGGTGGAGGCGATTGGTATGGTTTCAATGCTGACAGGTCATTTTAGAAAGAGGATCAAAGCGGTACGGTGGCCCCGACCTGAACATTTTGTCATCAGAAGTATATGTTGGCGGATGCTGATGCCCTTGGTGTAGCACATACCATCTCGCAGCGTATTCGCACGCTCAAGAAGATCCCACCGGAGTTGATTCCCCTTGGTGAGTGTCCCTTCATGACGGATGACGGTGGGAGAGCAACACGCTAACCTTGGAATGATAAACAGGTGTCGTCCTTGCGTATGTCCCCCAGAGTAACTTATAAAGGCCAATATCTCACCTTCACACAGTGTCGCACTTGGTGCCGCCGGCTACTCATTGGGCAACAAGCTTGTAAGCGACAAGACCCTTCGTCTGTCTCGACAGGGACCGGCTGGACAATAGATGGTAAACAATGGAAACCATACTCTCAGTGTGCTATATATTTGGGTCGCAACAAGGAAGCCTTCTGCGCCTTCTGCACCTAGTGCTAAACAATGTTGTAAATATTCTTATTCCTTCGGAATCAGAACCCGCTTGACCTGAAACTCCCACTGAATGCTTGCATTTATTGCTGACTGAGGCATGATCGGGGATATCAAATCATGCTTGCTTCGGCCCTGCGACGTCCAGCCCTTCTAAACCTTGCATCGGATCCATTGGCCCTTCCTCTGCTGCCCCTCTTGCATCCTGCACGGCCAACCTATCTTCATCGCTGACGGCATTTTTTGCAAGCCAGCCTTCCTGAGCGGGGGTAAGTTGGAGTCCAAGCTATGAGTGAGAAGGATAGGGGAAGCGCAAAATTCGGCGATGCCAACAGCCGAAACCACCGTTGAAAAAGGATTGAACATACCTGTTCCCAAATCGCCGTCTTGCTCCCGAGTCCTTCATTCTGCTCCTTTTGAGGCTTGGCCGGTGCCACTTTGATAACTCGTCCGTAGAGCTCGCTCTTATCCATATTATCGATTGCCTCTCGTGCATCTTCCGCGCTCTCAAACTCCACGTATCCAAAGCCACGGTGCGGATCTTTGTTTGACGGTAGCTCTGGTTTGGGGAGGGTGATGTCGACTATGTCACCGAAGGGAACGAAGGCTGCATGGAGTGTTTGCGTCGTGACGCCGAGGTCGAGACCACCGACGTACACGGTGGCCTTCAGTCGAGCTGCATCCGACATTAATATTGATCGATACCTGGATGTTGACTGCGGATATTCGATGTTGAAATGCCGTCCGTAAAGAATTGTGAGATTTGATATCACGTGAAACCATCGAGAAGTTAAGTCGTTAGGTTGACCTGAAATTGCTAATTTCGTAATAAATTACGAAAAGTCGCAGTATTAATAAGCTATAGTGTGTATATCTGGTTCGCTAGGACGCCAAGACCCATAGCTCCCTGTCCGCTCTGTCCCAGTTCAATTCAAGGTCATCGTGTCCTCAATAACAACATCATAATAGCTGCCGACTCCCCGATCCTTCATACACCATCCGAGGGCCTTCTACTCTGTCATATTACCAACTCGTGGACATTCCTGTGTCATTCTTGTGGATGGTGTGGTCTCGGAGTCCACCAACGTAATCTTTTCCATCGCGATTCCTTGTTCCCCTCCATATCCCGCCAGCGATATGGTGCGTCTTCGAGAAATCCCCCGGACAGCTACGTTCGCCTGGTCTCCGGGCCCAGCGAATCCCCAAATCGCGACCGGTACTCGAGCCGGCGCGGTTGATGCCGACTTCTCAAATGAAACGGTGCTGGAGTTGTGGGACCTAGCTCTCGACGATGCTGACCAGAAGGGGGAGCTCAGCCCGGTTGGGAAGATCAATACGGACTCCAGGTATGTGACTACTCTGGCGTTTCTGCGTGTGCAGTGGCTCATATACTCTCTATTGCAGATTCCATGATATCGCATGGGGTCAGCCAAGCGAAGCTCACCCCCGAGGACTGATTGCAGGAGCGCTTGAGAATGGATCATTGGATCTTTGGGATGCGGAAAAGCTCCAGAACGGCTCGAGGTACGATGGATGAAATCCAAATATACTGCCGCAACCAATATCTTACTCCCTGTAGCAACGCCTTCGTATCGCGGGCCTCGAAACATTCAGGGCCCATTAAGACCCTGCAATTCAATCCATTCCGACCCGAGCTCCTTGCCACAGCTGGTGCGAAAGGAGAGGTGTTCCTCACCGACGTGAACAATGCCGCCAACTCTACCAAATTGAGCACCGCAACCGGCCGTGCTGATGATTTCGACGCGCTGGATTGGAACAAAAATGTCCCCCATATCCTGGCAACCGGAAGCAGCGGAGGATATGTTACAATCTGGGACGTGAAAGCCAAGAAAGAGAACATGACGTTGATGATCCCCGGGCGGAAGCCAGTCAGCGCTGTTGCATGGGATCCCACCAATCCGACGAAACTCCTTACTGCGATACCAAGTGACCAGGAGCCCGTAATCCTGGTGTGGGACCTTCGAAACTCGAACGCTGGACCGGAGCGTCAATTGAGGGCCCATGATCAAGGAGTACTGTCAGTTTCCTGGTGTCTTCAGGATCCGGATTTGCTTCTGTCCTGTGGTAAAGACCACCGGACAATTTGCTGGAACCCTCACACCGGCGACGTACTTGGCGAGTTCCCCGTCGTGACTAATTGGACCTTCGAGACCAAGTTCCATCCGCATAACCCTAATATCTTGGCCACGGCAGCATTCGATGGCAAGATAGCGGTTCAGACGATCCAGAATACCAACTTCGATAAGGAGAAGGCGGCCCAAGAAGCTAATCTGAATGTCGATGCGGCGGACTTTTTTGCCAGTGCCCAGTCACAGCTACAAGGGGTTCCTTTCTCCCTTCCTAAAGCTCCAAAGTGGCTTGAGCGACCTGTAGGCGCGTCATTCGGATTTGGTGGCAAGCTGGTTAGATTTGCCCCGTCGAAGGGCGAGACGAGGAAGTCCACCATTAGCATTTCGACCTTTGCCGTGAGCTCCGATGTTGGCGCCGCCGGCCAAGCATTCGAAGAGGCTTTCCAAAAGGGGAACCTGGTGGAGATTTGTGAATCGAGGATCTCCGCTGCCAAATCTGAGGAAGAAAAGGCAGATTGGGCGGTTATCGAAACGCTCGTCTCCTCCAACTCCCGGCAAAAGCTGAGAGACTACCTTGGATTTTCAACGGCAAAAGAGTCAGGTGTGGATGCGGAGGATGTGCCGCAGACCAATGGCCAAAAAGCTGCCGAAGGCGAGTCCTCGTTCTTTGACGGTGCTGGGAGCGGAGACGATTTCCTCTCGAGCCTTGCCTTGTCGAAGGGAGTTAAGACGAACAATCCGTTCCAACTCTACACAGGCTCCGAGAGTGATGCCGACCGGCAAATCACTAAGGCGCTTATGTTGGGCTCGTTTGAAGAAGCAGTTGATATCTGCCTGAAGGAGGACCGAATGTCGGACGCATTCATGATCGCGGTTTGCGGAGGCCAGAAATGCATCGATAAGACCCAATCTGCATACTTCAAGCAAAAGTCGAAAGGCCCAAGTTACCTACGCCTACTCGCTTCAATCGTCGGCAAGAATCTATGGGATGTCGTCCACAACGCTAATTTGGAAAATTGGAAAGAGGTCATGGCAACCCTGTGTACATTTGCAGATGAAACTGAATTTCCGGATCTCTGTGAAGCTCTGGGGGATAGGCTCGAAGAGTCAATCCCGAACGCCAAAGACGAAGAATCACTCAGAAAGGATGCCACCTTCTGCTTCATGGCTGGCTCCAAGTTGGAGAAGGCGGTTACGAACTGGGCACAGGAATTGCAAGAGCGCGAAAAGGCTGCCCTGAAATCCGCCGAAACCGATGACAGTTTCTCGATTCATGCATACTCCCTTCAGAGCTTCATTGAAAAGGTCACCGTCTTCAGACAGGTCACCAACTACCAAGATCCGGAAACAAGCGCTACTTCGGGATGGAAACTGGCTCCCCTCTACGCAAAATATAATGAGTACGCTGATATCGCAGCGTCGCATGGGAACCTCAAGATCGCCGAGAAGTACTTGGATTTGTTACCGACCAGCTACCCCGAGGCAGAATTGGCCCGAAGTCGCGTCAAGCAAGCCACCAGAAAAGCTCCGGCTCAGCAAACCCAATCGGGAGCCTCTCGATCCCGTGTTGCGCCAACTTACCCTACGGCTCAGGCACCACTGAATACAGGAGGATACCCGCAGCCATATCAGCCTACTGGGAGTGCTGCTGCTGCTCCGCCGATGCTTTCGCAGCCTTCAAATCACTCGTACACTCCAATGGGATATCAACCACCAGGGCAAGCCATTCCTCCCCCTCAGCCATTTGGATATCAACCTCCGGGTCAACAGCAGCCTTCCGCTGTACCGCCTCCGCCGTCAAACTTCAATTCCGCATCGACAGCTCCACCCCCGCCTAGGTCATCGTCAGCGACCAATTGGAACGACACGCCTGATTTTGGAGGCAAACCCACTCCTAGACGAGGAACACCTATGAATGGCCCTCCGTCTAACACCTACACTCCCCCTGCTTATGGCCAAGCAGTCACCTCTCCGCCACCTCCAATGGGATCGCCTTTCTCGCCCCAACAAAGAGCAACCCCGCCGCTCGCTCCCCCGCCGAGAGGCCCATCACGCCTCTCATCACCGCCTACCGCAGCTCCAACAGAGTCTCTTGCATCTGATCGACCGGCGTCTTCAGCGGGGAGACAATACGCGCCCCCGACCCAACCAATGCAAACCATACCACCGCCGATGGCACCGCCGGTTGCTCGCGGTCCATCGCCCTACCAACCACCTCCATCCTCTTCCGGTTCAGCTACCCATGGAGGCCGCTACGCTCCAGCACCGAGCCCACAGCCTGCTGCTGGTGTAGGACACCCCCCTCCTCCTGGGACTGGGCCTCCTCCCCGAGGACCCACCCCCGTTGCGCCTCCGCCGAATCCCTATGCTACTATTGGAGGCGCAGGTGCCGGCGCAGGTCCCATAGCGTCTCAGCCTCCGCCTGTAACCATGGGCGCTCCAACACCTCCCGCCCAACCCCTGGCACCTCCTCCAAGAGGCCCGCCTCCAGGTGGTCCTCCACGAGCCGGCCCGCCTTCCACGTACAAGGCGACTCCGACTCCGCCGGTGGAGAGGAAGAGCTATCGTAAGTCCTAATACACTAGCGCCAAAGTCGGGATGCTAACCCCTCACAGCAGCAGGAGATCGTTCGCACATCCCGCCCCGCTCAATGCCGATCTTCGAGATTCTCAGCGCGGATATGCGACGAGTAAAATCAAAAGCTCCCGCGCAATACGAGCGGGAAGTCAACGATACGGTCAAACGGCTTGACATTCTCTTCGACCATCTCAACAACGAGGATCTGCTTAAGCCAGACACGGTTGGCGAGATGTTGGAGGTTGCAGAGGCAGTCAAGAACCGGAACTACGATGGTGCGCAGTCGATTGTTACCAATATCATGAGTCGGAAGGCGGAAGAGGGTGGGAAGTGGCTGGTAAGTTATGATTCACGTCGTAGTATAATTCATGACTCGAGGCTAATAGATTCGATGCAGGTTGGAGTCAAGCGGTTGGTGGTGATGAGTCGCAATACGCGAGATTGATTTTGAAAAAGCTCGGTTGGTGGTTTGGTAAAGCCAGCAGCTTGGCATATATACCACGCAGCGCTTCCATGTCTGTCTCGATGCTAAATCACATAGATTCCAATGCATCATCCATCCTGATCCCAGCTCTCGTCCTTGGATATCTTCCAACAGCGTATGTGGTGTGACTACAATGCTCTCCTTTCCCAGTGTTCCCAGCTGCACATTCGTCGTAGTGCCGTGAGTAGAGCCTGGCTTCATTCATATTATTTGCCATATTCCCCTAGGCTCGAGACGTCCCCAATTTCCAGTAGTCGATTCGTGCTCGATGTGTTATGAAGCTGCGTTCATTCGGTGGTATCGAAACGTTGTACTCCTCGGCTCTCGACATAGAACCCCGGATCGGGGCGCCGTAATGCCCGCATCTCCGCATTCGTGAGCGGTTTCTCGACTTCTTGCACATCCACCAGCTCCTTGACGGCCATGATTTTTCCTGCCACGTCTTGTCGAACAGGTTGATACACAGTCGCCATGCGTTTCCTGAGTCCGAGCGACTTGAGGACTCCACCGATGGGTTTCGGAAGGCCAATGGCCGACCGCATAAGCGTGATTTTGAAGTACGCCATGAGGAGGAGGTGGCAGTGGTAACGATTCGGGGATGGATTATCGTGGTGGTCGTTGGTGTTGGAGGTCTTGCAGAAGGGTGAGTGTGTTATGTGACAAACGGCGAGCAGACGGACTGCCTCAAGCAATCAAAATGTCATCCGCGCTCAACTTCACTTCCAAGTTCACTGTATTAACTTTTGGACGCCCTCAAATTCAGCACAATGGAAGGAATTGAAGATGTTGGGCCCACGGACGGCAAAGTCGCAACTTATCGCAAGATGTTCGAGCGACTGGGGCTTCGGCAATATTTCGGGCGGGAAGTAGTGCTGGAAGGAGCGACCCAAGCCGCCTACCTGGGCTCGACGCCACAAGCTCCAGCCACTCCAGCTGTCGATCCGTCTCAAGTCCCCCAGACTTCAGGAGCATCACGAAGGGCATCTTTAAATGACGATGCTTCCAATTCCTCGCCGGGGAAACCTCATGCCGAGACTCCTCCGTCCAGGGAACATGAGAACATATTCCCGTCAACGAGTCCTATCATTCAAGCCATCATGAACGATGTCGATTCCGTTGCGAGCAAGCTCGCGCCTCTGCTGCGGCATCCGGATGACCTCGACAAGATCCCGTCGCTCAAAGCCGAGTTGCAACGGAAGAAAGCAGGCGTCGATGCTCAGCTCCAGGCCGGGCTGAAAGATCAGCTGGAGGTGACGCAGACGGGCATGAACTCCATCCACGATGCGTCGCGAATCCTCCAACAGATCAAGGAGGAGATGCAGAAGGTCGACAAGATGTGCTCCGAGCAGCAGAACATGATCAAGGACTTTGGGCAGATTAATGCGGTGGCCCAGGCACACCGGAACTTCACCGCGGTGTTGCAGCTGAAGAATGATATCGAGAGTTTTGACGCCAGGCTGACGCAGCTGGAGATGCTGCTGGACGAAGACAGCCAGAATATCGAGCAACAGCCGAACCTTCTAGCAATCCATATGGAGCTTACGAAGTTGAGAGATATCAGAGATACCGCAATGGAGCAGGCGAAGGGATCCGAGAAAGCCATGGAGCTTATGAACAACCTACAACTCTCCAGCGGCATGACTTTATCCGAGACCTTTCAACGACTGGACGAAGTTATCGATGCATTCGACGAGCATCTCGGCACAGCGTGCATGAACATCATCCCTCTAGTCCAACAAGGGAACGACAGCATGGTTGTGCGGCTCGCGTTGGTCATCTCAGAGGAAGAGAAGAGTGATAATAAAGCCAAAGCTTTACAGGACGCACAGAAAGAGTACAAGGACCTGGCAAGTCGCTTCAAGTCCATCACCGCCGGGCCGAAGGAGACTCGGGGTTACAAAGAGAAGTTCCTGAAGGCCATCGAAATGTACGCGGATAACCAGATGGACGAGTCGAACGACATGTTCCAAGACGACCCCGACAAGCTTGAGAAGAGCGTGCGCTGGTTCTTCAATGACCTCAACACCGTCAAGCTAGGTATGCAGCGATTGACGCCGAAGAAGTGGAAGATATTTCAGACATATGTGCAGATCTATCACAAGCAGATGCACGATTGGCTGGTTGCGCTCATCGACAACCCGCAACTTACGCCCCCCCAGATGCTCGCGATCGTTCAGTGGGCGGACAAGTACTATACCAAGATGGAAAAGCTCGGTGTTCCTCGGGACATGATGAAGGTTCCCGTCATCGACAATCGCAGCGCCGACCTGATTCGAGAATATCGACAGCTCATCGTCAAGGCGGTGGAAGAGTGGATGGACCGCATGGTCGTCACCGACAAGAAGAACTTCCTCTCCCGCGACGAATCATCCCTCGACACCGACGAAAACGGATGTCTGCGCACCAAAACCATGGGTGACATGTGGCGCATGCTTCGCGAGCAGTTGGACGTCGCGGAGTCGAGCAAGCGGACCGATGTCGCGGAAGGGGTCGTTGAGGCGATGTTCCGCTCGCTGATTTCCCGCCAGCGCATGTGGGAGCAACTGGTCTCGTCCGAGCTGCAGAAATACCTTCAGCCAAACGCCGATCAGGAGGGACTGCAGCCACTCCAAGACTTCCTTGTCGCCATTGCCAATGACCAAATTGCTTGCATCGATGACGCGGAAGACGAGGGTGGGTCACCAAGCTACCTGACCCAATTCTCACGGGCGATAAATCCAATCGTGTCCTCTGCGTATAGCATCACCGTCACTTCTCAAACCGAAACGCTCCGGGACGGATACGTCGATCTCAGCACGCATTGTCTGAACACTTTTGCACAGGTCATCTTCTCCATCGACTTCCGCAACCTCATGTCCGAGTTCTTCACGCCCGCATGGTACTCGAAGAAGGCCATCGGTCAGGCCGTCAGCACGTTTGAGGACTACCTAAACGATTACCTTCCCGTTCTCCATCCGTCCCTCCGCGACATCCTGGTCGAAGAACTTGCCGACGAGCTTCTCATTCACTACCTCTCGTCCGTGCGGAACAAGTCGGTCAAGTTCCGGCGCTCCGATCCGTTCGTGCAGAAGATCCGCGACGATATCCTGACCGTTTTCGGATACTTCGAGAAGTTCGAGGCGTTCGAGGCCATCAAGCAGAAATGGCGAGTGGTGGATGGGTTCACTCGGCTGCTCGAGTCAGACAAGGCTCAACTGCCCGATGTGTACGCGCAGTTCAAGACGGATTATTGGGACGTCAATATGAGCTGGGTGGAAGCGGTGCTGCGAGCAAGAGATGATTTCGACCGGAGCTTGCTTAACGCTGTGAAGGCACGCGCCGGTGAAATAGAAGTGGTCCGCGGGCCCGACACTGTGATGGCCAAGGTCAAATGAACGAAACCCGATGATTCTGACAGACGATTCTTCTGGAGCGCTGTATCTGCTGATGGCGCATGAATGACGGTCTAATAGCACTAGTTACACAACGATGAAGTGCTGTCGTCCAGTGGACGTCTACTTTGCAGCATGTATGATCTATCGGACGATCATGCTCTCCCGCCCAGGCCCGGTACCGATGTACTTGACCTTCACCCCCACCTGCTGCTCGATGAACTCGATGTACCGCCTCGCGTTCTCCGGCAACTCCCCATAGGTCCTGGCGCCTTTCGTCGACGTCTTCCAACCGGGCATCGTCACGTAATCGACTTCGACCTGCTCGGCAACCGCGGCGTCCGCCGGGAACGAGGGGAGCTCATGCCCTTGGTGCTTGTACGCAACACCGATCTTGATTTCCTCAAAGTCATCGAGGATGTCGAGCTAGGGTTCGGGTTAGAGATTGTCCATATGCTGAGTACCCAGCGAACGTACCTTGGTCAGATTGATGGAGGTGTAATCATTGCATCTACATCCCGTGTTAGATTAGACGAATTCAACTGTATGAAAATCGATGCAGGGCAGAACGTACTCGTGTGAATACTTCAACACTACCAGATCCAGCCAGCCGCATCTCCGTCTTCGGCCGGTGGTGACTCCCACTTCTCGTCCGACCGACTGCAACCAGTCGCCAATCTCGTTGATTTGCTCCGTCGGGAATGGCCCGGATCCAACGCGAGTCGTGTATGCTTTGACCACGCCGATGACCTCCTTGATGGATCTCCACCCGACAGTCAGCGACGTGAGCACACCGCCCAGCCCGGTATTCGACGACGTGACGAATGGATACGTCCCGGAATCCAAATCCAGCATCAGCGCGTTCGCGCCCTCCACCAACACGGGGATCTTCCCCTCTTTCACGCTCTTGATGAGGGGCACCTGGTCGACGATATACGGGCGGAGCTGCTCGCGGATCTCGTCGAAATAGGCGATCTCCTTCTCCACGCTGTAGTCCAGCAGCTCGCCGAAGCGCTTCTTGTTGCCATCCGCGAGACGGTGGATCTTGGCTTCCAGAACGCCTTTCTCGAAGATGTCAGAGATGCGGATCCCGGAGCGCGTCGCTTTGGAGCTGTAGGTCGGGCCGATGCCTTTTCCGGTGGTGCCGACGGGTTTCTTGCCGCGCTCGCCCTGGGATGGTCAGCGTCTGATCCGGTCTCCACGGGGGGTCACTCACCTCTTGCAGCCGATCGATGATGGTGTGCAGGTCTAAGATCACATGGGCGCGGTCGCTGATGAACAAGCGATCGACCAGGTCGATGCCGTGCTGTTTCAGCGCTGCGATTTCCTTGAAGAAGGTCGGGACGTGGACGACGCAGCCGTTGCCGATCAGGTTCATGCAACCCGGACTGCATACGCCGGATGGGAGGATGTGGACGTCAAACGTCTTGTCCCCGTGGACAATGGTGTGGCCTGCATTGTGGCCGCCCTATCTGAGGTCAATTGAAACGGATCTCGAGTCAATGGGGTGATATGTACCTGGGCTCGGCAGCACAACTTCGCGTCTGCACACAATATGTCTACAAGCTTCCCCTTCCTGCATCATATTAGACTCGACTGCTTCTATCCCGCGCTTCATCAGAGTATTACCCCTCATCTCCCCTATATCGCTGTTAGACAAATGTGATGCCGCTCAACGTTCAGACATACCATTGGGATCCTAATACTATAGTCGTCGACATGCTCTCCGCCTTACGTTCCGAGACCGAGTAGATTTTTCTGAGTATTGTCTAAGACAACAGTCCATAGACAGGCCGGTAGTTGTGAGTACGCGCGGGGCAGTAGGTTGACTGGATCTTTGTTTCAGTCAGTATGGTTACTTGTCAATTGGAAGAACATCCAAATAAAAATTCTCCAAGGCCAGATGCCTGTGATGTATAGAGACAAGAAAGGAAAATTGCAATAACAAATCAATGAATCATCCGAATATTGGACAAGTCCATCCCGAAGAGCCGCGAAGCCAAGGATGAAGGATCGGGCTTGCAAGGACGCATCTCGAATGAAACCGGGACAACACTTACAGTCATACACTCTAATCGATGATTATTCGAATGAGATATTACACGGATGGAATATCTCGTCGCGTTTTATATTAGCACACGATCGATTATATGCTGAAAATGCCTGAAATTGCATGAGGTCTCGGCCTTTGGGGAATATGGATAGCGACAGCTTCAATTCTTTTGGGGATTAGTGCGATCTCGGACCCAGCCGACAATGACGGAATTGCGTGGGAAGCCCGGAAGGCGGAAGGAATCATTACCACAACAGACATATCATGCTCTTATATTAACAATTAAATTGATACTGTGGTGTACGCTGGACATTAATGATTAGACATGATGAAAAGCAATGAATTTAGTTGTTGGCAATACTGAGCATCTTATTGGTGCCTGCTCTCCGTATATTCGAATAGGTATCATACAAATGGACATCATACAGATGAATGACTCTGAGGACGAATCGGTTGGCATGCCAAACGAGAATCAAGGCATTTGAGAATGTGCCTATACATTGCAGTTGGATATTGCAGTTGGATATTGCAGTTGGATATTGCAGTTGGATATTGCAGTAATGATACAGCGCATTGTAGCAGTTTCCCTTAAACTATGATGTATAGGACAGGTATCCGTATCAAATCCAGCTCAACTCCATCCCATGCAATCCTAAACATGAATCCCATATCCCAATGCCGCAAATGCCCATCAATCCTCCCAAAGATGTACATATCCCGAATCACTAACTTCATCCCCCGTGAACAAACCACCCCTTCGCATCCATCCTCCCCACCACCGTTCAGTTCTCCATCGCACCCCCTTAGAAATCCGTCACCCGCCCATTATAACTCCAATCACTCCCCACCCCCCACCGCAGCGGCTCGTTCTTCGGGCCCCCCACCTCCCCCGTCGTCGGATTTGTCTCCCCCTCGAACTCCGGCCGCGCCCCCTTCCGCACGTTCGGATGCATCTCCTCGCCCCCCTCCACCGCCTGGAGCCGCGCCTTCAGGCTCGCTAGCATCTCTGGGCCGGATGCGGGGCGCGCGGGGTTGGCGTCGGTGGCGGTCGTCGAGGGTGGTTGGGTGGAGTCGGAGGCAGAGGGGGATGGGGATGTAGATGTGGGTGGTAGGTCGGCGGTGGGCGGGAGGGATGAGGATGGGGTGCTGAAGGCGCCGGTGGAGGCGCGTTGGAGGGATTCGAAGAGTTCCTGTTCTTCTTTGGGGAGGCGAGGAGGGGCAGGGCCGGGGTTCCAGCGGCTGGAAAGGAGGGAGGAGGTCGTGGTGAAGGTTGCGCGGAGGGGGTGGCGGGAGCGCGAGAGCACGGTAAGGAGGGAGCGGCGCATGGTGGGTGAGGGGAGATTAAAGGGTTGGATGGAGGGGTTCAAGGATTGGATGGAGGGAGTAGTTAGGAGGCTTCTACGTGATGATTGTCGCAGGTGGATAATAAAGTAAGTAGTAGGTGGTGAAAAAAGTCATCGAAGTTGGAGATGGCCAGTCCCTCGGCGAAGTTCGGCGAGTCGTGAGACAGATGAGGATGCTCCCCTGTCCGACAGTCGTCACATATTCATTCGCCACCGTTACAGGTCTATGTTCCCAGATGAATAAGTTATGATTTACGACTTCAATTCCTAATCTAGATCAAGAAGACCATAAAACAACCTAATTGAACCAGAAAAGCTTTTGATATTCCGCCGTGCCCATCCGGATTCCACTCCATTGTACAAGACCACGATCTATCTGGACACCGTTTTCTAAGCCATACGCCTTGCACCATCCCATTGAAAGCGCGTCCGACCCCACAGGTTAATTAACCGTCTCACCCAATCCATCCCGACCCGGTCCCCACCGCCTTCGCGCTCCGGCTCGCATCCCAAAACAAGTCCTTCGCCTCCCGAATCTCCTCGACTCCGACGTTCACGACACTCTTCTCCTTCTCCCCCATCTGCCCACTGCCCAGCACCGTTTTCCCCGCCACGCGCGCGAGCACCGCCGACGGCCCGATCAACCCCACCGCATACCGCAGACTGATCTCGGCGCCCACGCCGGCCAGTTCGTCCAGCGCGGGGTCCGCGAGCTGCACGCCCTCGATCTTGGCGCGGGAGGCGACGATGGAGCGGATCTCGGGCTGCGCGTAGGGGAAGGTGGGGACGATGAGGCAGCGGGAGAGGAGGTCGGTGGGGAGGCCGTGCGGGGACGGGGGGAGGTCGTCGTCGGTGTGGGAGAAGGCGGAGTCGGCGGAGGTGCGGGGGGAGACGAGGCCGCGGTTGGAGGCGAGGATAACGAGGGGGGAGAGAGGGGATTCGAGGGCGCGGGCGAGGTAGGTGAAGGATTCGAGGTCAAGCATGTGGACCTGTTCTGTTAGTAAAGATTCCAGAAATGCGAAAATGGAAGAGACATACCTCATCGATGAACAACACTCCCGGCACCAAATCGGCCACGCCTTGGTCGATAAACCTCGACACCACCTTGTTGACCTCCGCCCGTAACTTCTCCGTGATCTCCGTCTTCTTCGGCTTCATCAGCTGGCCCATCAAGCTCACAACATCCTGCCCACCCTGCGGCCGCGCGTTGGCGACGTCCAGATCATGCAACGTGACGTCCTGCACGATCTCCTTCTTCTTATGCACGTCCCCTTTCGGCACGGGCACATATTCCTCCGCCTCCAGATCGAACTCGGTCGCATACGCATCGCTTCGTCCCACCCGCTTGACTGCGCCCGTGTTCGCCTCAATGTAGATGACGTCCCCCAACCGCACCCGCTCCTTCTGAATCGCCTCGTAAATACTCGGATCCAACCGCAACTTCTTCGTCCCCCGCGCGCTCTTCAACCCGACCAGCAAATGCGCGATCGTCCGCCCATACGCCCCTAGCGGATTCTCTGTCTCCTCCGGCGTCAACGCCGTCACCTCCCCTTCATACACCTCCTTCACCTCCCGCACCCGCAGCCCAATCGCCCGCCGGAAATTCTCCATCAGTGCCTCCGTCTTCTTCACCTCCGCGCTGTAGATCTCGCTCCCCACGATCGGGCAGAATGGCACCTTCGTCCCCAGCTCCTGCGACACCGCCAGCGCAAGCGCTGTTTTTCCCGTGCCGGGGCCCCCCGCGAGAAGCACCGCGCGCCCGGACATCTTCTTCGCACGGACGAGGTCGACGACGAGTCCGCATGCTTCGCGCGCGTGCGCTTGCCCGACGAAGCCGCCGGAGGAGGGCTCCGCGGTGCCGTCGCTGCGGAGGCCGAGGCCTTTGATGTGGGTATGGGCGGCGGTGCGGTGTTCGCGCGAGGTGCTTTTAACGTCGGTGATTGCGGTGGGAGCCATGATGAGGGAGTGGTGGCTGTGAGGCGAGTGTGGAGGTAGAAGAGATGGGATGGAGGTTGTCTGTGTGATGGCGTAGATTAGCGTTGACCTCATACAATCCTTGACGTTTGACCGAAATGTGCTCGAATCACGCGTTCATGCATACAAGGTCTTCAGAAACTCACTTTATGGTCTCTCACTCTCCACTCCTAGGGTACGCTCGAATCCTTCGACGATGGTCGTCGTCCAGCAGCGGCGTTATAGATTATATGACGCAAGGACCGAGGGGCTGTTGAACTCGAGGATACCAAGCCAGTGAAAAGGCAAGCAAAGAGCTGGATGTCGTGACAATGAGTAGAGACAGGTGTAGCGATTTGGTGAACGCGATAGAAAGTTTGGGGATGTTCAATTGTTCAGCGAAGCTCCCTTGCGAGGTGAACTGAACGGCAAGTTCCGTTAAAGTATGGTGCCTGAGGCAACAAGGCCATGAGATCATGTGAATCTTCTCAGCCATACGCGCTAATATCTGGGACTGGATATTGGAACACATCTAACAACTGAACGACCAAGTCACAAACCGACATCATAATCCGATCAGATCCATCACAAGGAATTACCAATATTACACACCACAATCCCATTCTTACATTGATCTTGCTCACACAAATCTGTTACCCATCCATCGACTACTATCTTATCATACAATGCAAAACAATTTTCCACCGCAACCCCTTAGCGATGATGTGTCCACCCTTCCCCCATTGGAATCCGCACCGACAAAAAGCAATCCCAAGTGGATTGCCGCAGTCAGAAGAGTCGGGGTCGGGGTCGGGGTCGGGGTCTTGAAAATGACATCCCCATGTTGCGTGGCTGATGAAGCGGGCGGGGAGAGAAAGGAAGGCCGACGAAGAGGTGAGAAGCGAGGTTTTGAAGGTGAATGTCGTGAAGCTCCTAGCAGGACGTAACAACCCCATCAGCGGAGATCATGAGCCATCCCATACATCAACTCCAGCGTCCGGAAAAGCAACCGGAATACGCCCGCCCCATCCCCATCCCGAACCCCCGAAGAATAATCACCCCTCATCCATCCACCTACTCCTCTTCACTCTCACTCTCATCGTCACTATCATCCTCGCTGTCCTCATCGTGCCCTATCCCCTCCACACTCTCCACCACCCCATGCCCCGCTCCCCCATTCCCACTGAACCCCCCTAGCGCCTGCTTGATCTCGCTGATGCGCGCCTCCTGCTCCGCCGGCTTCATCGGCTTGTTCTTCTTGCGCTGCGCTGCCGCCGCGCTGTCGTCGCCCGTGCCGCCCGACCCGCCTTTGCGCCCGCGCCGCCCGCCGCCGCTCTTCTTGCGCGGCTGGAAGTCGGCGTCCTCGAGGTCGCGGTCGTATGCGCCGTCGTCGACGGTGGAGGCCCGGCCAGTGGACGTGCCGAAGTTGGGTTTCTCGCCGCGGGACTTGCAGATGTAGACGTAGAGGTCATAGAGGACGTGGTTGGGGATTTGGTCAATGTCGAGTTCGATCTCTTGGGTGTCGAGGTTCTGTTGCGTTACGTTAGTTATATAGATATTCTCAAGGCGGATAAAGTGAAAGGGTTGAAGGTTGGGTAACTTACCGCTACGGACGGCATTCCCGCCCTGATGATCCCTAGTACTTCTTGCACCCTGTCATTGTCCGTGAGAGTGTCGATGTAATTGCTGATCTCCGTCTTCTGCGGCAATCCCAAGGTCGGGATCTTCTTCGGCTTCGCCGCGGCCCCACCTTTCTTCTTGGTGTCATCTTTCGCCACCCCAACTCCACTTCCCCGTTTTCCACCCTTGCTACCCCCTTCGAGCTTGGGCTTCTTGGTCTTGCTCTTCTTGCCTCCAACCTTGGGACTGACCGCCTTCCCTTTGAGCTGACCCTCTTGGATTTCCTTTAGAAGGTCTCCATGTCGGTTTTGGAGATCAAACTGCCGCTTCGCCAAAGCTTGCAATTCGGCTTGGACGGCGTTCAATTCGTCCATCTGACGCTTCATCCATACTCCAGAATCCTCCACGTCGCTCTCCTCTTCCTCCTCTTCGTCGCTGAGGTCGACTTCCGTGGGGCTGGCGGGTGTGTTCTTCGAGACATAGTCGTCCAGTTTACTCCATTCGTCCTCGAAGTATTTCTCCAGCTGTTTGCCCGCGAAGCTAATAGGATGATCCGGTCCGTTGAACTTGTAGCAGTTGCTGAGCATAAGCTTGAAGTCGCGATACACATCCTTGGCGTTATGGTAGTGGCCTTGTTCAACGTTCCTTCGGATGGAACCAAGATCCATTGGCTTTTTGATGACCTTGTGGTAGGTGGGGATCTGGAGAGCCACAGGGTCGACTTCATAGTAAAATGAGGCTGCGACAGCTTCGTATTTGGGCTTGTAGAATTCATTGACCACCTGCTCGGCGAACTGCAGTTCCACCGCTTTCCTGCCCTTCGGCTTGGGCTGGTTGTAGATGAGATCTTTGGACGGTGGTCGATGGATCTCGCGCTTTGGTCGATCCGTGGCAGCGCTATCGCGGCGAATCAGAGGAAGCCCGTCAGGTTTGAGTGCGAATGCCGTAGACGCTGGAGGCGACCCAGCACTGCCGGAAGGAGGTGGCATGGCGGTTGGGACCACGGCGGGCGCAGGGGGCGCCGGGGGCGAAGACTTTGTACGCGATTCTCGTCGCGGTTGCGAAAGACGAGTCGGCGCCGTGGGAGGTTTTAACAGCTTTTTCGGAGCTGGCAGCGGGTCACCCGACTTGGGCATGACGTTGAGAAGTTTGATGAAGTAGGCTTTCAAATCGTAGCCCGAGAGGGTAACTGCATGATTCGGGCCGTTGAAGGTCATGCAATTGCGGACCATGGTGTCGAAATCGTCCATAAGATCGTTTGTGGAGGAATATTCGCGTTCACGAAGCTTCTTCTCGATGGTTGTGAGATCCATTGGGCGCTTGATGAATTCGAAATACGTAGGGATGTTGAGTTTGACGGGATCAACAGGCTCGGCAAAAGAGGCACCGGCCTTGATCTTTTTGGCCTTGCGAAGAGATTCTTGCAGGTACCGGTGCTGTGCATCCGAGATGGGGTTGGAGTCGAAATCTCGCTTGGCCATGATCTCGTCCGCGAAGCTGGGAGTGGCCGCGGGGGGTGCTGGCCCTGCTTGAGGGGTACCATTTGTCGCAGGAGCTGGCGATGGAGTAGCCGGTTGTTCGGCCACCGGCACATCCAACTTCTGCGCATCTGATGACTGTGGTGGAACAGGAGCCGAGCCCTCGTCAGTCTTTGCGCGCTTTGCTGCCGGCTCTGCATCGTCCTCATCCTCCCTTGCGCGCACCTTGCTGGGTGCGGGTACATCGGTCATTGTCGCATCCATATCTGTGCCAGTGGCGGTATCTGGGGGAGCGGAACTGGAGGCTGGTTCATTCACTTGAAGCTTTTCGCTGACATCGGTCGGCTGAGTATCCATCATAGACGTATTCGCAGTAGTACTCTGGGCACTGTCGTCCATTTGGGGCGACTCCGTGACAGGTGGAACTGACTCGGAAAGTGACGGATATGAACGGTTCGCCGTGCCATTCGTGGCCGGTTCCTCCGTTGCAGTTTGTTTTGCTACATCTTCTGTGGTGTCCATTGCATCCGGTACGCCATCAAAAGCCAAGTCCGGTTTCACAACCGGCGCTTCTTCCAGAGCTACTTGTTCTGCTACCGGTTCGTCTCTCACATCCGACGTGGGTTGTTCAATGGGCGGTGGGACGGATATGGTCGCGATTGGATCTGGTTCTGTCTTGGCCGGCTCGACGGTCGATGCAGCGTGATCAACAGGATCGGGTTGCGCGGTGGGAAGAAGCGCGGATTGTTGCGACGCATGGTCTTTCATTTCGGGAATGTAATCCGTCGCTGTCGTTGGCGCGATAGACGCGCTGTTCTCACTCTCTAGCCGCGCTGCAATCGTGTCTTTGTGCTCGTCTTCAGGTGCAGTTGCCGTCAAAGAAGTCGGCGCAGGTGCGAGGTCAACAGCTATCGATGCGGAATTTGTCGCGTCGGCGGTGTCAAGGGCAGGCGATGCAGATGGAGTGGACTCGGCGAACATGTCGTAGTCTTGACGGTTGGAGGTTCTGCAAGTACGCAAGAAGTTTAAGCACATGTTCAGGAAGTGGCAACGAATGTGGCGATCTGAGTCAGATATGTGGAGGTGAGGGGAAGGGAGATAAACCACATCGCCTTGTCGCGCGTTTCCCACTGCGCGAATGACAACAGGCATGAAAGTGTAATGGAAATAGAAAACTCAGGTTCTACGTACCCTTCATGTTTCAACACCGTTTCGTTATGCGACTGCGACTCGTCCTCTTTGCTCTCCTCGAACGGTTGCCTCTCCGGCGCTGGAGGTTGGGATGCCATGATGTCCATCAATATTGATTGCGCCAAGTGAGATTCCAGATCCGAGGGAGTGGAAATGGATGGTCCAAAGTGAGATCCGAACGGGTGGAATGCGGAGTTCACGATGCGCGCATGTAGGCGTTGCGACCAGTGGAAACTCACTTTGGGATGGTTTCAGGCTCTGACGCGATGGATCGCAAAGGTGACAGGCGCGACTCGGAACGATTCGGTAGTGGTATTACGATGTCGACGACCGTCTGCGAATACGACGCGCCGGATTGACGGGTGTACGGTGGTGGTGCGCAGATGGAGGTTTGCGGCAAACAAACGGATTCGGCGCGGCGTGATGGCGGGTGATAGGGACCTGATGGATTCGGACGCGACTTTCAACGGCGATCGCGTAGATTCAAGATAGTGCAACGGATTCGAAGATAAACAGACGGTTGTCGCCCGAGTTAAGTGAAAGGAAATCGCGTGGTGGCGTATGGTGGTTCTTCTGGTTGCAGAAGTCGCGGAAGGAGTTCCGTGACGGATGAGGGAGGATCCGAAGCAGTGGAGCGCGTAGTGACGGAGGTGGATCTGACGGTGATGATGAAATGGGGGCGAAATGATTTCTGTTACAATCCACGGCACATGTGCAGGCGACGATGAATGAAGCTGGTGAAGATGAAAGAGAGTGGTAGAGTGCAGGGGTGGTGGGGAAGTAGTGATGTAAAGAAGGAAGGAAGTGAACCGGTCGAAATCGCAACTTCCAAAATCCGAGCTTGGGACTTTTTGTTCGGAGGACGGAGGTTCAACTTTTTAACGCGGCTGGGGAGATGCGCAGCTTAAATGATGACTGGTCAGTCGTGATACGGGAGGGGCCCGGCCTAGGCACGTGACCCTGCGCCTCCTTGGATCTGCTACTGTGGCGGGTGTGATTGGTCACCGCGCTCTCTTGGGCCCATCACAACCCTCGCAACTTCACCAAGGCTCCAACATAAACTGGAGGATTTATGGACAGACGCGGATCAACGGAACTGAGGAATACCTACCGAATACTTAATACCGCGGCCATCCGGGGTAAACGAAGTGTAGCTATGAAAATAAAGTGACAATAAAGCCTGCTGTACTACTGCATGTCTGCTTCATACCTACCCAACGTCCAATTGCGACGCGTCGCCTGCCCGTGTCGCGTTGACTGGGAGCTGGTGATAGAATCCATTTTCTGTGGTTCTTCAACCAGACCTGTCTCACTACCGCCAATCTGGATGGATGACGCGCTCTTCCTAAGCCCCGACACTCCGGATCCTGGGATATCAGATTGTCTGAAACCATCATTACAGATTCTTGTTAGTCTTGCTCGGTGTTACACTGTGAAGTGAGTGATCATTCCAGATCCAGCGAACGAGAAGTGAATTAGAAATTGGGAATTGGGAATCGGGAAGGAGACCCTGGTCCGGGATTAGGAAAGAGCGGCCTTGGGCACCCAGAATTCCCATCGGACTGGACAGCGATGGACATGATTTTCGGTTTACTGCTTCAGTGAAGTACCTAATTCCTGTCGGGATATCTTGCTGTGGATTTCATTAAAAATATCTGTCACTTTTATGGAAGAATGGTGGCTGAGAGATCCAGCATCAACAACCCCTTTATGGTTCCTTCCCGTCTGTGCGTCCTCGCTCCAAATTTTCGCCTCACACACACGGGAAACATTTCACGTCAACATTTCCTGCCTGCCGCGATCCCCAATCCGTCTTAGCGTCATACATCCCAGCCCATGTCCGAAATTTTTCCAACCCTTCCAAAGCATCCGTTGCAAATTGGAAACATTGGACGCCCGTCATCCATCACCGACTTTTTTCCTTTCCGTCTGCCCACTACATCGCTGTCGTGTGTGCTCGTCGTCTTCTCCCCTTACCCAGTCTTTCCTTTGGGCCATTCAGCAACCGTAGCAATTGCTATTCGATGAGCAGGTGAAGAAGTCGAGGTGCAAAAAAGAAGGAAGGGACCGTGAATACTGCTGGGAGTTGCTACCCCTCGACGCTTCCTAATTGACGGATCTCCAATCGGAACGGAAAGCGCGAGAAGGGCATTTACCACGTGTACCAAGTAGCTTCTAGGAAACAGAAGCATCCGCTACACTAAAGATACCCGGAAAGGCGCGATAGACGTTTATCTAAACTTTTATACGTTCTTCCACTTGGAGCTTGGAAATCCACCATCACATAAATTACACAGCCACAGAGTATCCATTCGACTCTTCAATTCCTCTCTCACCATCCTCTTATCTCCAACCCCGAATCTTCATTCATCCTTCGACACGATGCCCGCAGTCAACGGATCACAGACCTCTCCGTCGGCACGGCCGTCGAAAAAGGCACGGCATTCAAATGGCACCGCCAAACCCTCAACAAAACCATCTTCGGCCCTCGAAAATGCGCTGCTGCAGAACAAGGGGAAAAAACTAACGGCGACCTCGACCACGATGAATGGGTTTCGCAAAGAGCGGAACGCGCGGACGGACGAATCGCGTGCGGTCGTGGGGACAAAGTTCAGTGAAGGCTTCGGCAACGTGAAAAACGATGTGGAAATGAAAGACGCCCCGGAAGTGGTCGAAATCTCGAGCGCCAGTTCCTCGGATGGCAGTGAAGACGGTGCAGAAGACGACGAAGCGGAGCCAGCACAAGAAAAACTCCTAGGGGTGCAGAAAAAATCGGTCAATCCGACCGAGGCACCAAATGTCAACGGCTTTGGAGCACATAAGCGGGAGCGAGAAGAGGATGAGGGAGACCTCGATGCCGACGACGGCACCACATCCACGCTCCGCGACCCCGACGTCCCGTCATTCGCGGACCTCCTCAAAGCACGCTCACCAACCCTTATCCCCGTGCACTCCCCCTCTCCGCCGCCATTTACCTCCCTCAGCCATCCCGGCCCCCAACCCACCGCCAGCGCCCTTGCCCCCCTCGACAACCCCACCCCACCCCACCTCACCGCCCTCCTCACCACCGCCCTCCGCACCTCCGACCCCACCCTTCTCAACACCTGCCTCCTCACCCCCTCCCTCACCACCATCCGCCTCACAATTGAACGCCTCTCCTCTCCCCTCACCATCCCCCTCCTCTCCCACCTCGCCAACACGATGCACCGCCGCCCGGGCCGCGCCGGCAGCCTCATGGTCTGGGTTCAATGGATCCTCGTCTCCCACGGCGGCTATCTCGCCTCGTTGCTCGCCGCCGCTGCCACCGACGGCAAAGGCCCCCGCGGCAAGAAGCACGTCGGCGCGCAGGCGCAGGAGGTAGTAGAGCTGATGAAGAAGCTGCGGGCGCTCGAGCGCGTGTGCGACGAGCGGGCGCGCGGGCTGGAGCGGCTGCTGGCGCTGAAGGGGAAGTTGGACCTGCTGGTCGCGCAGATGGAGGTGCGGAAGGGGCGGAAGGAGGAGCGGAGAAGAAGGCGCGAGGATGAGCGCGTGTGGGTGGAGGGGCAGGGCGATGAAGGATGGGACTCGAGTGACGATCGGGGGATCCAGGCGATCGTGGGTGCCGAAGGGGAGGAGGATCTGATCGACGTTGAGGCGGCGGTTCGGGCGGACTTGGTCGCGGCGGGGATGGATGCCGCGGAGTCGCGAGTGCCGAAACCGAGCAAGGGGTCCGCGCGACGGAAAGCCAATGACGACATACTCGCGAAGTCGCGACGTCGGTACGAACGGCTCGGCATGGACGATGGGCTTGGTTCGGCGGGCAGTTCGGACGATGACGAGATGCCGACGACGGGGATGCTGAACGGCGTGGGGACGGACGAGGAGGAAGAGGAGGAAGAGGAGGACGAGGAGAGCGAGGACGACGATGCGAGCCTATTGGATGACGAGGCGGAGGAAACGAGCGACGATGACGGAAGTGATGGGGACGATGACGATGTCTTCGATGAAGGGGAGAGCATTGTGGATGATGGGATGGATGTCGATGAGCTGGAGAGCGAGGTGGAAATGCCGAAGATCCAGTTGAAGAAGTCGGGCAAGGGCAAAGGGAAGGGAAGCAGATGAGCTGTGCGAGGCATATTTTAAATGCTTTCCGTTGGCTGTGCGGGTGCTGTCTTCCATCGCATTGGAGTATATGAGTCCATGGAGGATTCTGCGCATTTCTGGTGTTTGTAGCTTGCTCAGAACGGACATGTAGTAGATCGTGTCGGCGAGAGGATACCGCTATCCAGGCTGTAGAACTTCACGGCGGTCGATCGATGTGGCGGCGGAGAGCGGCGAGAAAGATGTAGAAAGGGGAACTTTTTGATTGGTAAATAGTTTGGGTGTCAATGAAATGGAAATGGCGCATATTTGTTGCAAATGGATTCCTCCCGCCGCAAATATCATATTATAAAGTATCCCCGTCCGCTCCTGTAGGCTTCTTTCGGAAATTTCTCAGATTATTTTACCGCCCCGACATCCCAGGACAGAAGATCCGTTGATCCAGCTCCGCTCCCCGTCGTATATCAATCATACAAAGAGTTTCTTATCCATCTCACTCCGCGTCGCTTCCCGGTGAAAACGCCTCTATCAATGCTGTAACAAAGTCCCAGAAACATAGTCCGCCCGTCTTTCACCCACCCCCAAGTATTCTCCAAACATCCAATGCGCGCCGTTTGAAACCACGCGAACCCAAGCTGGAAATTGACGCCTTATATCACCGCGGGGGCATCATGGCTTTATCGCTTGCTTCTCCGCGAACCGGGTCATCTCCTCCTCGCAACTCCGCCCTTCCTCGTCGCAGGTGTGGAAGCTGATGATGAAATCGTCGTCTTTGTACACGCCGTCGAGGGCCGCGACGGCGGAGTCTTTCGCGGTGTACGCGTTCAGTATCCGCTGGGGGACGAGGGCAAGTTTTGCGAGGATGGTGCCATGCCATCTAAGTCACACGATGTCAACCAAAGGACGGTGAGAGAAAGGTCTGCCAAAGGGAGGATACATACTGCACGATATGCTCCAGCGCGTGGACGTCGGACTTTTGAAAATTATACGTCCGATAGAGCGGATCGAACCACGCGTCCAGCAAATAATGCGCCCACTCCCCCCGCCGCACCACGAAGCTATCACGCCCCAGTCCCTCGTGATCCTGCGTCATCACCAGATCGATGCGGTCGCCCTTTAGGTGGCCGAAGGTCTTGATGACCGAGTCCGGCGGGACGACGGGGATGCTGGTGATCATGAGTGACTCGAGGCGGCGGGGATTCATGATATGCGCCTCGATGGAGAGGGAGGGGTTGGCGATCAGGCTGTGGGGGTCGAGGTAGAAGAAATAAGTGCTATAAGGGAAGAGAGTCATGGCGTGGCGGAGGGCGGGGACTTTGGCCCAGGAGATGGGAGCGCCTTCGAGGGGATAGGCGGTGGCGTTGGGGAGGAAGGTCGCGTAGCCTATGCGTAGGGAGGATCCTCATCAGCACGTCTTATTTCTAACTGACACGCCGACGCAAACTCACCGTGCTTCTTCGCGTACTCCTCCCGATTCCTGCGTATATGCTGAGTCCACCTATCCTTCTCTTTCGGATCAAACGCTGTCACCACCACCACCGGCGGCATCCCCGACGGCACCCTAACCTTCGACGACCCGGACCCGCCAAACAGATTCGACAGCAGCCAGATCGCGGCGACGACCCCGATGCACAGTAGCGCTATTGACTGCCCCTTGCTCTTCCGCAAGAACGGCACCGACCGCACTGACCGCATCGCGTACGGCGGCGGATTGGAGGATTTCCGTGGCGGAAAAGCGAAGTGCATCGTGGGCTGCGGCGGTGGAAAGGAGAGAGGGATGAGGGTGGAGAAGGAGAGGGACGGAGAGGGAGGGCCTGGCAGCTAGACGAGGCGCGGAGACGGGGCGGTGGCCGTATCCAGTGGTGTAGAAGGCGGCAAATTGGTCATTCTAGATCAAGCGGGGAGTCAGCGATATTAATATGAGCAACACATCTTTCAGCGTGCGACACGGTGGTGGAAGAGTCGGTTGGAAGGGAATCATTCATCCATGGTTGATGGACGGATTCGCTCACTTCGCTGCTGGAGGTCGAGATGATCGTCGAAGCAGAGGCCCTGACCCCTGTATGAAGTAGCATTGGAGAGCTGACTCAGCTGACATGGGTAGAGAATAGAGATTCCAATTGATGCGTTGTTAATTAGTGATATGTAGCCTATTCCTCATTCCCTATTGCTCCCTTCGCCTGTTAAGTGTTGAATTAAATCATACCGTAATTACTGCATTCTGATTCCTATCACAGATGACAGAATATCTGTGTATCTTGACCATTGCACTCGGTTATCTCACTCCTTGTCGTATTCCCTCACTCCTTACCCTCTTTAGCAATGAAGCGTACCCCTATAACTACGAATAACCTGACTTGACGAAATCCCTTTTTTCGCACACGTCCCAACACCGCCTTGAACAGTATATGTTATAGCCCTATCAAGACAAAAAGAGTTTGAATCAATCTAGGTTGAACAGCTTTCGTGTATCTGTCTCTCAGCCATCTCTGTCCATGTCCATTTCATTTCATGAGTCAATGCCATCGTCAAGCCTTGGAGGTACGTCTATGCATGGAGTATACAGAGACAGTCTGTTCTGTCTACGAGGAAATTGTGTTGCATGCAGGCCACGTACTGCGAGGGGAATATGACGCTGGTCGAACATGGGATATTCAGAATCAACAGAACAGACGGCACAAACACTGCCCAATGTGCCGGCTCGTCGACTGTGCCTTTCACGGCATTCGCAAGCAGAACGCAAATGACAGTTTTGTAATGCGCTGGGACCCGATGTTATGCTGCCACCTTGACCGATTCCGTGGATTCGATCTTCCAAATCTGCTTTATGCCTGCGTCTTCCTCATCTACTGCTCTCACAACGGGATCAAGCCGTGATGCAGACCCAATCCCGACCGAAGGATTGAAACTGGGTCGCCTTGTAAGGGAACAAATCGATATCCAAGAAATAAGAAAGAGCTTGGAGGCATGTGAACTAAAGCACTCAGACATTTGTGAGAGACAACAATCCAGTCTCCATCCTGTCTGGCCGCTCCGGCTGATCGATGTCGTCAACCAATGCATTGTCGAAGCGGCAAGTCCTTGCGGATACTTCGCTCTTAGCTATGTCTGGGGTGGCATTCCCAATGTTTGACTCACTACCAACAATAAATCAGCCATGTTCACCACGGGCGTCCTGGAAACGATCTGGGATTTGATTCCGAAGACCATTCAGGACGCCATCGTGCTCACCAAAGGACTTGACGAACGTTTTCTTTGGGTTGATGCAATCTGCCTCTTACAAAATGATGAGAGGGACATACAACAAGGTGTCAATGTTATGGACAGCATCTTCGAGAATGCACTAATGACAATCATCGCTACTAATGAGCCCGACGCAGACTCGGGCCTCCCCGGCGTGGACGGCTATAATCGCTTCCACAGGCAGCTTCTTGAGGTTATCGACAATATCGCATTTGTTGTCCACCCTATGTTAGATGTGCTCTTGTCATCTTCTACTTATTCCAAGCGGGCTTGGACGTATGTTGCCTATGAACTGTTTAGGCCTACATCCGTCAATTGCTTACTTATACTAGGTTTCAAGAAGACATGTTTCCCGTCGAGCGCTTGTTTTCATCAACAACCAATGGGTTTTTCGCTGTCAAAATTCCATCCTGTCTGAAGACTTGCTCCATGCGTTCCCACGACATCCTTTTTTGAAACAGCTAATGACAATATGGGAGGCCCCAAGGCGACAATTTCAACGCCTGATATGTGATTACACATCTCGCGCATTGACAAATCAAGCCGATGCTTTAAATGCCATTGCTGGCCTCTCGAGACGAACCCTACCAGATCTTCTGGGGGATTTAGTCGAAGGGTTGCCAAGCCAGGATATAGACCTTTTCATTACTTTCACTTCGGCTATGTCTCCGCTTCGTCGCCGTGCTGGATTTCCAAGTTATTCTTGGGCTGGCTGGATAGGTCGCATATCCTATTATCGTCTCCGATCTAAGCTATTTGACGGGAGCAATGATACAGGACGATCGTGGATTAAATGGTATCAGAGATATTCGACCGATCGGGCTGACCCTCTATGGAATGTCGGAAAGCCGGATGTTGGGCCGTGTGATGACTCTTTAGCCTACTTGGAACAACAGGTGCCTACCTCAGAAAGGGATTCACGGCAATCTACCCCAACCGCTTGGAATCGCCTTGGAATCAGCGAGTATCGTCGTCCATATACCATGTTGCAGTTCTGGACATATGCCATACATCTGCGGCTAGGAGAGTTTGACGTGTTCAGTGCAATGGCAACCATCCTAGATGGTCAAGGTGCGGATTGTGGTACGGTCAGCATGGACGAATTTGAAGAAGACGATTTTTTCATAATCGGCTCGGTATATGAATTCATTTTGCTGTCGCCGTTCAAGCCGCTTCATTACTCGGCGGGGGACCGCAATCAAGTCGGAGCAGAATCCGATCAATTCTTCGTTCTACTTCTTCAGCCGAAAGGTGGGGTTTCAGAATGACGCGGGTTGGGGTCTGTAAATCTGGAAGCAGTGGGCAGGTCTTTTTCTCCTGGTCCAATGTGGAAGGAGATTGTTCTGGCTTGATCCTCGGGTCTCACAAGTGTTCGCATTCGCCGTCATCGAAATTCGACGGTTGACGACCTCGCGATTCCAGACATTCACATCTGTTTCTCACAGTGGAAAGCTTGCTCCTGCTTCCGATATCGTAATATTCGTTTGCTACCATACGGTTTCGAGAAGGGAATTAAACGACGTTGCCTCTAACTTGTTTGACGTCCTTGATCCTAATATCTCTCCAAAGGGCGGCGCACACCACGGCGCCAGCTAAGAGGCACACACTCGTGATGAGCATGTACCTCTGAGAATCGGCGTAAGCATAGCCGATACCAATCCTGTTTGGAGTTCCAACCCGGTACGCTAACTGTTGGTACATGTTGTTATAAATGCGTTCGATCGGTGCTCCCTCCGGAAGATGCTTCTCGAGAGCCGGTCGGAACGTTCCCGTCCAGATCGCCCCTGACACGGTGGACCCAAGCGCATATCCAACGCTGCTGAACAAATCGAGGATGGCGATGATGACGGCGATGTGTTGGTGGTCCGACGGTGCCATCATGGCCATTTCGCCTGCGATTACAATTGGGCCGCCAGCGAAGGCGACGAAAATCTGTGTCATGATCACATAGCCGATGTCGACATCCGGTTGTCGGAAATGGATCATGAGTCCCACTCCCAACATCATCAGGGGAATCGCGAAATAGAGCGCAACCCATTTGAACCGGCCGGACCATCTGATGAAAACACCAATGATCAATGCCGAGAAACACGATCCGACGCGGTAAATGTTCGTGATGTATGTGGCTTTGGCGACGCCGGTGTTCCAGACGACGAGGAGCATAGAGGTGAAATAGCTGTTCCACACCGCCGAGTTGAAGAAGACGAAGGTGAACATCAACCCTCCGAAGAAGACGGTTCGATCGGCTAGCAACTTCACAGGAATGAATTTGACGGGGGCAAGGAACTGCTCGTACAAGACGAATGCGATGATGAGAAGGCCACCGACGATGATCATAGAGATGATCATGGGCGAACTCCAGGACTTCGCCTGGTACGAGTAGAGGCTGAACGGGAGGAGGAACAGCGCCATGCCGCCCGCAAGAATTATCAGGCCAATCAGGTCCACTTCAATAACGTACTGTTTGACACTCGAGAGAGTCAGTTTCCCTCTGCTACTCCGGATCAGCCCTGCTTTCTTGGCTTTCTGATGGTTCCAGAGGAACAGCGCGATCAGCGGCGAAACCACAACGGGAGTCACAATCGCGAATATGCCGAACCCCCATCGCCACCCAGGACCTTGAACAACACTGTCGGCGATTGGACCACCGATCCAAGTTGTTACGATGTATGGCGATGTCGCGAAGGCCAGCATCAGCGGTCGATTTTTCAAGGATGATGTATCGGCGATGAAAATGGTCAAACAGTAGCTCACACCTTGAGCACTAAGTTCGTATCAACATCGGCTCGTCCATAACCACGGCTCGCAGGGCGGGAAAAGGGCACTCACCCGACTGCAGAGAAGACCTGCGCGGCGCAATAGGTCTCCACATTATGGCAACAAGCCATCATAATCAAGCCAAGGACCCAGATAAGGAGCGTCAAAGCCAGACCTTGAGGTCGACCCCAGGTATCGAGAATCTTAGCGATGGGTAGTTTCGACAACCCTCCGATTATACTCGACATGATCGTTGTCGTGGCAGTTAGCGAGTGCCTGGAGAACGCGCTCGTCACGAAGGGGGTCAACGACCGAACAACGACCTCAAACGCCGACGTGATGAAGTATATCAACCAGATGCTGTTCAGTCGGTGTTAATGGGACTTTCTGGTCGAGACTAAGTCGCAGGGAGACCGTACAATGCGTATGCCGCAACGAGGTCCCATTTCCCCCATATTGTCGTTGTTGCTTCCACGGCTTGCACACCGGCTTGTTTATGTTCCTTCTTCAAGTCCTCGTCCTCGATGGGACCATCGTGCGCCCTCACTTCGGCGATCTCCTCCGGTTTCGCTGAGAAGTCTATCGGATTGGGGGCCTGAGGCCCTGGCGGCACTGAAGCCATTGTCCTTTAAAAGGTATAAAACGATGGAGATGATCCGACGGCAAGAAGAAACAAAAGGCAAAGACTGTGACTGAAGTGGAAAAGTGAAAGCAAAACTAATGCCTGACACAGTCAAACCAACTGTCCATGGATCGATGATGTGCGACTACGGCAGGCGACCAGCAGGGGGTATATTATTGTCGAACATTGACCGAACCCGCAACATGGCCCTCGAGGCCTCGACCCTAAAAGCTTTAACCTACCTGCTGCCGTCACAGCCATAGAGCTTCTCTTCGTCAGCTATGGACGCGGTGCTGGACACACTACTCCAGTCAAACTATCCGGGATTCGGCGCATGAACCAGTGAGCTTTCCGTCCCACGCGGCATCCAAGCGATTTCAATTCGACTTCCCTGACAAACAGGCCACGAACCCACCGGAAGCGGGGCATCTTGCTTTGGGAATATTAGGAATCTGGGATGTTAGACGACAAGTCCAGGTTCCAAGTCCAGTCTCCCAAGCCCAGCTGCGTCTTTCTGAGCGCCAACCCCTGACGGCGCTTCCCTTGGCGCTGGAAAATTTGATCTTATCTGCTAATCTGATCATCTTATCTCTGCATGTGATGGCTTATCTGATCATCAGCTGATCCGTGCGTTCAACACCATCACCTCTTCCCCTGGGATTCCTTTGAATTCCTCACGCAATTTCTTCACCTAGCAAGGATTTTGCCGTGAATTGTTTCGTGGTGCCTCGTCGAGTCGTGGTGATTGGGCTTTTCCGCGCCGATATTCGGCATAGGCATTTCGTGAGGCGTGGGCTTCGGCCTGCGGGCTACTGAGTCCTGACCAATACACTGGTCGGTACGAACTCACCATGAAGGAGCCAGCTCCTGTTCAGGAATCAGGATAGCTCTACCGGCTACCACAGCGGCGCTATTGCAGATGTAAAAATGAGGAAAAACATACTTTGAGACCTAGACCCCTCGAGGTCTTCCGCTACCCGGTGACACATATATCCCCTTGTCCGAGCTGTTTGCCGCTTTCAGCCAGTCTCGTAAAGCTTTCTCCGTTATTCCTCTCAAATCTCAGCCTGTCTGTTCTTCCCCATCTCAGTCCATTAAATCAATCCAAGTCTATCCCAAACTCCTAATACCCTCGCCATTCGACACAAAAGCATCAAGATGAAGTACCAGGTTGCTCTTCTGTTCGCCGCCGGCATCGCCGCTGCCGTGCGCATCACCGACTTCACTCCAGAATGTGCGGACAAATGTCTCGAGGAGGCTGTTGCTGCCGGCTCTCCTTGCACAGTCGACGAAGCTGAGTGCCAATGTGAGGTGGATAACTACCGTGCCATCTACGATGCCGGCGTAACCTGCGTGCTCACTGCCTGCGGTGGTGACGTCGCCATCAGTAAGTGCTTCTCCGCCTCCACCATCTCCCTGTATCACGTCCTCTGACTTGCCCCTAGACGAGGTGCTTCCCGGAGCCGCTGCTTTCTGCGAAGAAGTTATCGGTCCTGTCGCCACTCAAGTCCCGAACCCCGGCGAGTCCAGTTCGGCCGCTCCTAGCTCAGAAAGCTCTGCCGCGACCCCTGCTCCAGCCACCACCACCCAAGCGGGCTCAGCTGCGCGCAATGGAACCTCCACCCCATCCGCTAACCCCCCGGCCGCTACCTTGAGTGAGGCTGGCCCTGCTCCCTCCGGCGCTGCGAGCAAGATTGGCGCGGGTGTTTTGGCTCTTGGTGGTGCCTTGGCCGTGTTCGCGCTGTAAATAGCTCAGACGGCTATACTTTGGTGTGCGGTGTTTCTCAATAGCGACGTGGCATTTTCGAACAAAGCAAGGCGCGGGTCTTGAATTGGTTCTGTCTAATAATGCGAAGGGTAGGTTTAGCGAATGTCATGTACAGCATATTGCAAGCTTGTACCAATAGTACGTTTTCAAACCCATGAAGTCCATGTGCGACAGAATATTCTTAGCTGCTCCATCCAGTCTCCCTGCCCTCAAGATGCGAGAACGTCCATTGGGTTCAACTTTGAGAAAGATACGGTATTTCTCTTAGGACCTCCATTAATTGTATGTGCCTCCATGGTAGGAATTGCTCTCATTCTGACGACCCCAGTGGAAATGCCACCCAAAGGAACACAACTGCGTCACTAACTCCCGTCACGGCATATAGGAGACTGCTGCCATCTGCTGCACGACCTTATTACGTCATTTCGCCCCAACAAATCGTCGATCCCCTCCCGACTATGTTAATACTTGAAGCATATAACAGACTGCATGTTCTCTATAAAGTAAAGAGCCATTTCTAATATTGGGTTGTTTGAAGAATATCGCCTGCGCTTCCTAGCTCATCAATTCATGCGCAGTCTATTTTTGAGCATGTTTTGTTAAGCGTACAGTTTCAGTTGATTCATTCATTCGCAGCTCACCGGTATCAAACCCAGTCAGCTTTTGAACAAGCAGAATTTGACGAGGCATGATATAACATGGCGAACGAAACGATCGACCCCATTGCCTGCATTCGTCTCGGGTACAAAACGGATGAGATCTCCTGTTGCTACGCTAGCAACCAGACCACCGACGTCTGCAACCGCTTCTTCGGACAAGAGTCGATTCTTCAGGCTGGCTGTCAAAGTGGGGACTGCATTGCGGATTGCCAAAGCAAAGAGCTTGTGTATACATCGTTCCTCCAAGATAACCTAACTGGCAATGGCAAGGGTCCTATCCGAAGATACATGGCATGTGCAAACGTGCCCTCGATCGCCACATATCAGAGGATGGGGCTACTGACTCCAGCAAATGCTGCCGCATCCAGGCAGTTCATTGCGCAGAACGCAAGTGATGAGAGTCTGCGGAACATCACGAGCACGGTTACAGACTGTCTTTCGTCGACCTGCAGGGCGTCAAGGAGACGTAGGCTGTGCTATGACGACTACTGTTCACCAATGCAACTCCTTGCGAAGAATTCTTCGCCCAACCTCACTGCTATCCATCGATGTTTGAATAGACTCTGTTACAGCAACTATGCCGCGCTCCCTTACGCCGATGTCGATGTTATAGGTATTGGGGTATGTTCTTCCATTGCAGATCAGTCATTTCAGAGACCACTGCGCTCAAACCTTGCAGGTTTTCTCCTCTTATATTCTTCAATGCCTGTTGATCCTTATGCTCTGGGCCGGTTTGGTCGTCTCAGGCATATACAAGAATAGCAAGCGTCGGAGACATGCAGCAAATGCATCCGTCAAGTTGCCGTCCAGGAGGCACCATCGGTCTTGGATGGACCTGCTGCTCCAATTCCACATAACCCAATGCTATTTTAGCGGAACGCTGATGATTGCATCGCTGTCGTACGGCATCTACGAAACCAGCATGCTTGTTGTCTTCATGTTCATTCCAGTGGCAACGAACGGGATACTGCCGGTAGTATTCGCTTACTTGTTGCTTGTCTACTACTGGAAGTCATCCACAGGCATCACTCTTCTTACCATCGCCGTTTATATACTGTCCTCCGCTGTCTATTGGAGCCTTTATGCGCAAATCATCAGCCTAGCGGACATCTCACGCCAGGATATCTATCAGCAGTTCATGTTCAAGCTTTCGGCGATCCCAGCATGCGGTGGGTATTCGGCGCTCGCCGTTTGCCCACATATCTCCTTGCTCGGCTTCAAGGAAGTCAAGCTTGCTTCGGATAAATTGATTGTACTGACACCGTTCATTTGGACTTTCTCCACCGCAGTGCTCGTTACTCTCCTTGGCTTCCAACTCTACCAATGGAATGCGGAGAGGAAGAGCACAGAGGCTACTTCAAAGCAAGTCGATGATGCGGAGCCAATGGTTGATGCTCGAGGGTTCGAAAGACCACGAGTCATCCGCATGGCCTTCTGGGCTACAACGCTAGGAATGATTGTGGGAATGGCAGCGCAGCTCTCGCTCCTTGGGATTGGGACATCCCTCAACATGATGAATCTCTCCGACTGGAGTTTTGGACAGATTGTGGCGGTGACCATCTGGGTCCCACCGTTGCTTGATTACTTCTATGGTGAATTGAGTGAGTGATCGCCAGCATAAAGCCCAAGTCAGCAAGTCCGTGTACTGATAGAGACATAGAGGGAGTAGTCAATAGGATGGTAGGCAAAGGTGATGTGTCGATGACTGAGCAAGAGCTCATCAGACTTAATACGGCCAATGTCCACGCCCGTGAGTCTGAAGACGGTGAAGAGAATCATGGGAGGAGCTCGGAGGTGGCGACATAGTTGGAACGGGCGGAGCTTGCGAAACAGACGTGCATTAAACCCGCTTCGACAACTAAAGAGCCTCGCTCCTCATATTCCATAGCCTGAACGTCTTTGGTTGGACGGGATCGGTGAACCATGCAATTATTCATATCCCTTGCTGATGTGAACTGCTGAACTAAAATTTATGTACTTAGAGCACCTCTTTTCAGTTTGCAAACTTCTCCTCGAGCGGTCCGAGCCACGAGGAGCACTTTCTCAGGCATAGAAGGCGAGGAATCAGCCATTTGATGGCAATGAATTGTTTGAACAGATTCGAATGGTGTGAAATAGGGGTAAAGCAAAAAGGGGACAGAATCCGTTTCTCGTGGGCCGATGGTGCCATCCGCAAATACAAACATGAAGAAGTCAAAAATAGGGGGTATCCACTTGCTAGGTGTATGTCGTCAAAATCAGTTCTTCAGTCCTTCGTCTCAGACACTGTCACTCGTACGCCTTTGCTATCAAATTTGACAAACGGGATGAAGAAATCGTGGGCCATTTTCACATCGGTGACATCTGTTTCGAACAGATCGAATTTGAACTGGCGGAAGACCGTTCCAAGGCAGTAGTGCAGCTCCGCCCATGCGAGACTAATGACGTTGTCAGTATTACGATTCCATCGTGGCGATAGACAAAAGAATGATTGTCGACGTACTTGATTCCCATACACATCCGCGGTCCTCTTCCGAACGGAACCAAATAGTGATCGAGCGCTTTGCCAGTGCTCGCCACTGGGTTATTCAGCCACCGTTCTGGGATATACGAGTGCGACTGCGGGAAGATCTTTTCGTCATGATGCAAGTCTACGATGGTCATGGCCACGGTGGTATGTGCAGGGATGACCCAATCGTTGTACCGCAGCGGACGGTCATGAGCACGTGGATTCCGTGCAGACAGTCCGTAACCCAAGCGTAGCCCTTCTTGGATGCAAGCGCGAAGATACGGCAGCTTTTCAAAGTCGTACAAGCTGGGGACAACGGTCCGGTCGGGAAAGGCTTCGACAAGCTCCTTGTGGAGCTTCTCGTAGATGCTGGGCGTGTTGGAGATGTGGAAGGTCGCGATAGACAGCGTGTTCGCCGTGGTCTCAACACCGGCTCCGACTGTCGTCTGGGCTTCGTCTGCAAGGCGTTGCTGAGATTTATCTTCCGGAGGTAATTGGCTCTCGACGATTTCATTGAAGATGGTGCGGTGCGACACCTTGAGTTCTTCACCCCGGATGGTACGACCGACAAGATCCCATTGATCCCGTTTCAGTCGGAGAAGCTCTGCAGAAGCTGGCTCCAGGATCTGGACAAGCCAGTCCGGTAGACTATTCATTAACTTAGATGGTGTCAGCATTCGGTCTGAGTAAAGTTGAGTAATAACCGCCTACCGGGAGAACCCAGGGCCACTGGGCTGCGATATGACCCATTCCTCCTATAGCTTTAAAGGCATAGTGGAACGAATCGAAATTCGGAGTCTCCAGCTGATTGTAACAGAATCCAAACGAATACTGCATGATAATATCACCAGTATATGCAGAATACGCTTCTCTCACATTCAACACTTTCTTGGACTCGGCGAATTCTACCATTCGTCGAATCAGAGTGCTGGCTGTATCGCGAATCACGGGTTCGAGCTGCAGAATGGCCCTTTTCGAGAACCTGATTCTCAGATTAGGACAAGAAATCTCGGGAGGAAGAATAGGGAGTCGAACATATTGCTGAATGCGGCACGACGTTGACGATGCTTCGTCGCATCTGGCGTGGTGAACGTCGAAGCCTTGCTGCCAAATCTGGTATCCCATCCAATCTTCGCGACCTGGATTTTGGGGTTCTTCGAGTACACATCATCCCAGAAGTCAGGATCTCGGATGTGGATCTCATCGGGCGCAACGCGGACGATGGGGCCATATTCATCGTGCATTCGATCAATCCGCCTCGAGTACGAGCCGCTTTTGATAATCTCATAGTAACCTTCGTACCACCTCGTGAGCCCCGCGAACTTTGGACCCGGGAATTTCGCGAGAGGGCTCAGAAAAAGCCGATAGATGGCGACACCGACATAATAAACGACGAGGAAGGTAACAATTCCACCGATGATGGGAGTCCATGAGCCGTTGAGTTCGCCCTTCAGGACGGCAGCCAAACCGGCCATGGTGACACAGCAGAAGACTGAAGTCGTGACGGCTATCACGATGGAAATGGGTAGGGTACACAACTCTCATAGAAAGAAAGAGATCATTTCTGGGGGTGGTGTAAACTGTAACCCCAACTTATTCCACCCTCCAGGCCTCCACAGTCCACCTTCACCATCTAAGACAGTGGAAATTGGGATCCTTTCACTGGCGGGGGCCAGCGAGTCAGGCACTTAGTCTCCCGGCCTTCCCGCTACGGGCGCCAGTCATACAGTATGAGTGAACCATAGATCTGCAATCTGCATTTCCAATCTGGACGGAATCGCCTGCCATGGACGGATACTTTCTAAGCGACATTGACAAGGCAGCTGTGACACTGTGGAGAGCCGAGAACTGGCCCTGATGCTGGACAACCACGAAACTCGAACTGACGAAAGAGACGACTTGGAAGGTCCGCATATTCAAACTTCAATTCAGCAAAGGAAGCGATTAGACCGCGGGTGCTCCCTGCTCGGCTGCTCTAGTGCTCGTAGCTGCATGACTTGCATCCATCCACCATCCCCGGAGGCCGGACCCCCACAGTTGACAGTGCACAAAATGTTGAGCAGGGGCTAAGAATGCTCGTTAAGCACGAAACAATCGGGCGCTTTTGAGGCTTTCACAGCCCACAGGCTCTCTTGAAAAATGGAACTGAATGATACGTGATCCGAGAGCGCCATAACTCTTAAGGGAGGGTAATCATCATCAGTCCAACAGGGGATGTACCAACCACACTCCGTACTAGCATGTAGGTACATTAGGGATACGTCTCTAATCCTAACGACCAGTATTAACGCGAACCGGTGAGACCCCATCATCATATCACCTGTTATCGCGAACAGCTCGTACAAAATCAATGAAGATAATAGCATTTATTTGCCATTTGGGTCTTTGGCCGCAGGACTTCGCCTGAAAGCCGAAATGGGACGGGCTTGCACTTTGCAGGCTTGCATGGCTTTGCATAACCAGCATGAGTTGCAGCGAAAACAACATCGGAACACCCCAATATGTATCCCACACGCTGGACCCTCGCCTACTAGACAGCTTAGTTGACTTACTCGACTAGCGACTCGGGGAGGCGGGCCGATACGTCTTCGCCGCAGTACCCCAGCTGATCGTTGCCTGATCATGTTCTGATAGGTCGATGATTGGGCAGTGATAGGACTAAATAGTAGACATCAAGCGACACCGCCAACAAAGACGAAAGGGAGACTGGTGCCCGAAATCGCCCCTGTTGGCGTCCGTTATTGTCAATTAAGCCCGCGTTCACCATTTCGATCTCTCATGCAGTTGGCCCTTACTCGGCGCCCATGTGAACAGCAACCGTCGCATGCTGGGGATCAAATTGGCAGCGCATCCTTCATGACATTAATGCACGGCCTACTATGTAGAGACCGGCAATCCCAGAGTCGTGGGCCTGGAGCCCGTGTCAACTTCACATTGAAATCTCCATGATCAGACTTCAGGGCCCTGAATCCTCTGCACCAGTCGCCAATCTCTTGGATACACCGCATATCTCCACCCACATACACTTCGCTTGAGAATTCCCTCCTGCTTCTTATGTGAACGTGTGCTTCCTCTTGCCTATCGGTGGTTCCAGGACTTCGGTATTCGGTTTGTGCGGCAGATCACGCGGTAACCCTTCTAAACGGCGAGAACGAGGGGAGCACTGGTATCCCACGAGGTATTAAATCCAATGGCTTCCACCACGAACGCCCTAGGCAAAAACCCTTCGCCGACCACAGAATACCCCCTGGCGACGACGCACACGATGCAGTTAGAAATCGACACCGGCGAGGACAACGACTCTCTCTTTTCCGAGGAAGGCTCGACTAGGAGTGCCTCGATCGCTTCGTCCGTCCTCAACTATACGTACGAGAACGGCCGTCGATACCATGCCTACCGCAAGGGGGCGTATTTGTTACCGAACGACGAAGAAGAGCAGGACCGGCTCGACCTCATGCATCACATCTATCGGCTGTGCCTCGACGGCAAGTTGCACCTGGCCCCGCTGAAACCGGACGTACAACGCGTCCTGGATATCGGCACGGGAACTGGCATTTGGGCCATCGACTTCGCCGACGAGTATACATCCGCCGAAGTCATCGGGAACGACCTCAGCCCCACCCAGCCGAGCTGGGTACCTCCGAACTTGAAATTCTACATCGACGACATCGAGGCCGAGTGGACGTACAGCCCCTCCGAAGCATTCGATTACATCCATGTCCGAGGGATGGGAGGGAGTATCCTGGACTGGAACAAGCTGTACCAGCAGAGCTTCAAGAATCTAAAACCGGGCGGCTGGCTCGAACTGCATGAGCCGGAGGCTATGTTCCGAGGGGACGATGGGACCGAAAAGGCCGCCGAGTCCGTTCAACAGTGGCAGGGCCTGATTAATCAGGCGGCACGCAAATTCGGGAAGGAACTCGATCGTGCCCCGTTGCATAAACAGCGCTTGATCGACGCGGGATTTATTGACGTGCATGAGGAGATCTTTAAGGTATTATCCCCCCTTTCTCATCAATTGGCCGTGGCTGATTTCCTTAAAAGGTTCCCGTCGGGCCCTGGGCCAAGGATCCGAAATACAAGTTGATCGGTCGCTATCAACGAGAACATGCCGTGGCCGGCATCGAGCCGTATACGCTGGGGTTCATTGTCAAGATCCTCGGCTGGAGCCAAGAAGAGGCACAGATAATGATCGCGAACGTCCTCAACGAACTGAAAGATCGCAGGCTCCATCTGTATGTGCCGTTTTACTACGTCTACGGCCGGAAACCCGAGTCGAAATCCGAGCCTGCGTAGTGGATGCTTGGACAGATGCAGACATGGCATCAGCATTGAGCGTATCACCTCCTGTAATTGTGATCGAGAGTGGGCGATTCTCCAGTCTGAGACGTATCTTTATTGGGAAGTGGAAGGTCTCTTTGGGCTCTTCGGCCGGTCATTAATCCCAGCGACGATGTTGCGCAATCTTTACTCAACTTTACAACGGAGAAACCGCGGGACCTGGGTTGGTCGATGACGGGTTGTTAGTAGGATTTCCCTATGGTGGCTAGATGGAAGATTGTATCCTGACAACCGGTCATTCCTTAATTGAAAACGGGGGAGATTCGATTATTCCCCAAGCATCAGGCGGTGCAATTGGTGGTGAGGAGGAATAGTAGGGTGTGCGGTGGAAGCATTTCGCTGTCGGTCCAACAGCCTGCAGTAAGACATGAATTGTTTATTAGCCACTACAAATCCCATACGATGTATGCGGTCAACATCTGATACCCTGGACTGAAATGACATGACGATTCTTGAACATCTCCGTATAGTTAAGAGTTGGTAAATTCATCCGACGGAGCAAATCCGACGGATGCGTTCTAAGCGCACAGTGGCCAGTATTTCCGTCACCGCTAAGGATCTACGTGTCTCAACTTACCTCGCTTCCAGTCAACCGGCACCAGTCCTCGGCCGATGGAACGACAGTGCAGAAATAGTGTCGGGCAGAGTTTGCTAGTCCTGTGTCGGGCACAACTCACGGCAACAGACGGCAAATGCAGAAGCGATATGAAGTTGTATGATAAGGACATAAGGTACATGAATATGAACGAGGTATTGTCGTGACTCGCCTAAAAAACTAGCTTGGCTACGCGATGAACCGAATAAGCCGTAAAGAACATGAAGGCACCAGCAGCCAACAGTGTCTGCAGGTTTCTCCATTCCGCGGACCCATGACGTTTCGTACTTTCCTCCTTCCCTAACTCCGTGACGGTGGAGTACTCCGGGATGTATCTGAACTGGAACAGGCTCTTTTCTCCCTTGAGCCCGTCTTTGCCTTCGATGAGGGCCTGCTGCATGAAGTCGCGGGATGCCTGGATCTTCCGGCGATCCAGCCACGGGATCATCCGATGCGAGTAGTCGAGCGCCATAAAGAACAAGCATTGCCCAGCCATGAGCGCCCAGTAGTAGTAGCTCGGATTCGCCAGCCCTAGCTGATCGGACAACTCCCTCCCGTTCATCCATCTTGCGCTCACGGTCAACATGTCTCCAGATGAATACGTCGGTGGTTGATCTTGCAGACACTTGATGATGTTGTTGGCCATGACCTTGGACATATCCGATGGCTGAACCTCGTAAAGCAGCAGGCTCTCCATGATGGCTCTTGCTTTCGACGGAGTCTCAAAGAAGTCGGTAGGTGCTCCGAGTATATAGCCGATATACCGCCAAAGAGCGATGTAGTCCTTGCTCTCCTGGTCACTGGGATAGATGCCTTGTCGTGGCAAACTGACAAACACAAGAGTGGAACAAAACGTTCCAATCGTGCCGGCCTGGTCGATGTCATTGATCGGTACGCCCCAGTTCTCCAGGTCGAAATAGTCCGGTCGCTGTGCTGCCATCTTCATGATGCGTTCTCGTACCGCCGAGTGTAACAGACGCACTCGCACTGATGAGGCAAATCCGACACCTCCCGGTTGGATCGCATCTAGTGACTGAGTGCTTTGAAGGATATGCTGCGTCGTTTCCAGCAGCCGATGTCTAGCGACTTTCGTGGAAAAGCCGCCCGTTCGAGCCAGAGTCTCTACCACACGAGCAGCACCCATGCCGCCCAGAAGGGATTGGAAGGTAAGTCCGACGAGGTTGGCGCCGAGGTAGCGGTAGAAAACATCCTGGCCGCGCTGGATCTGGTCCCAATCCACCCAGTCCGGGACGGTGTTGATTTCCTCCCACATCTCTTTTAGCCGTGGGTGCGTGTCTGCATTGTCGCGCAGAAGAGCATACATATCGCGCTTCCCTGCGGGAGCTTTGGGGTCCTTGATATCCTTCAGGATGGTGTAGCAATCATGGGCGAGCTCGTCGTAGGAGACTTTGAGGGGAGCCATTCGCTCCGACGTCCAATGTTCTTCGGTCCATATGAACGAGTGGCCCCAGGCTCTAACGACACCGTTAAACTCCATTTTATCGCTCTAACATCTCAAAACTCACGTCTGGACACTTCCGACCGTGGGTGCTAGGGGATTCATGGTTGCCATGTTGGGACTTCAACGTAAAAGACTGTATCGCTGCAACAGGAAACGGAAAACAAACGAAGGTCACCAATCCATATACCTATTTACAGGCTTCCATATATATAACCGAGGGTCCCCATACTAGGATACATGTCGAATATACAGTGGCGTCACAGAGGAACGATCTGGGGGCATGACGGGTTTCATGGACATGTGGACCGGAGAGGTAAGATACCGCCTTCCGAGCATCAAGGGTTGTCTCAGTTGGCAGGGTATAGCCAATCCGAAGCATCGGACCGGTCGATCTAAAGTAAACATCATACAATGTGAGTACATAGCTCTCGGTTCCTCGTGATAGTCTGGCTTGAGATGTATGTAATGAAGAGGTTTCTGTGCCATGTGGGAAATCGATGGAATATCTCCAGCCATGATCTGCCGATTTCCAACCGTTTGTACGATGCGCTCCCAGCGCTGCAGCTGAACTGAGGGTGGCGTGGGTGAAAGTCGCGTAATGCCTCAGGCAGCAAGGCCACTAATTCATATCCTCAGTGGGTGAAAAAATTGATTGCCCATACAGCACGGTCTTGGCACGCAATCCCAATATCAAACTTGATTTGAATATCGCTATCTTACCACAGCGCAGTTTTTACGAAGTCCCCCTTGCTATCTACAAGTAATTGACATCTAGACGGCATCTCTGCGATCCTAACGCGTACCTCTTCCATTGAGATCTTGTCCCATTCATCAATTAGGACTTGCTTCAGCTCCGTAATCGATCGCCATACCCGTTTGCGTCCCCTCTGCTTTAGGATCCCCCAAAGTGCTTCAATCGGGTTTAGGTCTGGGGATTGTGGTGGATGCTTTATGCATGTAATCCAATGGGCATGTTTTAATGCCGACGCGACGTTAAATGACTGTGTACCGTGCGATGGATCGTTATCCTCTTGTAACATCATAAATGGTCCACAGACGTCAGCACCGAACGATCCGCGGTGGTATAAACGAGCAGCCTCAATACGCGCGATATAGGCTGGGAGAATATGCTTAGCATAATGCTCCTGGGTCATAGAATTCCCCTTCCGTTTGACCTGAATCTCGTGAGGTATTCTTGCCTTCCACTCTTGCAATCTAGAAGGGAACTGTTCGTCTGTCTCAGTCTGTTTTTGCCTAGGCTTTCTAGGCCTTCGTGGTTTTGGAAGATCCTCAGACTTGTCGTGATAGAAGATAAGACTGCTCTTTGAGTACCAATTGCAAGACGCAGCAATATGAAGTGCAACGCCCGTTTTCTGCGGCCGCTTTTGAAGATTCTCCGAATTATAACGTGTACCTTTTTGGCGTATAATTCACTGTTTCGGCTGCTCCGAAGGATCGTAGTGCATCTCGTCTGTAAATTCAATTGAGTCTCAATAGCCGATAAGAGGTTGTTCTCTTCCGAAGCGGCCATAGTCCTCCCGTAGCCTGCGATTCCGAGGAGAAACGGGTTTCCCCTGCTGTTCAACGAAACGGCCTGCATCCCGTCGATCTTTTAGATTGTTATGGAGGGCGCGACCGGTTGTAATATCGAGATTGAAATGCGTGATATTCGCTTCATATGGAAGCTCTCTTATAGGGTTCTGTGAAGATACAATAGCATCTAACTGAGGAGATGTAATAGCGCGGCGTCGCCCTAATCGGTCGCTGTTAGGGCGCGTTCGTCGGTAAGCCTCTTTTCCAATACGACGGCGTTGAGAAAGCCAGTAATTTGCTGTACGCCGAGGGAGGTCGAGCTTGCGGAGGATGTCTGACAATGGTTGATCTGCGGTACGGCTATCATAGGCTTCGAAAAACCTCGATTTTTGGATTGTAGTATATTCCTCGCGCCTAATCGGCCGATCTGGCGTAATCTGACGCTCCATGAAGAGAAAATGATGGACTTAGAGATGGGTTGAAGATTAAGGTCTGTTGGATATAGGTGTAGGAAAACGGGTGACGAGTGCCAAGGCGGGTTGTATGGGCAATCAATTTTTTCACCCACTGAGGGTTGGAGGGTTGGAGGGTTCCTCCGTTGTGAGCACAGATGGAAAGTTTGTCACAATTGTCAGTGCTTCATATCAGAAAGTTCAGATATCTCAATTCTCAACATGAACCCAATATTTTAAAGAAGTTCACTCCAGTTACGTGACGCTACATCGCATTCTTGTCGCCATTTAGCCGATGCTCTGCAATTCGTGCGCGATCAAGTCGTGCTTTATATACACGAATCCTCGACATTTCCTCCGGGCTGCCCAGGTCCAGTTTCTTGCACCAAGGCCTAATGTGCTTCGACTCCAGCAGTTCTCGAGCTCTACAATTCGCTTAGAACGGGATGTCCCCCCGGTTGTAAAACATACAAAAAGCGATTCACCGAAAAAACACGGAACCAAGTCCCAGTATTCAAAAAAACAGTCTCCTCAATCGCACAAGCAGGAGGACGGAATAAAATCCACGTATTCCAAAACAAAGCCTCCCCGATCGCACAAGCAGGATGCCGGAGCCAATTCCAAGTCTTCGAAAACAAAGCCTGCCCGGTCGCAGAAGCAGGATGGCGGAACAGGACCTGGTAGGAAGAGGCACACTAGAGAGCGGCCACACGCTCGGGGCAAGGGCAGCGTGGACTCTAAGAACAAGACTAAGGCTGGCAATCGGCTAAGCTCTGCCATTGGCTCAAGGGGGTCGAATATACGCAGAAGCAAGCCTTCTCTCCAAGATATGGCAAAGAGCTCAAAGAGTAGGAAGCCGGCTGTTGATGAGTCCGACGATCCAGTCGAGGCAAAGGAGCGGACGGGAAAAAAACTCACCCGGAGATTCATGCTGCCTGAGGTCCGCGAGCGGAAGAAGGGCGTACGACGCGAACGACGAGAAAAGGAGAGACAGGAAGCTATAGATGCCGGTGAAGATCCTAAGGATATCAAGGCCAAGCGGCACAAACAACGGGAAAAGGAGAGACAAGAAGCTGACGGAGCAGATGAGGATATTGATCTGAAGGCCAAGGCACCGACAGAGGCCGTTAAGAAATCCAAGAACGAAGTTTCCACTTTCAAGAAGACGGAATCCTGGCAGGTTCAGAAAGAGGCTCTGAAACGCAAATTCGGCGAGGAGGGCTGGAATCCACGGAAACGCCTCTCCCCCGACGTGATCGAAGGAATCCGCGCACTGCACTCGCAGTCCCCGGAGACGTTCACCACGCCCCTGCTCGCCCAGGAGTTCGAAGTCTCCCCCGAAGCCATTCGGCGGATCCTGAAGACCAAATGGCGTCCGTCGAACGAGCAGATGGAGGAGCGGAGGGAACGGTGGGAGAGGCGGGGGATCCAGGTGTGGGAGAAATATGCGCAGGAGAAGGGCATGAAGCCGCCGAAGAAGTGGAGGATATTAGGAGTGGGGAAGGGAGAGCCTGGTGAACCTCCGGTTTGGAGGAGGAGGCCGCAGGGATTTGGTGAGCCTCCTGAGAGCCAACCAGGTGGAACCGGAGGGAATGACAAGAGAGGAGAAGCAAAATAAGATCTGCTGGCGGATCCCGTCTGATGTCTCTAGGAGTATTGAGGTACGGTTGTAGCATTTCTTGTACAACAGTTTAAACATGTAATATATTGTCAATAACCGCTACTTAATGATAAGAAGCCATCGCTTGGCCCCCCGACTGCTATGGCTTTCACGACCCTGACAAATACATTTAGACTCGAAAGACCCTCATAATTCACAGTCTTTCAGATCCTATTTGTTATTATCTATTAAGTTATGACCAATTCAAGAATGATACAAGCAGCATTTGTCGCCCAATCATAGAGCATCCCCTCCAACTCCACTCAGCTTGGACGCCGAGAAAGGCCAAGAAATATTATGGGCATTATTTGATGTGCCCACAGCACTGATAACTGGCACATATTAAGATGCGTCCAAATTTATCCCGATTTTCTTGTGGTCTAGTCTGAAATACATACCAGCTTATTTAATGACTATATTGAGGAGGGAAATAAAACCTATCTTGGACGACCGATACCTCTTGACTGCCATGGCTACCTCAGCTGGCAATCCAGTAGCCCCGCCGATGCCGTATCAAGATGAAGCCGAAACAAGGCCTCCGTCCATCGACTCAATTGACGGAGGATCAAAAACATTACTTTCGAAATGTTATGACCAATTTGTAGCGGGACACTCGAAAGTGCCCCTTATTCGGCGATTACCAGCAAAGGCAGTGGGCATCATAGCACTGATATCTCTGGTGAACATCGTAGTGTGGGTTGCGGTAGGGGTGGTGTTGGTATGAATTCGCTCCCAAGCTTAGATGCCAGTGACACAGCAAGAATTGATAGTGGTCAGTCATTTCATGGATCGCTCGTGTCTACTGCCTTGTTGGCATATACTCTTGGGCTACGCCACGCCTTAGATGCAGATCACATCTCGGTAAGCTACCGCAAATTCAGCTCACTAGGCTGGAAAGGTTGACAATAGATAGGCAATCGATTTAATGACGAGGCGGTTGATCGCAGCGGGTCAGAAACCCGTGACGGTGGGCATGTTCTTCTCTCTCGGCCACTCCACGTACGTCCCTGCCTCTATTTCCATGTGAAATCTTTCATGATCTGACGGCAATTGGCGCGACAGCATTGTCATACTCACCTCCATCGCGGTTGCCGCTACGGCTTCCGCGGTCTCTGACAAGTTTGATGACTTCTCAAGGATAGGAGGGATCATCGGCACGTCGGTATCGGCCGCGTTCTTGATCCTTTTAGGGGTCGCAAATTGCTTCATTCTGTATAAGCTGATCAAGCAGTTGAATGCCATCATCTACGAAGGTGAGGATGAAGAGTTCCGACTGGTAGGTGGAGGATGTCTGTTTCACCTGATGAAGCGTCTCTTCAAGATTGTCGACCGGTAAGTGCGGAATCCAGTCCTAGTTCTGTGCATTGCTGACTTCGTTGAGACCATGGAAGATGTATCCCCTCGGGGTCCTCTTCGGGCTCGGATTTGATACTTCTTCTGAAGTTGCTCTTCTGGGCATCTCTTCCATAGAGGCGGTGAAAGGGACGTCAATGTGGCTGATCCTCGTCCTCCCACTATTGTTCACTGCGGGCATGTGTCTGCTTGACACCACGGATGGGGCTCTCATGATGAGCCTGTACACGATGACATCCCTTGCTCGCGACAAGATAGCGATCTTGTATTACAGCATCGTGCTGACCGTCATTACTGTGATCGTCGCGGTCGTTATCGGCGTCATTCAACTGTTGTCGCTATTAAGGAATGCACTAGGTGAGCCGGAAGGCCACTTCTGGGATGGCGTTGAGAGCGCAGGAGACCATTATGATGTAATAGGTGAGAATCAGCTCCACGATTTCCCTTTCGTTACGTACAACTAACAAGCGGGTTCGAACGCAGGCGGCTCCATCTGTGCGTCCTTCGTCGTATTCGGCCTGCTTAGCATGGTTGTCTATGGGCCGTGGAGGAGACGAGTTGATCGCATTCGTGATAGAAGGCAAACGGCGGTGCTGGAGACTGATGCCGAGGAAGTCCAGGCCGATGATCCAATTCTGTTTGTGGAGCCTACTTTGGATGAGGAAGCAGCCGGGAGCCCAACAAAAGGGGCCGAAGTTACTGTCGCACCGAAGCGGTGACACCTGGGAAGTCTCATCCATCTCATACCCGGGCGAAACAGAGCGATGCGTTCGTCCCGCCGAACCCGAAGCTATTGGTGATGGCAACAGAGATGTCCTTCCTCTGCGGCTCGTTCGGGACATAGTTGCAATTAAATTGCTCCAGAGGATCCGCTGGGTTGTCCTGATTCAATGTTGGCGGAAGTGTACCCTAACATATTATTAGCTACACGACCAACTTGTATAGGATCTCAACTCACATGATAGAGAGCTAGAATGGTGAAAATTGCCTCGACTGCGCCCGCCGCACCCAGAAGATGACCAATAGCACCCTTGACGCTACTGATATTGATGTCTTCTGGGCGATCATGGCCTTCCTCTCCGAGAAGGAGATTCTTCACAGCACGATTTTCGGCAGCGTCACCGAGCACGGTGGACGTAGCATGGGCATTGACATAGCCAACCTCCTTAGGCTTTATGCCAGAATTTCTCAATGCACGCTTCATAGCCAAGTAAGGACCTTCGCCATCTTCACGAGGCGCAGTCATATGATATGCATCGGAGGAGACGCCGTATCCCTTGACTTCCGCATAGATGCGAGCATTTCGTCGTTTGGCGTGCTCCAGTTCCTGCAGTAGTTAGGCACTGTTCGCGATGTTGAATTGAGATACTTACTTCAAGCACGACAACCCCAGTTCCCTCCCCTATAACAAACCCGGCTCGGTCCCTATCGAATGGTCTCGACGCGAGATTAGGGGCCTCATTCCAATCGGTCGCCAAACTTCTCGCTCTTGCAAATCCTGCCATTGCCAATGGGTGAATGCATGACTCTGCTCCACCTGCGACCATGACGTCGGCATCTCCAAATGCCACCATCCTTGCTGCATCGCCTATTGCATGCGCCCCAGTAGTGCAAGCCGTGGTAGCCGCATGATTTGGTCCTTTCAAACCGTACTTCATGGACACATGCCCGGCTGCCAGATTGATCAACAGACGGGGCACGAATAATGGAGATACCTTGCGATATCCGGACTTGGCAAAGGCAAGTGAGGTTGAGTAGACATCTTCCAGGCTTCCAATGCCGGAACCGATATATACCCCAGTTGCTTCGCAGTCTTCCTGGCTTTTCGGCTCCCAGCCGGAGTCAGTGAGCGCTTCGTCGGAAGCAGCCATGGCAAATTGGGCGAAATCGGCCATCTTGCGTAGCTCCGAAGAGGAGAGCCATTCCTGAGGATCCCATCCGCCATTGGCTTTGGAGCCAAGTGGCACATACGCGGCAATTTGAGATGGGATGGACGGGAAGCGGGCTTTATCGCGAAGAGCCACTACTCCGCATTTCTTATTGAGCAGTTGAGTCCATGATTGCCGGACACCTAAGTTTGTTAGAGACGTGTCTGCTATGGAGGAGAATATACAAACCGACTCCAAGAGGCGTTAAAGCTCCAAGCCCGGTCACGACCACTCTCCTCATTTCACCTCACCAAGAAGCTCAGTTGAGCTAGAAGTTTTAGGATCTGTAATATACACTCGGGGCATTGTTGATCAATATTGGCTACTTGTATTTAAGGAGACCAGAACGTCTCAACCAAGTTGGATGCTGTCAATCTCACAAGCAGACTTGGTGCCTTTCAGCCTGAGGCCAATATCCAACGATCGTGCGATGATCAGCCAGACGGGGGTTGTGGATCTCTGACTTCAACCAAAAAGTTTCGAGGTCATTGACATATTCAGGCTTAAGCCGCGCACCAGAATCAATCCTACATCAACGTGAGCTATGTACATATTGTAATTACGACAAGATCTATTCTTCCCTTTCTATTTCTCCATCGCAACTCTCCTTTGCACTTCGGCAGCATGAACCCCTCGTGGACATGTCGAGCATGTCTCCGCTCAGTCCGAGCCCAATGGGCGCCTTTTATACCCGTGAGTTACAATGGCCTAGATCCAATGGTATAAGATGCTGATGATACTAGAATTTCCAGTCGTCATCGTCCCTTTTACCGCTTACCCGCTTCAACTCCTCTCAATCCCAAGCCCAGGCCCAAGAGCAGACGAAAGGGTCCTCTCCGAATCGACCTTCCCGACCGACTCCCGTTCAGCGTGTCGCCAAAGTCCTGCAAAACCGCGCTCCCGCTATGGTTGAGACATACCATGCATTTGGCGCCACGGAACATCTGTATAAAGAATGCGCAAGTCAAGCCATCTACAACGTCCCTCAAGCCCGCGACAAATCCCTGGGCGAGATCCCTCTTTCAAAAAGCGGCAAACACCTCGGTGTGGGCGAAGGGTGGTGGTACGACGAATTGAAACTCGAGCCGACCTTCAGCACATGGGCACATGTGACTTTCCTACACATGTATCTTTTGACCGTGCGGTTCCGGATGTTTCCACCCGAGTACGCGACCACTTGGCACCAGCATCTAACGGACCATTTCTTCCACGACGCCGAAGCGAAAATGGAGGTGCTCCACCTGATGACGATGCGAGGCATGAGGAATAAGTTCCTCAAAGACCTTTTCACACAGTGGAGAGGCTGTCTGGTGTCTTACGACGAGGGCCTCGTCAAAGGGGACGCTGCCCTTGCCGCTGCCGTTTGGCGGAATTTATTCCAGGGCGAAAAGGACGTGGATTTCGTGGCCTTGGCGCAGGTGGTGAGTTACATGCGAAGGGTCATCGCGGGGCTAGATCAGCTGTCCGACGGAGAGGTTATTGAGTCGGGCTTGAAATTTGGACACGTGGATCAGGAGAAGCCGATGGTGCTGATGAAGAGCAGGTTAATGGACTCGGGCTCATGAGTCCTGGTCCTTCATCAGCAGCATGGCGTTTGGGGAAGGCTGTGGAGCGGTTACGATATCGTAAGTCCACGCTCTTGTATATGTAACTTGTATCACTGTCGCTGCACTGTATCATTATGACCAACTATCTAAATTTTCGCTGTTCGGGGTTCTCCATACCCCACCGCACGCTCGAGTTTGAAGACCCTCATCTTCGCAGCCTTCACGTCCCCTTTAACCTTTTTGGCCCATTCGGTCGCCGCGCTCTCGGCAAACTCTTTGCCTCCAAATCCATCTACGGTGTCGAAATCATTCACCCCTAGATATTTTATGGGCTGGGTCATACCCCCGATCTTATTTCCAGCCTTGTATCTCAGCGAGCGGCGATGCCCCGGGATTTTTGCCACCATGTCAAGATGCTCTTTCCGATACCACTGGTCCATGTCCTCCTCATCCCCAACTTCAATTTCAACCCAGAGAATGACAGGAGCGGGATCTATTAGAGCTTAGCCCAATATCTTTGTAGGATACATACCTCCCGAGGGGGATGGATCAAACTCACCATCACCCGTCTTCAATGGGTCATACTCCTGAATCAGCTCATACTGCCTCACGTCTACCTCACCACATTCCAAGGATGGCCTTGGCAAAACGTCACTATCATGTCGTATTTTGGCAGCCCCTGGCGTTGAAAGCGGCCTTTGGTGAGGCGATTGATAAATGACGGTGAAGTTCAGCGGCTCGCGCTTGGTAGGTGGAGCTCCAGGATAATCAAACGTTTCTTTATAAACCAGCCCCTTGGTCGCGACACCGCAGCTGATGACATCGGGGATGTGCTCTTCGCTGTAGAACTTGGACCAGAGGTCATCGTCGACAGTGGTGGCACGGGAGTTGGCGACAAGAATGTATGGGGATGGCATCTTCGCGGTGGAATCGAAATAAGACCAAACCAAAACTTTAATGGAAAACTGATCTATTTGTCTAGGGCAAACATTATACTTACCGTGGCATACAGGCGGTGCAACTATCTTATACTAGGGGTGCGGGCTGGATCAGACACTGGAGTTTCACACAGGACGGAACCCGAAGAGGGGAGACTGAATACGAGATACAACCGATTCGCAGTACAGCAAGATATGGGCGGGGACGAAATCATGAACCGAGGTACTCCAAATTGCACTCTGAAATGGAAAAGGCTGAAAAGGATAATTATTCCTTAAACACTTAATTTGGAGTGAACTGTGTTCATAGCTTAAGCATTCAGAACTACAGACGAAAGGGCTGCATATCCAAAAATATGTACCGGACATCAACAATTCCAGAGGCAAGGATCTCGATGCTGCTCGATCCAAATTTTGCCCCATAGATCATCCAAAGGACACCCGTCTATAAATCGGAAGTATCTGGCGAGAAATAGCTTAGATCCGACCACCACCAAAGATAGCAACGATAATCCTGACCGGTTCAGATTACCTTCACTCGTCATCCCAATTTGCTTTGAGAGCTATAAAAGGGTTAGTAAACCATTGTGTTCTATGCACTTGGAAAGGCATGCACTTACAGCAAGGGAATGGGAAGAACGAATCCCAATTCTCGGTCAAATACGCATGATAACTCCACTCCTCAGGCAAGTCCTCGTGGCCCTTCACGATTTTCTTCACCTTCTGCACCTTCCCTTGCGGGCCCTTCGCGGGGCGGAGGTTCGGCAACGCGCCGACGACCTTCAGCATGGACGTGAGCGAAATCCGCGTCATCGCCAGACCCAGGCATTCGTGCGGGCCTTGGCCGAGGAAGATGTACTTGTCGATCGGCCGGGTCAGGTCCACCTTCTTGGGGTTCGGGAACGCCGCGGCGTCGTGTGAGGCGGCGCGGAGGTTCACCATCACCACGTCACCGGGCTTCAGGTGGACCTCGTGGTTGCCGTCCTGGACGGTAGTTGGCGTTGCGACGGCGCGGAAAACGCCCGTCTCTCCGTACAGTCGAGCACCTTCTAGAACGTAGTGCATGAGCTTGTCGAATGCCTCGTCGGAATCCTGGAGGGCCAGCTTCCGGATTTCAGGAAGGTGTTTCTGTCCCTCTGGGACCGTGAGGTAGAACTCCAGGATCTGGCCGAAGAGTTGGCCTTGGTTTGGGATCATACCACCCGCAGTGCCCAAAATATGACCCCAGACGAGCTTCTTCACATCCATGCCCGACTCCAGGAGGCGTTTAGTGAGCTGGAGCCCGTAGTCAGTGAGGGGAGACGGTTTCGGGAATATGGCGGAGAAGAGCTGGTTAAAGATACCGCCGAGCTTGACTTCCGTGACGTTGGCCTCCACCAGTTGACCCAGCGCATGGGTGGCCTTGTACGCCTTTTGTCGGAGTGGGAAAGAGTTCGCGGGATCGAGGTCGAAGAAGACGCAGATGAAAACTCCGGCCATGATGAGATACATCTCGGATTCGGTGAAGACCCCGAGAGGACGCTCTTTGGTCTTCAAAGGGAGTGACCACAGATCCGAGCCGAAGTGGACGTGGGCAAGGTTGCCGACGTCGCGGATGATGTCCACTTGATTTACCCCGGCCAGCTTGTATGACTTCTCCTTGATGAGCTTCTTCGTGATGTCCAGGTAGTACTCCTTAACCTGCTTCTCCCATTCTTGGACGTACAGAGACTTGTGCATCATTTTGCGAGACTCGGCATTTTTCGGTCCATCACCCGACAGCATGAAGTCCTTCGCGGCGGGCCCCATAAGGAACTCTATGGCAGGCCCCCAAGTCACTTTGAATGTTTGCTGATCGTTCAAAACCTTCGAGGCAGCTGCATAGCTAAACACCATAGACGGGTCGTTGGTCTTCTTCGGCCTCTCAAAGTCATACAGATGGGCGGTTTCCAAGACGGTAAGAACATCCTTCATCTTGGACGGGACGGTCATCGGATAGTGTGCGTAAACCGAATTTTGCTTGAAGTGCTTGGGGAACGCCCTCAAGAATAGCTTGAAGAACACGCAGCCATTGTCAATGGTATTGTCACCCTGCACTTCATGGAAACCCCAGTTGGTCAGCTTCTTCGGGTGGTAATCGACCGTATAAAATCGGTCACCGCGCACAAGCGCAACCGCATCAGACAGAACAGCCCGTGAAATTGTGAACGACGGGGTGAGACCTGCACCAGGGACCATAGGGATCTTCGCTTCCTCGGCGATGAGTCCTGGATATAGTTCGACGTAGTCGGGGTGGTCATAGAGCCGCTTCAACTGATCCGCAACATGTGGATCGGAGTTGATGTCTTCGAACGTCTCGTGTGGAGTGAGTCCGAAGTACTTCCTAAACTCATTCAGGGATGCAACGTTCCAGACCCGAGCTTGTTGGATGCCCAGCACCTCCACGGCCTTCATGACAGCGGGAACACGCTGGGCTCCATACGAGTTGGCGCAGTCCTCGATGCCCTCGGTGATGATCTTCACGAGATCATCGTCGTCGAAGGTGCCATCTTCCTGGCGCTCGAGGCGAGCAAACGGTCGCTCGGAAGGGTCCTCGGAGATTTGCTTATCTAGCTCGGAAAGACGGACGACGAAATCATGCCAGCTAACGTCATCGGGCTTCTTACCCTCAAACAGCTCCTGGAAGAAATCTTCGGTCCATTTCTCGTCTCGCTCCGAAATTGTCGAGTGCCATCTGTAGACGAGATTGAATTCAGCAGAAACCTGATTGCCCTTGCCCTTCTCGAGGTCTTTGATATCGGCACGGGGATCGAGCTTCCAATTGCTGTTGGTCTGGTTGAGATTCAGAATGGTGCGGACGTAGTCGGCGAGGATGATGTTGACGTAAAGACCACAAGTGATCAGTCGACCTGTTTGGAAGAGATCCTCATCGTATTGCTCCCATGTTTTTGCCCTCTTTCCAGTCGCCCCCTCCTTTGGCTTGGTGAACTGGCCGCCCTCATTGATCAGAGCGAGCTGATCGACTATGTAGTTGTGGAACCTGTTGAACATGATCAACAAGACGCCAACGCCGGGTGGGAACGCCAGCAATCTCTTCTCAGCAAAGCAATCCGGCTTGATCTTTCCGTCTTTGAAAGTACGCATCGATTTCTGTTCCTCCCAGAAGCTACCGTATAGGGGAGACAAATCCAGGTACGAGGATGTGTTCGAGACCCTAAAATCCTCACGGTCCGTCCTGAAGAGGTCGTGAATGATTATGGATGCGAGGTAAAACAAAACACTGGAGATCTTGTTCGGGTGATCCTCGCGCACTTTCCGTGACATGAGGCTATCGAAGATGACCTCAGGATCAGGTCGGACGCCCGGTTGCATGGTTTGCGGCGTAACGCTGCGGGCGTATGGTGTGCCGGCTTTACCCAAGTTCGGGTGCATGAAGCTCTGTTCTTGTTAGTGCGGTACTGCGTACGGAAGACGGGAGGGTACATTGTTGGACCCATCTGCAGAGCGATACTGCCAGTCCTTTCCCAAGTATCTATAAGGGGTCAGATAACAGCTGGAGACTGCTCGTAACAAGCTCTTACGATTGCGGTGGATGATCCAGATCATTCCACAGCTGTGTCAGGAAATTATTCGTGATGTCGGCGCCCATCTTCGAGTTATCGGGAAAGTCTGCGGCGCACTACCTCCATAGTCAGAATCAATGTTCAACTCCAACCACTGAAGACGAGGTGGTGGTACCTGGATCAATCGCTCCATAAAGTAGCTTTTGTCGTCCACCAATTCTCCATTCTTGGTGTGCGAAAATGCCTCCAAGAGTGTGGTGATATCCTGGATACCAAGGTGGCTCAGATCCGACAAATTATCCGTCACCTTCTTGACGATCGCTGGCGTATCGTCCTGCAACTTGAGGTGCGATCCATTTCCGGTCTGGTCAGGGACGGGCTTGCGGATGTTGCTCATGAGCTCGGCAAATTTCTTGAAGTTGGTATCGATCGAGGAACGGATCTTTTCGATGTCGCTGGGGACGACCGGCTCATTTTGCGGTTTGATGTCGGACATTTTGGTGGTTTCGCCCAATGGGGACTTGGAATGTATTAGCCATTGGAGCGACCTCCGAGCCCAAGTGGATATTATGGCACGAAGAAAGTCTTTATTCCTGTATGATAGAGCTCCTCAATGTGCCAAATTCCACAACTATCAGAAGCAATGAAATACCGAGAAATAAAGGCACCTACTGTCACGGAAGTTGTCGTGCCTCCTACTTTTGTGCTTAGACGAGCAGTCTCCAACCCCACGAACACTTGATAAAGCTCGCGAACTCAAAATCGAGGCAATTGGCCTCGAAGCGTGCTTAACTCAATACTTTACTTGATTCAAAAATGCGAGACGCTATTAGACAGCGCTGGTAGGCAGTGTAACAGTGGTACTGCTCAAAAATAACTGAAATTTGAAGGCGCTGGGACAATGCAACCGAACACAAGGAGGATGAATTCGATAGCTCTTGAGATTGAACAGGAGCAAGAAAAGAACACCGCACCTCGAGCTCACCGAGAAGCTATATACAGCAGCGTAGTCCGTCATCGACCCATTGTTGTCGCTCGAGCACACCCCATGCCCGGAGAGATCGAGACAAGACGCCTCAAACGCCTTCATGCTCCCGGATTCCAGGGTTGCCAGCTGAGGCTGAGCTGCCCTGGCTATCCGAGAACAGAAAGAATAAATCTTTCCGTTTCCTGTAGGCTGCAGGGAAGAACATGCATTGACGGGGCTGCCGCTGCAGGGTCGCACAACTCGCGATGGTGCTGGCCTGCCACACCGGCGTTCGGATGAGGGGCGAATCAGCATCGTGGGGATTACGCTGTTGGAGTTGCCGGTGACCTGGTTGGGGGACCACCCCGCTAGCGGGGTATACCAGCTGGGTAAGGAGGCGATGCCGCGATGGCCATTAGGCAGGTGAAGTGGAGTGGAGATAATCCTCTCCAGGACTCTAGATCTGAATGGAGCCGATGGTGTTCATAGGACGCTTCGGGCTGACGGATAGGGTAGGTCTGAGATGTACGATTGATCATGACAGCTTACAGTACTTGGAAAGAAGCATGACTTGGGCGAATGAGGACTTGACGATCATGTGTACTCTGTAAACATGAATGCGGGCATGTTGGACGATACTGCAACTTAGAATGCAGTACGAAGTGCCTTTTCTGGCGGGAGGGTATCTGTAATTCTGTATCCCCGCGAATCTGACGGCCTCGTCCGGCGAAGCTGACGAAGGGCCAAGGGGACTTCATGGCGGTGATGAGATGGTCTCATTGGTTTCATTGGTTTCATTGGTCTCATTGGTCTCATTGAGAATGCAGGTATACAGATGCCTGTTTGAACCGGAGCCAGAAGGAAAGTCGGTGTTGAAAAGCATAGTTGATGAGGGACAAGGGGGAGATCTTCGATCAGCTGAGAACGCCATTATTGATGCGAGCATATTATGGGGAAACCGAGTGGCTGGTCATGGCTTTATTGAAACTGAAAGACATCCAAGGGTGTATATTGTTGCCTACCCGGGGACCTATGATGGTGATGAAACTTGAGGCCGTCGGCAAGTGCGCAAGGTCGTCCCTTTGCCTGGTTTCCAGTTTTCTCACTCTCTGGCCTCTTTATGATTATCGACTGACGGGACAGATCGACTACATCACTACATGCGGCGGTAGACTGATTTGAATTTGATATTGGTGCCTGACGGCCTGAGGCGCTTTAACAGCAACACAACTGCAACAGGAAGCCAGTCGTCATCATCAAATTGCGTCAGGCTATCCGTATAACCACTACAATTAGTGATGGAGGTAACTCTGCTATCAATTGAGGAGGCAATTAGTTTTTGGAAATGGAAAGGAGGAATAAAGTCTCAACTGACAATAATTGGTGCCGGAGCTTTCGTATACCGTTAACATGGAAGGGTAGATAACAGCAATGTCTTCTAGCATGGTGACCAAGACATCAAACATGGCAGGGAAACTTGGTGCGGTCCTGCTTCCACCATCAAACAACCCTTCAACTTCAACAAAACTTTCTTCCCGTCCATACCTGAGCTACGCCATCATCTCCACAGTCTCGAGTGATTTGTTGACCCAGTAGATTAAGTCGAAGTCTCTGAGAATGTCGGAAGATAGAGAAATTACGGTGCTCACCCGCCCTCGCGGTATGTCGCGGCCCTACCCCCGAATCCCATATCATCCACTCCATCCATATCCCATCTCACTCCCATTCACCAGCGATTCATGCTAATATCCCCAGGCAAACCCATCCCCCGCCTCCCCGACTCCGTTCCCCTCCCCATCTCCTCCCCTACCGCCGCCCTCTACACCTCCCTCGCCAAGTCCACCGGCCACACCCCCCACCGCCTCCGCCTCACCAAAGGCAGCGACGGCTCCCCCCTCCCCAACTCCTCCACCACCACCCTCGCCTCCACCGGCCTTCGCGACCGCTCCGTCGTCCACGTCAAAGACCTCGGCCCCCAAATCGCCTGGCGCACCGTCTTCATCGTCGAATACCTCGGCCCTCTCCTCATCCATCCCCTCCTCTACTCCCTCCGCCTCTCCCCCGCGTCCCCCTTCGCGCCCGCCGGCGTCCGCGCCTCCGAATTGCAAACCGCCTCTCTCGCCCTGGTGTGCCTGCATTTCCTCAAGCGCGAGTGGGAGACCGTCGCCGTGCACCGCTTCTCGGCCGCGACGATGCCCGCACGCAACATCGTGAAGAACTCGGGGCACTACTGGCTGCTCTCGGGCCTGCTGGTCGCGTTCTTTACCTACTCGCCGTCGGTGTCGAACCCGATATCTGCGGTCGCGGCGCCGGGCGCGAGCGTCTGGGATCCGCTGCCTCTCGCCGGGATAGCGCTGTTCGCGGTGGGGGAGGGGCTGAATCTGGTGACGCATTTGAAGCTGTCGAATTTGCGGCCGGCGGGGACGACGACGCGGGGGATCCCGCGGGGATTTCCGCTGTTTGAGACGGTGACGTGTCCGAACTATACGTTCGAGTTGCTGGCGTGGTTGGGGATGGCGCTGGTGAATCGGAGCTGGACGACGGTGGTGTTTGCAGTGGTGGCGGGGGCGACGATGGGGCTGTGGGCGCAGAAGAAGGAGCGGAGATATCGGAAGGAGTTTAAGGAGTATAAGCGGAAGAGGTCGGTGATGATTCCGTTCGTGTTCTGAGTGTCGGAATGGCGGAGGGCGATCAGACAGCGCGTCAGAATACTGTAAATTAGCGGTTTCAATATTATGGGGCTGAAACTTATCAACATGGGGTTACGCGGTTGAGCATATATACAAAGCTATAGTTATGTTCATGGACGGTTTATATTGATCATATGCAGCATTAGAAAATCAAAATGCTGTAACTGTAGAAACGCCGAAGCCCATTTAATGATGAAGCTTTTGTGATCAACCCGAAAGAATGGGCGGGCTCTTATGCACAATAAATATCTTTTTGATTCCGAAGCGATTGTAAGGTATCCAATCATGCCGCCACCTGCTTCACCTTCTTCACTGCCGTCTCCAGCGCGATCTGATCCACCTCATCCAACCCCCTCTTGTTCTTCACCTCATTCAACGCCTTCTCCGCACCCTCCAGCTTCGCCATCTCCTCCTCTGTCATGTTCGGCAGCAGCGGCCGCTCCGTCTCCGCGGACAGATTGAAGTGGAACGCGCGGATGACGCTGTCGGCATCGTCGATGGCGATGGGCCGGACGTCGGCGAGGGCCTTGATCTTAACGGTCACGGCCTTGACCTGGGCGTCGGTCATGGAGAGGCCGAGCTGCTCGACGCGCGACTTGATGGCGTTCCAGCCGGTCAGGCGCGAGGCGAAGTGCACGTAGCGCGACATGCCGAAGTCGGCGGGGTTGATGATCTCGTAGGTGGAGGGGTTGTTGAGGATGGCCTTGGCGTGGATGCCGGCCTTGTGGGTGAAGGCGCAGAAGCCGGTGATGGGGTTGTTGAAGGGGATGTTGACCTCCACCGCCTCGGCGACCATGTCTTCGATCTCCTTGATCTTGTGGAGCTTGTACTTGGAGGTGACGTAGTCGTGCTGGGTAATGTCAGTTGAATGAAGATATCAAGCGCCACGGTAGGATGGAAACGTACATCGGCGACTATCATGCGTGCCATCAGTCCTCCTAATGGAGTAATGCCATTCCGTTCGCCAATTCCGATCACACTCGTATCGACGTGCGTCGCGCCCGCCTCCAAAGCACAGTAGGCGTTGGCGATAGCACAGCCGGTGTCGTTGTGGAAATGCGTCTCGATATCGCACGACACGACGCCTCGCAGGGTTCGGACGAGATCGTACACCTGTCGCGGCGTCGCGCAGCCGACGGTATCGGCGATACCCACGCGGTTGACACCGACCTTGTTGACGGCCGAGTAGACGGACAGCAGATCCACGAGGTCGGAGCGGAAGGAGTCTTCGGAGGAGAAGCGGATTTCCAGGCCCTTGGACTTGACGAAGTTGATGACTTCGATGGCGGTGTTGATGATGTAGGTCATGTCCTTGCCGTGGCTGTGCTCACGGAGATAGCTGCTGGTGCCGATGACGACGTCCACGCCTGTTGATTGTTAGTCTTGCGGGGCGTCCGTTGCGGGAATCCATTCATACCATCAACACCGGTCTCTACGGCTATCCGTGCATCGTCCATATGGCATCGGACGTGTGTGAGGACCTATGACCTGTTAGCCTTGCTTTTGATTTTGGGCACCCTATCGTACCTTAGCCTTAAGCCCGAGCTTGCAGATGGCCTCGCAGTCCTTGCGCGATTGCTCGCTTGCCGCCGGTGACGTCAGTTCAATCTGCACTGGTTAGCTTGGGCTTCATGGAAGCGGCGGAATACATACGTAGTCGACTCCGAAGTCATCCAGGGCCTTCGCGATCTTGATCTTGGTTTCTATGGGCATGACTCAGTCTCCGTTTCCTCGTTTTACTGCAAAAGAACCGCATACCAGTGTCAAAGAAGGCATTTGCGAATTGCTCGCCCTCTCGCAGTGTGGACTCGATAATTTTAAATCGAGAGACTGCATTGGATTAGTCCAGTCATCGTGCCAGGCGTCGAGGGATATGTTGCGAACCGTTTGAGAGGAAGTCTCCAACCGGAGCATATGGGTTCTTGTGTGTCGGATGCGGATTTTGCGATGTTTCTATGGCCGTATATCCTTTGTGGTCTTTAGAAATCAGTCCAATTGCTCGAAATGGACTGAATTGTAGACGTACCGGCTCCATTTGCCTTCCCATTGGCACCGTTCGTCTGTCCATTGGAGTTGCCATTGGCCGGGGGATCCGCCGTCGGGCACATGTTGAAAGTCGGTGAGAGTCGAATGTATGTTCAATGAGTCGAATGCGGAGTTCAGGAATAATAGTTGAGGAGGTGGTGGTTTCGTCGAAGATTTTGTACAGAAATTTCCTCAGACCGATGACTGGGAAGAGAGAGTCATAAACAGGCAATGGGAGGCGGGCAATTGGCGGCTTCACATTGGACGCTTCGGCCAGTAAGCGGGGCTGTCGTTCAAATGCCGTCCTGCACCCCACACCGTTCTGAACTTCTGTGCTGTGTAGTTAGTCATCTTGCAGCCTCGTTGCCTTTAATTGTTGCCTTAATGTTCAATTCCGATTCAATTCTTGGTGTTTTACTGATTTCGCGTTTCTCGCCTCCGATGATCGGCATTAACAATTCTTCCTGGGCTAGACCAGACCATCTCCGTCATCAAGATTCAAGACATGTGCGATGAGAGGAGGAGACATCGACCCAGCACTCTCTCTCCTCTCTCCCCCAGATCCATATCGATGCCACCCACCCCATTTCTTCATCTCCATTCATTAATAAACCCATTACCTCTACACAACCTACCGCATAAATTATACGATATTCCCCCGGGACGTTGACTTCAATGGAAATGCACCTCGTGTCGCGTGACTCGGGATTGAGGGAGCTAATGCAACATGCACTCTCAACAACGCCTCCCTTGTCGATGATGGATGTCAAGTACGAACACGGAGAGATGAGATGCTCATGGTGAATATCCGTTCTTTCATCGCTTCTCCTCCTTGTAAATGCTAGTAAAATATGTTTTGTTTCCTTCTGCGTCTCTGTTTCAGCTTCGTATGCTCCCGGTGGTCGTCATCTGCCTCTTCCGAACCCCCCATGCGGAGGTACTACCATGGAGATAGCGTTGACGCGTCCTTGGCCATTCAACGTTTCAATATGGTGCCCCATCCGGATAATTCTTCTTGCTCAAGCTCTTTCATTCGTCGAATTGGCATTTGCGAGGGGCTGTCCTACTGTGCACAACGACTGTGTACTGACCGGAGAGCTCCTAGATGGCTCCCGAGGGCACTGCCACACTGCTGCCTTGCCATATATCTGTCTGGTTTCCAGCCTTATGCGTTGACGTTGTCTGTTTCGACAAAGTCCTAAGTTCCTATCTTCTTTACGTCCTATGTTTGCCTATTGTTAGTGTATCTTATCCAGAATTCGGATTGGTCATGGCTATGTCCTCCGGTCAGTGAACCAGCCAATACTGTGAGTTCAAATCAATAGGTTGAGAGACATTGTCCCGCGAATTCGTTTTATCAATCCCCAAATATCCCATTGGATAGTAGCCGTGTCTCCTGCCATGCTTGCCCATCAGAGTGTGGCCTTTCTGAGAAGGGGATCGAGAGATGGATGGGATGCTAGTTCTGGTGACCAGGAGCACGACTTGTCTCCTTTCTGTCCATCTACACCACCTCCAGTCTATCGAGAGCGCCAGGATGGCCATGATTCTCTAGCCCGGACGCCGAGCATACTATCTCAACCTATCCACGGCCATCATCCAGCCAATAAAATGATCTCAGAAATGGATGTGAATGTATCCGGAATCCCATCCGAAGGAGAAGTTATGGATACCCAGGGTGAATCCATAGCCCTTCCCGATTTCCCAAAGTCTGGCTTGTGGGGGAAGAAATCCATTCTTTGGTTGATTAAGAAGTCGACTCGGACTCGTGGTTCACGCAAGTATTCCAAGGGAGAACGCACCGGAGAGGAACAGAAGCCAGACATGACTATAGCGACAGGGAACGAAGATGTCCAACATCGGAATGATTGGTCCCTTCCTACCGAGGCGCAGGAAATCGACGGCACACCTATTGAGTGCAATCTCCCAGCGGAGCTCAGTTCGGCAGATATCATCTCGGAGGCTCCGGGTTCGTTACCCGCTTCCTATATTACCCGACAAAGCATTGAAGATGTGATCCATGCCATCTGCCAACGACAGAGTCCGGAATCACACGCGACCATCTCCAAGTTTGAGCAGGCGTGGCCGATCAAGGAATCCATTCTCGCTCTGAGTAACTGGACCTTGGCTGGGTGTCCACGCGACGATCCACCTCTGTATAGCGTTGCGGATGATGGGGCAGCCTTTGCCTGGGTGGAAGACGAGAAAGCAGCTGGCCTATCGATATCAAGTGGTAGCTCGTCGAAGGTTCTTCCTTGCAATCGCATGGATACACCAAGCACACAAAATGATTTCCGTCCTTTTCGACATTCAGAGCAGGAGGGATGTGACGAAGGCGAAACGCATGTTGTCTCGCCCGTACACGCCGAATTACAGAGCAGCTCACTTACTGCATCGACCGGCCCGCAGGTCTCGAGGCACCCCAATGGTTGCGTGGATCCGATATCCCCTTGCGGCCAAGATGAGGTCGCAGAATGTAACCTTGAAGAACCGGGTCTGATCGACGGACGGATGTCCCCACCACCTCCCCCAAGTACTCCTACGCAAAAGTACTTCCTTGAGCAGCTCACCCGTCTTGATGTATCGTGCAGGGCATCGAAGAACACACCCCACTCCACCGATGCGGTTGAACGAAGTATCCCGGAGAATGCCCTACAGGATTTGGATCCTTCGAGTGTTTCCCGCACTGTTGCACCGGCTCGGAAAAGCAGTCTCGAAAGGCCGGAATCATCTCCACCGCTGGCGCTGGATGAGCCATTTCTTCCCACAGACCGGCCACTAGGGGACAGGAAAGTCAAGAAGAAGGTGTCTTGGGGGAATTTGGTGAACCCGCCAGATCCAGCTGGTCGAGAGGAGTCCGCTAGTGGAGCTGGCGACGAATCCGGGACTGAATCTCGCGTGGACGTGGTGCCTCATGAAAATTATAAGGCGATCAATCCATGGAAAGCGCTTCTTGCTGCCACCGTATCGTCACTTTCGGCGACTGTGTCTGAAACGTCTGACTTACTACAAGAGTACCTTGGCGTTGAAAAGCCCGTGACTCCCGGGCAGGTCCGTATTCGATGGACTTGTGTAAGTGTTCAAAGTCAAATAATCTCGCATGTCTGACCCTGGAGGATAGAAATGCGGCGAAGAGCTTTATGACGACTTTATCGAAGTTCGTCCCGGTGCTGCCGCCGAACTGGAGGCGAAACTCAAGAGCATTGGCACACGCACTCTGCCCACGACCTCGCACACCAGTCAAGCAAGCCCCGGTAGCTCAAATAGTTCTAGCCCGATTTCCGCGTCGTCCTCAGCCTTCAACAGCGTCCCATCATCCGCGACCTCCATCGGATCGCTCTCGTCATTCCCATCCAATCTGAACACCCCCACCTCCAACCGCCCCAAACCCAACCTCTCCTCTAACCGTCGCCCCCGCTACCTTCCCTACCCCCCCACCACCCCCCTCTGGCTCCTCACCTGCGCCAATGAAGGCAAATGGACCCCCAAAGTCACCCACCTCGACGTGCACCCTGCCCTCATCCGCTCCGACCGCGACCTCGCTCTCGCACTCCGCGACCACTACGCTCGCCTCCACCACCGCTGGCCCAAGGCCCTCAAACTCCGTGGTCTATCCTCCATCCACTTCGTCCAGTTTGAACTCCACCGTAACCGCTTCGCCGATATCCGGAAAGTGCCCGACGTGCCCCCGGCGCCACCTCTGGCGTCCCGTGACCAACCCGCCGTGGCTGAGCCGCTGTCATCCGCGTCATATCAGGGGTGCGCGACGGCGATGGACCCGTCCTACGAATTCGAGACCACAGACCTCATCCCGCCGGTCGGCTCGCACTACCTCATGCATCTCCTCCGACATCCATCCGACTACGACGGCGAGCTGATCGCGTACCTCCGCACGCCGAAGCGGCGCGGGCGGCTGGACGTCGGAGTGGGCTGGGGGATCGCCCTGGTGGAAGGATATCTGCCGCTGCGGGTCTGGGGCATGCTGGTCGTGTTGTTCGTGCTGGGGAGTCTGGTTTTTGCGGTGACGTGGACGGTGAGAAGCAAGGGAGATCTGCAAGGGGCGTTTGGGGTGGCGGCTTGGGTGAGTACCATTGCGGCGTTGACGCTGGGGTGGGCGCAGGCTTACTGTGACTGATTTCTTGCACGATGTTGTTCTTTTGGTTTGGATCGCTTCGAACAATTGTTATTGGTGGGCGCGTCTTCATCTCAACAATTGCATGAACTGGGGCTTTCTGTTCAGACCCCGGGAGCAGAAATATTTTATATAAACACAGTGCAGCAGCCCCAAACTATATATATCAGGGAATTAATATAGCAATCAAGTCATCAGGATGGTGTCGCGAGGATTCAAATCTGAATGTTCTTGATGAATAATAGGAGTGATAATAGTTACAAGTAGGACTATGATAATCCATGCGTTTGGCTCGCCTCCATGGCGCCAAACTCGCGAGTGAAAGCGCGCGAGCCATGAGGAATATTTAGGATCGGATGCTACCCTGCATCATTCAAAGCCACACCGAACGCCTAACCGCTATCCAGCACCACTGGACCGCCGAAACCCATATCCCCTACTCCTCCCCCAACTCCACCGGCGGTCTTGACGTGTGCAAGATATATTTCCGATCCACCTCGTCGATCTCCTTCGGGAACCCGCTCCCAATCGGACTCAGCCCCTCCGGGCTCTTCACCTCCCCAATCCCCGTATCCTCGACCTCGATCGCCGGCAGATTCGGGCTGTTCCCATGGTCCTCCGGGCGATACACGACGGTCGAGCCCCGCGACCTGCCCTCCCCGTTCTTCGCATTCGTCACTGGCGACTTCTCGTCCTCCTGCACCGGCGACGACTCTAACTCCGCGTACCGATCCGTCGTCGCATCATGCAGCCTTTCCAACGCGACCGACAGATCATGTGCATGTACCTCCTTATTCGGCGGATCCTCGTTCTTCATCGCCCAGCCAGCAGGGGGCGAGGGGGGTGGGGAGATGAAGAACAGCCGGTCGGCTTTGGGGGCGCGCAGGTGCAGGGTGGCAGGGTCGACGTCGACGGGGGTGTGGGTGCCGAAGTAGACGCGGATAGGGGAGCCGAGGAGGACGCCGCCGTCGAGCGCGGCGCGGACGGCGGCGGAGGCAGCGGGGTCGCGGAAGGAGACGAGGAGGCGGCGGAAGGATTTGAGGGGGCTAAAGGTGTGGATGGGGTGCCATTGGGAGATCATGGCGTGGATGACGCCGAGGGAGTCGGGGGAGAATATTGACGGGTCGTTGAGGTTCTGGGGGAGGTTAGTATCAAACTATCAATCGTCTGTGGGGAGAGGCGGAGTTGACCTACTGTGATGATGAGGGTGTTAGTCGGTTGTGAAGGCTGGGACAGTTGAGGGAGGTCCGAGAGGTCAAGAGAGAGTTGCCGTTTGTTCCTCTCTCTTGTGGATGAACTGGAGGACGACCGTGAGAGGTCTGGGGTGGCTTCTGTTGACGACATCTTGAAGTCGTGGATGGATGATGCCGACGGGTTTGGTGAACAAAGGTAAGTTATGTTGGCGTGGAATGGTTCGGGATGTTCTTGGTGAGTAACCAGTAGGTGGACAACCACGTTTGTATTGTTTTTGAAGTGTGTGGATGCAGGTATCGTGAGAGGGGACGAGGTCTTAAATGTGTAAAAAGTGAACACAATGAACACAGTGAACAGTGGTCTTCGTACGTATCAATAAATGGTGCATGGATGGATTGATGTAATTGCTGCGGAGGGACAAGGATGATGTTATGACAGAGAGTGAGATGCGTCAGTGCCGCTCTCCGGCTTGGAACTAATCTGGTCACTGCAGCTGGTGACAGTTAAACTAACCCTTATCCGAGTCTCAAGGAGTGGCCAGATCCAACCCAGATTTCGGCAATCTGCGCTTTTCCTCTGTTTTCTTCAACTGCACAGCCCTCTCTCTCACGCTTTTCGCCGCGTCGACTCCATTTGCTGCGGAAATCTCTCTCCCTTCGCCTCAACAACGTCCATGTCCGCGGTTGGCCACGGCAACTCCTTTATTCATCTGGCCCAGGCCGGACTGCATTGGGTGTTGATTGAAAAATTCCTTCCGTCGCACTGAGACAAAGGCGGACATGTCCCCGTTCCCAACGAACACGGCTCCGCTCCTCCATCGCAAATGTTTCTTGGAAGTCATGTTCCGCCGTGCTGCGCCCCCTCCGAGGCCTTGGATGATTTGATCACTCCATCGGCCAATGCAGCAGGTCAGTATGTGTCCAAGAGAATCACCTGCCTCTCTGGATGCCACCACCTATCATGTCCGGGAAACCAAGCACATGTGTGAAGAATTCCAAGAATTCCAGATGCAGTGGCAGTCGCATCCGCTATATGCCTCATCGAGGGGATGCGATACAGTAGCACTGGAACCCGCTGCCCCGGGACACTGCTTTCCTGTTCTTGGAGAGAGGAGAACGTCAGAGGTCAGGCAGACTTATAAAGATATATCATGCGCCCGTAGGCTTTAGTGGCAATCTTGGCCAAGATGCCGTGCCGTAAATGGAGTTGGATCATCATTCCACCACTCTTGGGTTTCTACAACCAAGGAACATCGTCGTGCGAGAATGCGTACGGCGAACACTTAGGCTGTTTTGTCCTCTCGTTCTTGAACACGCCTGGTCAAGTGTTCGCGTGCACTTGAACGCCAGTGTTAGATTTCGTCATCCATCATCCAGGGGATACGTACCAGGAGCGAAAGTACAGTATTTGAAAACGAAAGTCTCTAATGCAACGAATGCGACAAGCCAGTAAGTTAGTCATCGTAGTGCTACGCCTCCAGTGCATACATTCAAGTTTCCGTTGGTTGTTCAAATTGGACTGTTGGCGGCTAGGAAGTCCTGCACGCGAGCATTGCTACGGGTTTCTCCTTCATGACGCCAGTACTTCTACCAATTTCCAATTCAACAATCGTCTTTCAAAGACTCCGAGTTCTTGCGCTTAGTAATTATGTTCCAATTTACCGTTCTCTCCAATGTTGCCTTAATATCAAGTCCAGACACGATGGCTCTTCCCCTAGCGCCACGACTACCTCGTAAGTTCAAGGTAAGAGCAGAGGTCTTTCAACCATTCTAACCAATCTGCCAACCGCTCCAACTGATTCACAACAAGTGTCATGGCAAACTGCCTTCTTTGCCGTTGTAGCCGCTGCAGCCCTGGTCCTGATTCAAAACTCGGGGGTCATCGCCAGAACCCCCATACGTATACCCAAATTGGCCTCCGAATATCTCCTTTGATATGTGCTGTTGACTCAATATGGATACTTGTACAGTGGACCTGGCTGATGTGTGCGAGTTGTCGGCCGCAGGCTGGGAGCCAGGCATGTTTGGCATGACCGGTTCTTAGAAGATGAGAGGCTCAGCGCCACGAGGATCAATACCTTCTGGGGTGTTGGTTTAGGCGCGTTCATCACTACGAACCTTACGCAGACTATCAAAGTCTTTGGATATACCGGGATACCGCTCACTCAAACCTTCCTTGGGATCTACCTGATTTCGTTCATGGTTCCAGACGCACTCCGGATAGTATCTTCGACGGCCGCGACCGACCCTCCTTTAGCGCAGAACGTTGCCGAAGCGAAGAGAAGGATGCGTATAGTCGAATATTTCTTTTTCGCCGCCGTCTTTGTCCTCCAGGAGTTATCTCGGATAGGTCTAATGTCTGCCATGGTCCCTGACACGTCCATCATCGCTGAGCAACGCACAACGTCGGAGAGAGAAGACCAGCTAAAGAGCGGGGGAGGATTCACGTCCTTCTTTCTACTAGGTCTAGGAGGGTGCTTTTCATTTATGATCCTTTTCTCTAAGTTTGTTGACAGGAGAGTCCATAATATGGAACATTACGACCTACGGACCGATACGGCTTTGCAAGCTGTGTTCTCTGTGTTCTCTGTTTGCGCTGCCACGTTAATTTTAATAGGCATGGTCTTCGGTGTCCCCGTCACCATTGCTAAAGGTACCGCCTTCTTAAGCAACAACTATGCCTAGCAAATGCTCCCATTCCTGAAAATATGTTTGGTCCTGAAATACACAGTGCTCCTCTTCCTATGTATTTCAGTGCTTCTGGCGCCTATTTTTGCTTTGGATCAGGCAGGAAAGATTCGCAGCGAAAAGTTCTTATTCCAATTATTCTTTCCTATTTTGATATTTGTGGGAAACTTTGGAACGTTGCTTTCTTATTACCTCTTCCTCTACAGTCCGTATGGGACGTACAAATCCCGGTGGATAGAGAAGTTTGGCTAAGGGTTGGGCGAATGACCGGTCAGGAAGGATGGGCATCAAAGATGTTAAAATTATCATCATGGTATTATATAGTGAAGGAAGAATTGAACGTGCTTGTAGCACTCTTTTATTTCCAAGTGAATGGCGACCTCTAAAGTGATGATGTTCGTCGGCTTTGTCCCTTGATCAGTATCACGTGGAGGAGGAGATTCACGTGACTGCGCGGATTCTAGAATTGTTTCGACCCTCGACATCGCGACATAATATGAATCTCGCCATCTGTTTCGCACTCGGCATCACTCATTCCTGCCGGGCATAAAAGTCAACCATGGATTTCGATCTCGACGGCGATATCGGCCCGACCGTCACCATCCGCGAAGCCACCCCGATCGCCGTGGATTTCATCCTGAAGAATGTCGACCTTAGTCTGGCCAACTCCGTCCGGCGCGTCGTGCTCGGCGAGGTGCCGACGATGGCGATTGACCTCGTCGAAGTCGACCTGAACACCTCCGTCCTTCCGGACGAATACATCGCGCACCGCCTGGGGCTGATCCCGCTGAACGCCCGCAACGTGGACGACGTGCTGTACACGCGCGACTGCGACTGCGAGCAGTACTGCGACCAGTGCAGCGTCACGCTGAGCCTCGAGGCGAAGTGCAACCGTGAGGAGACGATGACGGTGTACGCGCGCGACCTGGTGCGGAACGAGGGGGCGGTTAACGAGTGGGTCGGGCGGCCGGTCATCATGGATCCGGAGGCGAAAGGGAGCATCATTTGCAAACTGGGGAAGGGGCAGGAGATCCGGATGCGGTGTATTGCGAAGAAGGGGATTGCGAAGGAGCATGCGAAGTGGGCACCGACGGCGGCGGTTGGGTTCGAATACGACCCTCACAATAAGTTGCGGCATTTGGACTATTGGTATGAGGAGGATGCCTCAAGAGAATGGTATGTCCTGCGCAGGAGCTGCGCCTCATCCGCTGCAAATTGGACGTCTCACTGATTATCTCGTAGGCCACTGTCCGAGAACGCAAAACTTGAAGATCCCGCGCAAGAAGGCGAGCCGTTCGACTTCAACGCGGTCGCCTCGCTCTTCTACTTCAACGTCGAAACGGTCGGTGGCCTCGAACCCGATACAATCGTCCAACAAGGCATCAAAGTTCTTCAGCAGAAGCTCGCCTCGGTCATCCACGAATTGACGGGAACCGGCGAAGCGATGGAGGCTGACGATGACTATGCGGTTCGCAGCCCGGACGCGATGAACGGGATCAACGGTGCCACGACCGCCTACGGAGGAAACACGGCATACGGCGACCCTGGATATCAGACGCCAGGAAACTTTGGTGGGCAAAGCGCTTGGGGTGGTGGGATCGGTGGCGCAACTCCATATGGTGCTCAAACTCCTTACGGCTCGGGATATCGGAGATGAGGCATTTGGAGTGGATTTGGATATGATCGTTCCTTACCAGCGCGTGCATTGCTCGGAGTTATCGGATATTTCAATGGAAGGAAATGGGGGGCATTTGGGCGCATAGATGCGGTATACTTGAGAACTTTGCATTTTGGGTTGCAGTTTCAAGACACAGCAACCCAAAAGTTGAGGACTTCACTCGATAGGCAGAGGATAATACCGTAGGCAAATGAAAGTTACAATTAATGATCAAACTTGACCATATATCCCTTCAGATCAACGTTGCCAAAATCCATCGAGAGTCCCAGACCTCTTTCCAGGATAATTATATTATCAAAACGGCCCATTCAGCCTATCCCGACCTTCGCCGTGTTTTTGTAGAGTGGAAATATTTATACAAGATGTCATGCGCCTTTTATGCTGCATCTCTCCCCAAGAGTATGCCTTTGGAGGTGCAAATCGCCATGCCGAACTTCATACAGAATGCAAGCAGTGAGTTATACATATTCGAAACCAATAACAGGAGATATTCCTCCTTAGGAAACCCATCGCCCCGGCTGGGACTAGGTTATGAGTTCTTGACCACACCAACCTTGGCCGCCTATCAACAGTTAGCATCACCAGTAATTGAAGACGATAGTTTCATCGCGACGTGACTCACCCGCAAAATGCGTCCATTCAACAAATATCCCTTCTGCTGCGTATGGAACACGCTCCCATCCTCTTTATCCGGCTGTGGCGCCTGGAACGTTGCCTCATGCTTATTCGGATCGAACCGCTCCCCCAATTCCGATGGATCGAACCGCACCAGCCCATGCTTCTCCAGCGTCTGCATTAGCACCGTCTCCGTCATCTTCAGCCCGGAGTGCAGCGTCTGCAGATCCTGGTGCGTGTTCTCGGCGAACTTGGCGATCTCCTCCGCGGAGAACTTCGCGACGGCGGGAGTGTTGAGCTTCTCGGAGGCGATAGTATGCAGGGCACGGTCGAGGTTGTCGATGCTCTCGATGAGGTCTTTGGAGAAGCGCTGCAGGGCGAAGTCACGGGCGGCTTGGACTTCTCGCTTGGTGCGTTCCTGCAGGTTGCGGAAGTCGGCGACGCTGCGCATGTATTTGTCCTGTTTTCTGATGTTAACGCCACTTAGCTGCTAGAAAGCTGGATTTCGTGTGTATACCTTCAGGCCCACGATCTCCTTGTCCTTTGTCTCCAACTCTTTCTTCAACGCCTCTTCAGGAGCTGGTGCCGCACCATTACCGTCTGACTTCGCCTCCTCCTTCTTTGCTTCGGGTTGCTCGGAGTACCATCTCCGTAGCGGCTGAGTTGGTCGGGAACCCGCTAATGAAGCAGCTATGGATGGTCTGATGGCGGTCGAAGCATGTCGTAACCGGGGGAGTGCAAGAGAATATGAGGTGGCGGATGTGACGACTCGAGTCTTCGGTAGGAGAGTTTTGGCTAACATGATGATGGATTGAAATGGATGGAAGGATCTGAAGGGGTTAATGGGGGTGAGTCGTGAAATAGCTAGATTTATGCTTGGGGGAAAATCTTAGGATTCTAGCAATTGGCAAAAGATGTCTTCCTGTGTCGTTGATGATTTCGCGGATCGGCGTAGAATCGGCTGCTTTTCCGGCTTGGCCATGCTCGGCATCCACCCTGACTCCCTGACAGCTAAGTCCCCAATGCCGAAGAACCTCAGTTTTGTGCCGCTTCTGTTCCGTATTTCCTTCACCTTCCTTCTGATCTGATGCCATTTTCTCTTCTATAATTGCATAGAAACTGAGCTGTCTATCGCACTTCCATCGTACTATATGAGAGCAAATAGGAATGCGTAACTTACGTAATATACACAAGCAATGACAGTCCCTCTCGTTATGGGCAGGTGCTCAATGGCGACTTCCTCCATCCGCCTGTCCCGCCTCAATAGCATAACCAGACATAGAAGTTGCGCTCGATTGCTGTTCCCCACCTGCATCGCCATGTCTTCCTCCTCCTCCTCCTCCTCCTTCTCCTCTTCCTCAACATCCTCCTTCCCTCAGCGCTCTATACGAGCCTCCTACTATCGCGGCGGCACCTCTCGCGCCCTGATCTTCCAGCCCGCCGACCTCCCCGCTGACCGCTCCCGGTGGCCCCAACTGTTCCTTTCCGCCATGGGATCCCCGGACCCCAACGGCCGACAGCTCAACGGCATGGGCGCTGGAGTCTCGTCCCTGTCCAAGGTCTGTATCGTTGCCAAGTCCGCCCGCGAAGGCGTCGACGTGGACTATACCTTCGTGGGGATAGGGATCGAGGGTACCGAGACGGACGTGGCAGGGAACTGCGGGAATATGTCGGCGGCGGTGGGGCCGTATGCATTCGATCATCGACTATTAGGATTGGAGGAGAATGTGTATCTGGAGCGGAAAGGGGAGGTGGTGGTCAGAATTTACAATACGAATACGGGGGTGGTGATCAGGAGTACGTTCGAAGTAGAAGGGGGCGAAGCTAAGGCAGTGGGCGATTTCATGATCGATGGCGTAGGCGGAAGTGGATCGAAGATCAACCTAGAATTCCTGCGACCTGGCGGCTCTAAAACCGGTAAACTGCTTCCCACTGGCAAAGCGACAGACACGATTGAAGGCGTTCGCACCAGCTGTGTGGATGCAGCGAATCCAGGTATATTCGTCAAGGCGGAAGATGTTGGAATCGACCCAACGATCCTGCCGCACGAGTTCAACCAGCTCACGGAGAAGCGGGCGCTACTGGAGCGGATCCGAGGCAAGGGCGCCGAAATGATGGGGCTTTGTAAACCGGGTGAAGAGCCTCCTCGCGTAATACCCAAGATCGCGATCGTTTCGCCTCCAGTCACGCAGACCACGCTGTCAGGGGAAACAGTGGATGGCGCTTCATTGGACCTGGTGGTCCGCTTCATATCGGATTCCCAACCGCACAGGGCAATCCCACTGACGGGAGCACTATGCACCGCCGCCGCGGCTAAAATCCCGGGGACGATCGTGAATGAAGTACTGCGAAGAGAGCAGCTCTCTACAGGCATGATAACGATGGGCCATCCGAGCGGTCGCATTCAAGTCAGTGCAAGCCGGGGCACAAACGGAGATATCGAATCGGCATCAGTCTTCAGAACGGCACGAAGAGTCATGGAGGGAACTGTATTCTGGAATGAATGATTGAAACCTGATGACAAAATTCTCCCCTTACTGAACTGAGAGTGTTCCTATTGGAAAAGATCATCATAGTTGGGAGGAGGAGCGTCAGTCTGCTTCCCCTTCCTAGGTGTCCCAGAGCCGCCGCCCCCACCTCCTCTTCCGCTTGATCCTCCACCTGGATTGCTACTCGAACCACCTCTTGGAGGCCAATATACCCTCTTCAACCTCTCCTTCTCTTCGCTGGCGCTCATTCCTCGACTTCGCCCTGCTGCCGAACTCGCCGAGCTTGGTCCTGCCTTTGAAGGACCAGCGGCGTCGTAGCGAACCTGAAGTTAGTCTTTTTCCGCCGCCGCAGAATCCTGCTTCGGGGCGACGGAAGGAGTCGCCATTCCCGGCCTCGCGCCGGATTCCGCAAGGCTGAGGCTAATGGCATTCTCGATCTCAGTCTGTCCCTCGGTGCTGGGTTTGCTTGCGGGCAAGGCACACTCCTTGCTGAGACGAAGGACTCACTCGAGTTCATCTTCCTCTTCCTGAACTCTGTTATTCTTTGGCGGTAATGCGGATTCCTCCTTGCTGAGACGCAGGACTTGCTTGTGTTCATCCTCCTCTTCCTAATCTCTATCATTCCTGGGTGGCGGTGCCGATTCCTGCTCGCTGAGGCGGATGGCTCTCTCGAAGTCCTCTTCGAACGTTTTATCATAGTCGGTGTCATTCTGCAGAGGCGGTGTCGGCGGCCGGGGGGTCGGATCTCGTGGCTGAGGGGTCGGCGGTCTCCTGCCCTGGTTGTCAAGCCTCTCTTGTTTCTTCCTCTTCTCCTCTGCAGTGGAAGGGAGTGGCACTGCATGCGGCGACATGGAGCTGCTAGACGCCTGCATACTCAGGCTCTGCCTCATAGCCTCCTCAATATCCTTCTTATATTCCTTATCCAATTCGCTATTGTCAACCACAGGTTTCGGCGTGGGTGGTCGGCCTTGGATCGCTCGGAGGGTTGCCGGGCTGGGGTTTTCAACCTCCTCAACCTCAATTTCCGGGGATGATGTTTTCCACCGGCGTTGGTCTTGAAACTGCACCTGGTAGCGCTGCTGTCCAAACGCCTGGTTTGGTTCTCCAGGATAGGATTGGAAGTTCTGAGAAGGTTGAAGATACGCAGCTGGGGCTGGAAGCGTGGCAACAGTCGGCGGGGCCTCAACCCGTCGCGGATTAGCGAATCTCTGTTCCATTAGCTCTCGTTCCAGCGCTTCGTTTCGCATGCGCTCGCGCCTCAGCCCGTCTTCAACCTCAAGCCTGGCCTTACTATCCCTCTCTTCCAGCATGGCCCGATCCTTTTTCATCAGTGCTTCTCTCTCGGCCATAAGCTCGTTCATCTTTTTGTCCCGCTCTTGCGCATTTTGCATCAATTTAAGCTCCCCTTCCCGCATCTGTTGATTGTGTTCGATCTGTTGTTGCACGGCCGTAGAGACGGGATCATTGGCGAGGGCCAACAGAGGAGGGGCAAACGGTAGGACAAATGGTGACGGCGCTGGCAACGCAGCGGGCATTGCTTGGGCCGCCTTGATCCGCTCCTCTCGCCTCCTATCATCCTCCCGTCGCAGTCTAAAATCGTCGTGAAGTTGTGTCATCTGTTCGTAGTGTTTCCGCCTGCGCTCCTTCCTTTTCTGCTTCCTCTCCTCTTCCTCCTTGGCAGTGAGCACGCCTGCGAGAAAGTCCGCCCGTGCATTCCCGTCCAAATACCCATCTATCAACTCTTGTTGGTCGATGAAATAGGGTCCTGCATCAGGGGGGACGACGCCAAATGGGACCATTGCCGGTGGTCCGAAATCAAAGGGATCCATTGGCCTGACACCAAAGGGGTCCCCGTTGAAATCGTGATCGTCATCGTATGGGTTGAAGAAGCGCTTCCTGGCACTGCGTCCGTCTCGTCGTCCAGACGGATCCATCTGTGGCTGCCGGGCGTTTTCCACGGGAAGATTGCGTCAAGTTCGATGTTTAGCAAAGTTTGTCCTTGTTGTCGGTTGGTATATTCGTGAAATGCTCAGTAGAATATGCTTGACGTCCCAATCATGTCAGCCTACGCTTTATGCGCTTTATATGTCAGACTCTCGCTGGGATTGAGTCACTATCAGTGAAATTACACTTCACAGCTGCGATCCACTGCGTCATTTACTGTATTAATCAGTGTTGGTTAGATCACCTCTCTAACGAATGCTGGACGGTGGACATGTGAAATGTTTAGCCTGCTGTGAAGTCTACAACCATGTTCTTTGCGACCTCCGGGCCCACGAGCGCGGCCATTTCTCCGATGATGCCTTTTATCGACGAGCGATCCAGCATGTCGCTACTCTCCCAGGTGGCCAGATCCTACATGGGGTCAGCGCAATATTCCAAGGGATATTCGGTTTATACATGCCTCCGCGTCCACCACCAGGCGCTGATTCTGGTAAGGTAGTCGAACGTGGATCTTGCCCATGTCGACCTTCTCCTGCACCTCATCCGCGGTCATCATGCCTGGGAAGTCCATCTCGAAAAGTGACAGCGGCCCTTCTTCCAGAGCCTCGCAGGCTAGGATGGGAGAATCGAATCCCTTCTTTCCCTCCACGTTTCCGATCTTCGCTTGCTGAGTTTCTGCGTCCTTGATTCCCTGCGCGTCAGCCATCTCCCTCCAACCTCCTGTCCTCCACATCATGACCTCCTGCGGCTTGTAGTCTGCCTTGTAACGCATCTTGTCACAACTCCAAATGATGTAACCCATGTAGTAATATTCTAGCCCTTCCTCAAGAGTCATGGCTATTTCTCTCAAAGCACCGACTTTGCCAAGGCTCCACTTTGAAAAGTCAGGGTGATACAAGAAATAGACAGAGCTAATCCCTTGGGGAAGGAAATCCAAGACACCAAGTGCAATGAGCCTTCCATCCACCCAGTAGCAGGCGTGATAACTACCCAATCGTTGCGCAGGTTTCGATGCGAGCGAATGTTGATCCCCAGAGTGTGAGGCTGGATGTGACGTCGAAGGTGCCTTGAGCGGAGAAGTGCAGAGGAAGCGTATGAAGCCGTCGCGGGAGATCTCGGAGGGCTCTTCCTGATGCACATGCCGCTGATACTGCTCGTACAGGAGGTACTTCACTTCAGTAAAGGTGTTTGATTCCAGTGTCACTTCGAAGCGATGACTGGGCTCGGGCGTCTCGGGGAGGCTAGCATATTCCGTGGCATGTATAGTGTAAACCAAGTCGAACCCTTGGTGCTGCTTCGACTTGTCTCTAGAACCGTCCGTTAGTTCAGCATAGGAATAGGGGTAATCAATAAAAAGGGGGTGGGATGGAAGCTATTACTGTTTCGACTTTGGCTGCAGCCGTGCAGCCTCTTTCTCATACTCTTCGCCCAGAATAAAGCGGTTCCATCTGTTTAGCGTCTGCCGATGATCGCGCGACGCCTTGTATTTTTTGACCGGTAGGCGAAGCGTATGATGCGGACAGCACGAGTGGCGTGCATCTGGCACATACAGGAGATTACCCGATCTACAATGGAGATTAGAAAGGCGTTCCAGTGGTCCCCTACATCTAAAGATGGGCTAGACGTTCGGATGATAAAATTATCTTACCTACGCCAACCCCTATGGAGGAGACTCTGGTAATCAGCGGCAGAAATTGATTTCGCCTTCACATAGTACGATCCACCTGTGATTGTGTAAGCGACCCCCTGGATACTTCCATAACTTCCCACTTGATGACATGAACGAGGAGAGAATAGTCTAGACCGGCATAAATAGCAAATAACTACCAGCCAATTACGGATCTAAGGCCAAAGGCCAATGAGCGAATGAAGTCCTGGCTACCAGGTCCCCTGGGTTTTCATTTGATTCAGGAGACACCAAGTGTCTCACCAGGGGATCAGTGGCAGTGTATCAGTGAGAGATTTGGTGATATGACTCTTCGAAATGGGGTGGGGGGTAGGAAAAAGAACACGGGGTGGTGCCAACGCACGGGAATCGGGGGTTCGCTGACTTGAAGAATAACCTTTGCAATATCCGCAAGAACCCGTATGATAGCCTACACCAGATGCCACATGTTAGTAAATTCTTATCATCTGATTACAAAGAGTTCTGGTTTTGATGTCGTCTGCCAACAGTTTCGAAATAGTACCACAGTCTGCCGAACTGGCTTTCGGATACAGTACATTTTGTTTGTGATCGTCCTTATATACGAGCCACTGCCCATCCCTCTGTTACCTTATACTAAAGCATATTGGCTGCCCCATCCAGAGAGGTAGTGCGAAAGTAATGGAAAGGGTGACTCACCGATAGGAGAAAGGAGTGATATCGGTTCGCTGGTATCCATCGTCGTTCGAACAGTCCAGAGAATAATTAAAGTAGAGTTGGGTACAGTATTCAGAAACTCTAATGACGAGGGCGGTGGAGAGGTCTAGTCATGATCCGGGGGTAAAAGGACACTTCAGGTAAACAGAGTTGACAGTGGTCAGGCTACGACAGCAATCCGTGATTTCCAACTCTGTATTATATCGTGGCAGTCATTTCGAGGTAAAAGCATCCCTCTAGATCCTTAATACCAGTATATTCATATGAAGATTGGTCATTACTACACTGACGGTCAGCTGTATTCCTGATGATACGGTTGAGTTCAACATCGTCTGAACGCACGTGACTAGTATAGAGCTCATCACGTGATACATCTTGAAGGCCCGTTGATGCCTGAGAGGCATTACACTTCATGTTCATTTGTTCAGTTCAACTGATTCGGTTCCATTTCAGGCATGCTGTAATATCGAATCAATCACCACAGGAACATCTCGGGACGCTGCGTTAGTGATAGAACCCACCTTGTCTTCCGATGGCGACTCTGTACCGTAGCGCGCGCTACGGAGCTATGAAAGATCGCCATGGCATCTGCCAGGCTCAAGACCGAGATGAAGAGTGCATCACCATTCTTGAAGAACGATGTTGGCGGGCATCAATACGGTCAGTCAGGCATTAAATCTTTCGAAAAACAAATCCGACCCGCTCGGGGAAACCCTTCATCCAACTTCCCCAAGCATGGGTCAAATTCGTGGTATGCATGTGTAGACTCTCAACGACGGACACTAATGCATCAGGTTGCCAATCGGCTCAAGGGAATAGGACCGACCCGTTTCCTGGACATTCTCATTTCACGATGTCTTTCCAGGGAGTAGTTAGTTCGGAGGGTCCCTTCTCGACTCCAGGGAGGAGTCGGATCCAAGTCCCTCGAACTAGCCTCGTTCCTCGGACAAAGACACCCGACGAGTACTACCGGACGTCGAGTCGGGCGGTGTAACGACTACTGATACTTAGAGAACAATGCGGATATTCCCCGGTGGCAAAATAGCGGTCGGTCGCGTTAGCATGACTCCAGAGAAGCGGTGAAATCCAGGGAAAGGGTACTACCCCAACATGAATGGACGTGCAGCGAAGTCGATATGCAAGGCATCGTCGTTTCTGGCATCCGGATCTGTGGGATCGAAATGCCAGATGCACGTTCGAGCGCGTGATGCGGGAAAGTCAGCCTGATCTGGAGGAAGGCAACGTTGAGACTCGAGAGCAATGTCATGGATGTCTTGGGATTAGAGACGATGTCAGTGATCAGTCCCGTCCCGGCCCGAGATCGATGGTGCTGTATAATCACCTTTCGCTGCAGAGTGCAGAGGTACCTTACGGACGGGCGTAATAACGTATTATCTATCGGATTCACGGAGTCTACTCTCGTTGAGTTTTGAGTTTCGTATTGCAGATCAACCTCCAACATCCCACGAACCCCGCATTTTGGAGGTTGAATTTTCAAAAAATCGACTTGCTTGCAAGGCGGAAGGAGCCTATCAAAATCCATGGGTTTACCACGTGGAGGGTGCCCAAGGAATAAGTCGACGGAGTCGGACGTACCTAAGTATTTCGCACAGGTGAGGTGTGTAATACGATAGCGTGGGGTCACTGACGCAGCATACAGCTGAAATGTTACTCCCATGCGCAGTAAGAAACGATTGGAGGGGTCAAATCGGTCGAGATAGTTTGAGGATCGAAAATCAGATAAGCGGAAGAGTATACCTACACACTAGCTGCTCAATTGCTGGCCTTTATTGCCTATTTGCCCATCAGTTCCTTGAGAGGGAAAGCTCCTTGAGAAGCAAAGGATGTCATCACTGCGATCATAGGTAGCAATACCGTGCTTTCCCCCAAAAAATACTGCGTGGAGATATATAGACATGGATGAGTTTCCTCGCCTAAAGCGATACATGCAATGCAGATGCATCCCACCCATTGTCTCAAATATCCGGACACCATGCATGTCCGCTTGGCTGTAGAACTTCCTATCCTAGTCCCGTCTGGACGAATGGCCTAATTACTAGAACGTTTAGTTGTTACCGGTGCTGTATGGCCGAGGGCACGCGATCACCAACATGGTTCCCTCGGAACTAGGCAATAACCCACGAGGGGCTGGAAAGAACGCCATTCCGATGTACGCAGGAAGGTCAAGGTCAGGTTAGTATGAGTCAAGAACAAAAAGTAGAGACGAAGTATTCCAACATAAGCAATTGGTCGTTCCGGAAATTAGGCAAAGTGGAAGTGACAGTCACACTGTAGCAGATATCGGTGGTCAGACAAATAATTTCTCATTTCACGCAGCATCATTTTGAGGCAACCGCATGTTTCAAGCAAGATGACAGGGAAGGCCGACCTGGCAGAGCGGAAATCCGATGAGATCAGAGCTGCAGGGAACAGCAAACGGAGGGTTACCTCACATCACTATTCTAGGGAGCTGTTGATGATCTTCTGGAAGACCTGCATCGTCCGTTTTCGCTCTCTGCATCCACCCCGCTTGGACTGGGTTGGAGAGTGGGAGAAGGGAAATGATTGGAGATTTTCAAACAGTGGTTGGTGGCCTCGAGTCTAATCAACGTGTTGCAGATGTCACAATTGGGCTCCTATGGGGAGGGGACTCTTATGGGGGGACTGCTACTCAGTTTACTGTAGCCGGACGGAAAGGGAGCTGGAGCCTTGGGCTCAGCCTGTATCGTTACCAGGCAGATCATAATACCCAGCCTCCCTGTATGATGGAAGCATGGAAGTGTTGGAGGTGAAAGTGGAAGCGGAAGTGGCAGTGGCAGTGGCAGAGGAGTGAAAGGGGAAGTTGATAATACCAGCGTAATACCGGCGGAGTTAGAGTGATCATAGTACATATGTACATACTCCAATAAGGTATTATTAATAGTATTTACTGCAAAGGAAGGGAAAGCATGTGGCGGCTCCAGAGCCTAGAATGTAATTTTCCAGATCAATACGAACGACGGCGTCCGACTGGCGGTTCAGGTTAGCTGTTCAGGTTAACTTAGCGGTTCAGGTTGCTTTCACTCGTTCTGGTTGAACGACGACCTTAAATTTTTCCCGTACCGTTGGACCGTTTCCCCCATCCATACTCTCTTTCCACCTTTCCACCTTTTCTCTCACTTCACTTCCCCCCAATCATCCTCCCTTTCTTTTCCCGGAATTTCACTTTCACTTTCATCTCCTCCACCATGCCGCGACCACAAGGCCTTCCCGTCTCCCTTCCCCAATCGCGTCCCCCGTGGACATGATGGGACTTTGATTTCGCCTCACACCTTTCCCTCTCCTTCCGATTCACTCTTCACTACCCCCAACTCTTTTCACACCTTCCTAGTATCGCCTCTCGATCTCATCTGCAACTTCCTGTGCGCCTTCCCTGCACTCTCCGCTCTTCCGTACCTCTCCGCATCACAATCCGATCCATCTGCGACCATCCTGTGCCTCCGCTGGCACATCGAAACTTCAGAACCGCCAATTTCACTCCGGGGAAGCGCCTGCGTTGCAGATCTTGCGAGCGGTCACGTACAAACTTTTTTTGAGGAAGCTTGCCCCAGTACCTGAAGGTGGGGCATTATCAAGTCCTAGAGTCTAGACCACTTCCCCAGGCAATCTTTCATCATGGCTCAAGGTGCGCGGACCATGGAGGCGCGAACTGGCAGGACGAATCAACGTACGTATCTAGCATCTCGCAGCAAACATATCCTCCCCCCTTCCGTCTCCAAATCTTTCTGGCATCTAGCTCAGAAACTCACATCATCATAGGCTATGGACCTCAAGGTGAACGGCTCGTTGCCGGTGTCGTTCCCCTCTCCGAAGATAAATATTACGTCCTCTTGATTGCGTCCAACAGCCGTCCAGGCTGGGTTCTTCCAAAGGGTGGTTGGGAGACCGACGAAGCAACGGCTGCTGATGCTGCGTGCCGCGAAGCATGGGAAGAGGCAGGCATCGTTTGTACTGTGACCTACGACCTGGGAGCGATCGGGGAAAAGAGCGGAGCAACTCAGAAGGCCCACTACCACTTCTTCGAGGCGACGGTGCAGAAGCAGGAGGACAACTGGCCTGAGATGCATCGCGCTCGGGCGTGGATGACCTTTTCGCAGGCCGAGACGGCGTTGGCGGACCGACCGGAACTGCTGGAGGCGTTGAGGAAGTGTACGATGCACCGGTGCTAGGCGGCGGCTCGGCGACCTCGATGAGAAAACCCGAACGATCGCTGTGGGACGGAGCAATACGGAGTTTGGGAGCAATTTGCGCGGGATGAGGAGGGTATGCCAATCGGAACACGACACGAACAACCTTCCACGCATTCCGGGGTTCATCGACTTTCTAGCATCACGGCGGTTCCTCTCCACGTTCCCCCACGACTCTCATTTACACAGAGATCGATATTTTTTGCGTCGACACCTACGCTGACCAGCAACGACGCACATGGGCCTTTTCTGCCTCTGATCGATCACATCGATCACCCATCGATCGTATACTAATCCTGGGACTGTTGTCATAGAGCTGCACAGAGGGTACGAATGCATTTCCTGTTCAGCAATGCCGTAAGGGCTCAGCTATGGCCTAAGGGCTCAGCTATGGATCCTCAGATGGCATCATTCGGGGCTTTCTTAGTGGCATAGAAATGGACACAGGCCGAAATCGGCTTATGCATCGGTCGGACTGTGTGACAAGTATCATTTTCTCTTCTCTTCCCTTCTCTGGCTCTCGCTGTGTCCCAAGCACTTCGATATGAGTCGTGCACATCCGGCCATGAGCTAGAAGGCACGGACCTGTTTGAGCGGAAGGTACATCGTAGCATGCCGTGAATTCTGCGCGTTGCACACTTGCACCTTCTTAAACGTGGACATCTCGTAGTTCGCATCGTCCTAATGATACGTTGACGTTGCTCTATGACAACGTGACCATGATTTATCCTCTAGAGGGAGCTGGTAAGGTTTGACATTGCGAGTACTTATGTTGCAGAAATCAGGATTCAGATGTGAGGCTTACTGAGACCCGTGGAGTCGGTAATAGTATTCGACTCATAGGAAGCCAGAGATATCAATCTTCATTACTTGTCTGTTTATCTCACTGGAATCAATTAGATATGTATCTGTAATTACTTAGGTATAACAAGCAAAAGAGTCTTGATATCACAAGCAAATAGTCTCTTCCAATCCCGCCAATCAAACTTGGTTCAGGTGCTCAAGGGGTCTTGATCTTCCGACGTGCAACAGTTGCTTCCTCATATTAAACCCCCGTTTTCATGAAGCATTCAAATACCTATCTATTGCGATAGATGCATTCATCCTCACTAGAGGACACAATAATGGTAATTGACAGTGATTGTTACGTTTCAAGTACGCAGTCTTTGTGACGCCTTCAACTACAGCGAGCTTTCGTTATCTCGGCGTCGAAACCCGACGTTGTACGACGTGATACGCCGCATCTCTCTCGTCAATATTAGAAGAAATCCTTCAACCCAAGTCTCCTTACTCTCTTCTCCAAACGCATATGTATCCTCCAAACGTTTCTGGCACGCATCAACAACGACGTTTCTTCTCAGTCCAGCTCACCTAAGTCCTACGCCATCCACTCCCAGTCCGTAACCATGTCCCCTTCTACCCCCCGCCGCCAATTCCTCCAACCCCGCGCCCCCCGCGGCAGCCCCCGCACCCATGCCCGCCCCTCCGAATCCTCCGCCTCCCAATCCCCGTCTCGACCACTCGAGGCCACGGAGCCGTTCGACGACCGAGCGACGCGCGAGCGGGCAGCCAAATATCTGGAGAGCAACGAGGTGCTGATCTGGTGGAGCGCGCAGCGGAACGAGGTGGGTAATCTCCTTTTGGTGAGGTGATCGTGGGCTGACTTGAAGATTGGTAGTCGTTGGCGCAGACGGTGCGGTATTTTGAGGGGGTGGTGGCGGGGGCGGGGGGGGGTGGGGAGGCGGTGTTGTGGGAGGATGAGTATGTGCCGGATGAGGAGGATCGGAGGCGGTTGGATCCGAGGACGTATGAGAGGGGGGAGGGGAAACAGGCGGGAGGGGGGGCCGAGGGGGGTGGGAGGGGGGACGCGGAGTTCGTTGCTGACGAGAGTGGAGAGGGGGGGGAGGACGGCGAGGAGGGGGACCGGATGGAGTGGGATGTGTGAGTGATAGGGAGAACTGGAGTAGAAGAGACATGTCGAGGTGCGGCATGCCTCTCTCGCTTCGGAGGAATGATGGGAAAGACAATCCAAGAATAATCATCGGCAAGGAGCCAGATTTTTTACACGCACTGCTATTTGAGCGGACAGGCACGATATGAAACTGTTGTTCTCGACTTTTGTGTCGAGACGTAAATCTTCGCTACGTACTATAGCAACGCATGATGGCCTACATGCGTGTTGGCTAAACCGTACCCCAGATATCCCCATCCATAGATGCAAAAGTGTACATGAATGCCACTGCATTCCCAAAGGGCCACGTCCAGACGACCACTCGTCACGCCTGGTCGCACCTCACATCCCCTCCTCCATCCCCACATTCCTCCACCACGGTTCGATTGCGTCCTTTTCACGCATCATTTCCTCCATGTCGCCCACCTGCCGTCGTTCGCTGACTTCGCGCTCTTGCGGGCGAAGTTTCAGTTGCATCGTCCGGGTCGCCATGGTCATGGTAGCCGTCGTGGACTTTTGGTGTAGCGACTGCGTCATTCCTCGGGTTGCGGTGGTTGACCGCCCCCTCATGATCGGTAGTTGCTATTGTAGGGGTTCGGAAGATGAGGATAGGCGGTTAAGATGGAGGTAGACGTCGGTGCCGTATCTATGGAGCATGAAATCAGCCATCGGTGTGTAAGCCAAAGAGCGGTATGGAGCCTCACCCTTCCATGCTGATCAGCTTCAAATCTCCACCGAAATACCTCGCATACAGCCTCGAGATGGGTAACCCATACCCGAACCCAGCCATTGGTGCTTTGAAATCGCTCTTGTTGAAGTCCGGGTCCAGATTCGGTGTCTGATCCACGGTCGTATACATGTACGTCCATACCAGCGGGATCGAACTCCTAGGGATTCCACCTCCTTCGTCGCTGATCTTGATTGTGATGTCCTCCTTCCCTTGCGCCACGATCACTTTCGTAACGGGGAACTCCTCCTTATCCTGTCCATGCGTCTCGACCACCGCCCGCAAGGAGTTCTTCAACGTCTCAAATAGCATATGTGACAGGTGGCCCGGCACGTACATAAAGTTGATATTCGGTTGGCAGACAAGCTGTATTTTCGGTGCGTCGAACAGTCCGTAGTGGTCCTCGCACACGAACCGCGCATTCTCAATCGCCTCTTGCGCCAGTTCTCGCACATTCGTCTTCGTGCAGATTATGCCCACATAGTTCGGGTCAGGTCGTTGCCGCTGGTCGGTGAGGGCAATGTGCTGGCCGATCAGCATCCGGATGCCGATCCGGGACATGTAGAAGCGGTCGAGGAAGGCTTGGATGTTGTGGTCGATTTGCATCCGTTGCTGCTTCCGTTTCCATTCCAGGATGCCTTGGGCTGTCCGATAAAATCAGTTAGATGGGGGTCAATAGGTGGAGGCATAGGGTCGCTAACGAACCTACGGTGGTTACGACACTGTCATGCCGTCGTTTGATTGTCTCAAGGGTCTCCGCGAATTTGAGGTTGTAAGTTTGGATCTCGAGCGGCCAGTCCTTCCCGTCATCCGCTGGGACATAGTATCGCCTAGATGCCGCGATCCCCCTATGTCCATTGTTGTGGTTTCCGTTGTGGTTGTTCTCTCCATTGTCGTTTATCTTCGGTGATGATTGGTACTGGCCTTTCTTCACACTGGGGTTGGGTGTCGTTTGACTCAAGATCGCCGACGCTCGTGCTCCGGTGGACCTTCCCGCTTTCAAGAGACGCTGCCTTACTTCTGCAGATAACGATGGTCTTGGAAGCTCGGTGATTTCCTGTGCTGCTTAGCCCTATCTTCACTCCGACGGTATGACTCTTACCTCGAATGACTGCGCATACCAGTCCTGGACCCTCCGGATCGAAGGCATCTCGTTCAACCCGTCGGGTAGGTTCTCTAGTTCCTCCACGCGATGCGCTAGTCGTATCGGCAACTCCTCCGAAAGGAACTGCGACGCTCGGAAGAGAGTACCTGATCGCAGCGCAGCATGATTAGCGACCGACGGTTCTTTGAGTCAGAATGTCCAAACCCACCTGGCGACGGCTTCTCGCCGAACTGCACCATCTGCCGCAGCGACACTCCGGTTGCTGGAAAGGTGGCATAATGTGAGATGGCGTCCATCAACTTCTCCGTCCGCCTCCACATCATGGCGAATGCGGGGTGTATATCAGGGCCACGCGCCCTGCGTCCGTCGTATCAATCCAATGCTGAAGCTGGGAAGGGAACGGGCGAAATGCTGCCACATATCCCGGCGGGAGGGCGAGGGTAATTCAAGTTCAAGGTTTGGAATAATTCTGGCAGTTGGGTGAGGAATTGAGTCAAGAGTCAAGACAAGGCATCGGCCTGGACGCCTCCAGATACAGCAAGGTCCTGTAGGTAGCGTGACTGACGTCCAGCATGTGAGGAGCAGTCCTGATTGGGCAGCGCAACACGTCGGGTTGCTGGATTCCCTTCGTTGCGGAGACCTCGGCAGCGGGTTAAACCGATTTAAGAATGTTTCCAGTGTCAACCGTTAATTGTTAAGTGAAGAAGCGAGCATTGGTCATTGGTGTTATTATTCTAGATTTTCCAATGACGATCGTGTTACAGTCGTGTGTGATGTTCCACAACCAACGTCCGGTCCAAGGGAATCTTATTAATACTTGTTACCTGCCACTTGCCAGCTCGTTGGAAGCGGAGAGAGGATAACACGTAAATCCCGCGACGACCGCGACATGTGAGTGGTTCTGGGAACGGGAGCATCAGGCTAAGACAAGCCCTTTGTTGCAGGAAGCTGGAAGACTGTCTTGGAATTGGGCTTAAAGCAAAGGCCTAATCATGCAGTGGCTCTTCGGCTGTACGGATGGATTTGCATCCAACTGATACATGATATCACCGTTTATTAAGTGAGACGCGTTCAGTGGGAGACAAAGCGCAAAGCATGTGGGATTGTGGGGGCAGAATCCCGCATCAATGATACCCCACGCTGGATCGCATCAGGAGAGCAAGCCTAACTAAGAGCGTCCAGATTATTTCAGCATCATCATTTAGTACTTTCACTGTTGTATTTTGACACATCCATCCTGCATAACCATAATAATTCTTGCGTAGAATGACTTTCGGGAATACGCCACGGCGTCAACCATTCCGTCCCGTCTTCTTTTCCTCAGCAGCATCGTCGGCTTGTCCCGGAGCTAGGCTTTTCAAGCACCCGACATCTTCCGCTTAGAAGAGTCATTAACGCAGATCTGCGGATCAGCGGATGGAAATAATTATCCCTGCATCCAGGCACCGAATCGGGTTTCAGTATATCTAAGCAGAGGACTGAAACTTGAAAGGCATCGTCACCACCAGCTGTGATAACGTTGGCTCTGCCTTCTCAGGGCCTTGAACTTATTGAAACCATTGCTTGGGGTCTCCTCAACTAAGGTTTTGGCCCGGTTCACAGTCCCTGGGAAAAGTTGCACGATATCCTCTTGATCTAAGGAATCCAGTACGCGGTACCGATTGCTTTGAGAATGAGGGAAGTCGAAGCAGATACGCTGCAGCGAGTTGGCGATTGAGGGCTCGCAGCCGACTTATAAGTTGCAGCGATCGTCAGGACATTTGACCACAGCAGCATCAATGGAACTGGAAATTATGGGCACGGCCAACATAACGCAGAGACAGCCGCACGAGACAACAATTGAAAGGTTTCAGAAGCTTCTATTCAGATAGCGGAGATGACGTCGAACTGTACACTGGATCCCAATCGGGGCCAGGCTAGCAGAATACAGGTATTATACACAGGACATGAAAAATTCAAACACCCGCACAGAAACGCTCTTTTGTTGTCTATGCATATGCCAAAGCTACGCATCGGTCGAGGATATCGAAATGGAAACCCATGGGAGCCACGGGTGGTTTATCGGTGTACGGAGGATGTGCAGCCTATTTGGTCTCCTCACGCATGAAGGTGATGAGGTCGTTTCGGTCCTTCGGCTTCTTCAGACCACCGAAGGCCATCTTGGTCCCCGGAATGTACTTCTTGGGGTTCTCAAGGTATGCGAACTGCGGGATGTCAGCACCAGGTCGTGTGCACGCTTCGTCAACGACGCATGGGAACATACCAAGGTGTCGGTGTCCCAGATGACGCCCTTCTTCTTGTTGGCATCGGTGTATGAGAAACCCTCAACCTGACCGGATTTACGGCCGAACAACCCGGCAAGATTGGGTCCAGTGGAGTTGCCCTCGCTTTCCTTCAACTTGTGGCATTGAGCACATCGAGTCTATGAATACTTAGTCTATGTCCATCACGCTTCTTCCCCGTTTTGAAAAGTCACTGGAGTCCGAAGCGGTTCAATATCGTACCTTGAAGAGGTTGGCACCCTTCTTTGCGTCGCCTGCAGAGAGAAGCGCGTCAGCCATCGAATTCGTCCATAGAGAAACAAGTGCTAATGAGGAGAGCGATTCTGCTTGGACGGGTGGAGAACGATGCTATTGAGCAGAGCTACGATGAGACTCTGCTCTGCCATTGACTCCCACGATCCTAAAAACGGGGTGCAATGATGCATCGTGGTCCAGCTCAATCGCGCCACCGAATTCTATCTCGACTTTGCCACATACCCTCTGAGAAGCTCATTTTGACTGTTGAGGAAGATGTCGATAAGGTCAGAATCGATTATTAGGATGGAGGGGACGGGAGTCGATGAGAGTCTAATACGCGAGGTGATGAGGAGAACGGAGAGGGTGGGAAGATGGAATTGAGAAGATGGTTGTCAAATGATGAAGCGCAACTTAAAAAAAACCAGTTCAGGAAACCTGGAAAGTCGGCAGAGTCCGGCATCACCATTGGGACCGATTTGATTGGGCAGCAGGAAAGTGCCACGTGATCCACAGAACCTACACAGCCACGGAAATGTGGCGGCCAATCATGTTTAGTGCATTACCAGATCGTTGGGTCAATGTCACGAATTGTACTACAAGAGTACAAGTATTCAGAGTACAAGAATAGTCCGTGTAGCTATCCGATATCCCATCGTCAAATCTCAAAATGCTATCGATGCCATGATGACTCTGTCCTCCAAGGTGACATCGTGCTCAAGACGACAGGACACAGCATGCACGTGTGCTCCGCCCCATGTCCAGAGCTCTCAGCCTGACCACCTCACGCTTCGTGTTTCCGGTCAGGACGACGACAAGCCTTTCCCGACATAAAAAGCACAGAATCTCCCATCAAGATCAAATCACAGTTGACCTCGCTGGCACTAGGGCAAAATCCCCTCTGGTTTAATCCACTTGATGTGTTGTTGTTGGCAGATGGCATGACTGTTTCAGCACCGCCCCTCACCTGACGCGGGGGTTGGATCGTTCTCATATCTTTCATGGCTCATGCAGCAAATTCAATGGATTTGAGAGGATTCCGTTTGAAGCCGAGTTGAACGGACCTTTCTATCGTTGCTCGCAACCGAGTATCTTTAACTTTATGCTGATCTTTCACGCATGTTACGAATCTTCTTTCAGCAACACGAATGATCTTAATACATGCTTCTGTATGTCTCGAGAGCCGTAGTGCATTAGGTATTTGTTCACGAGACTCCGCACACCTTTTCAAGCGAACCATGTTATTCTCGAGATGCTCCGCATAGGTATTGGTTTGGCTCTTGCCACAGGCGCATATTTCTCTGAACGGAATCGACGCCATCGAGGCCGAGCTAGAGCAGGTTCAGAGCCACCTGCTCGAAGACGCCGTCCTAGACGAGAGGCGCCTTACTCCGACGAGGAGTTTAAGAGCGGTGCCGAAGAAGAAGATTGGAAAGCAGTGCAACCTTGGCGGAAGAGCAGAAGAGCCGTCCCAAGGCATGGGAGTTCCCCACATGGATCCTCGGACTTTGAAGTCGTTTCCGCCGAGCAGTCCGATAGAGAATCGCTGGCTGCATCGGTGTCTGCAGCCACGCACTGCCCGAGTTATGATCTTATCGTCGCAGGCGACAGTTTCCGGCCAAGTAGTCGCAGTAGCAGCGGAGTAATGGAGAATCAAATGGTGGTCCCATATACGGAACCCCGAGCGCATGCACCGGCGAACATTCCTCGATACGTTTACCGACCTCTCAGGGGCAATCACACGATACGGTTGATTGAGTTACACCCAGCAATGAGGCTTTCAGACACCCTTGCGTTCCGGTTCTTCCATGTTGATCTGGATATGCTTTCCATACGACCGAACGGGATATCCTACGAAGCCCTTTCGTACGTTTGGGGCAGTCATATCATGCACCATTCTACGTACTGTTATGACTCCGTTCGTCATCAAATTCCCTCGGGTCAATACCCCCCAGTACCAAGCTACTGCTATAAACCGATTACCGCAAGTGTGGACGGTGCGTTACGCCGTCTAAGATATTCTGATCGATCCAGGATTCTTTGGGTCGACCAGCTCTGCATCGACCAAGAAAGCTTTGCGGAAAAGAATCATCAAGTCAGGCAAATGTCAAACATTTACAGCCGCGCAGGTCGAGTGCTTGTCTGGCTTGGCGAAGACAAAAGACAAGGCGAAAGGGCACTATCATTGATCAAACGTATGGGGAAGTGGATGTTGAAAGAATGTGACCCGAGCGGGCATCTGCCGTCCACGGAGACTGCACAGACTGTCCTTGATGAACGATTAACAACCGTTTTTGGACATCCAGACCTCGGACATGTCCAGCAGTTCTTCCTTCGAAAATACTTCCGTCGACGTTGGGTCATTCAAGAGTTGGTCTGCGCTCAACGAGCAGTGGTGGTCTGTGGAACAAAAGAATGCGACTGGGAATACTTCGCCGCGGCCATCCAACTCTTCCATCAACTGCATGTGCGCGACACGCTCTTCGACGGCGCAGTACTAAGCACGGTTGAAAGTTTGCGCTACATCGATTTCCTCAAGCGAACGCCATCGATGACCGAGGAGCTCGGAATCTTGGACTTCCTAAGTCTTTTCCACGCGGCAGAGTGTGGTGATGATAATGACCGAATCATAGCCTTACTTGGTATTTCAGATGGCGAATCGGCATCGGAAGGGCTCGATTACGGCCTATCTACCGAGGAGCTATACAGCAGGTTTGCCTCTCAATCCATCGATGACTTCGGTCTGGATATCCTTCACCTGGCTGGGACGTTCAAGTCGAACCAGGCCCGCAACGGTGGCCTGAAGTCCTGGATGCCGGACTGGCGTGCAGTGCCGCTGCATAAGTCATTCGTGAGCATCCACAAGTTCAGTGCGGGAATACCAATGGACGCAGATTCCAGGAGAAGCGAATTGATGTGGGTTACGGAACACGGTGAATTGTTGGTGGAAGGATTTGTCCTGGATACAGTCTTCGTTACGAGCGACTCCGTGAGTCGACCACTAGGCATTAACGAGATTATAAACATCCTTCCGGACTGGGCCAAGGTCGCAGGGCTCGGTATTGGTTCGAGCCCGGATGCCAGTTCCCAACTCAAATCTATCCCCTCTGCCAAAGCTCTGGCGACCACATTAATCGCAGACCATGGCCACTACGAAGGGACTGGATTCCATCTGACCCATGGAGATCGTGCTGTTCTCACCCGCCGCAAGCACAAACTCCGCATATCGGCCTGGAAAGGGTTCCGAGAACTTTTCGGGTCCCACACCACTGACCATCGCCATCGCCCCGCCCGCTCTGACCCAAACGACTCGTCCGATTCGGACACACCGCACCCCACGCGCACCGTGCCCCGGTTTTCGAAACACGCAAGGCAATATGCCCAGCTCGTCGGCACCACGATGAGCGGGCGCTGCCTCTTCCGCACGTGCGGGGGGCGAGTGGGCATCGGGCCCGAGGGCATGCAGAGCGGCGACTTCGTGGTGATCTTACTGGGGGCTCGGACGCCGTTTGTGTTGCGGCCTGGCAGCCGTAGCGAGCGGTTCACGTTGGTTGGGGATACCTATGTGCACCATTGCATGGATGGCCGGATGGCGGCGGGCAGGGAGCGGCAGTTCTTGATTGAGTGAGGGGGTTCGAGGGGCGTGTGATTACTCTTGTTGGTTTCTTAGCGCCTGGAGGAATGCGTTTCATTCGTTTCTTCCCGATGGGGATGATGTCTATGTGGTACGGTGCAGTATTGCCACCCAGCTGACCGTGGATGCAGTGCGGTTACTGTTTTGAGTGGACGAATTAAGGCTCTCAGTTAGGTCCAAATACGAGATTGAGCGGCTATGTTGCATGTTCATCTGCTTAAATTCCTCAACCTCTAATTTCAAGTATCTCCTATTGCTTGTTTGCAAAATCTCAGTGCTTAAAACTTGTCCCAACGTCTCATCTTTCTTCCCCGACATGTCACGCACCCCTTCGTTTATTTCCCCTCTCGGCCTCATGTCTGCCTTGTCTGGCACGATAGTATATTGTAGTTGTATTATAGGGGGTTGTTAGACGGTTAGTGGACAGGTAAGTGCATACTGGGCTGTGCAATAATCAGTGACTTAAGTCTAGTGGCTCAAGTGGCGATGATTTCCCGACTCAGGAGGACAAAAAGGCGACTATGCACAATGCCAGGTAATTTCAGAAATCCATCGCCTTTTTTACAAAGCACACCTAAGGTATTAAGAGAGCCCTCCCTTTCAGTTGCTATATTGCGGCCAACGATCCAATACCACCCCGGTGACCCGGTCTCCGCCCTTCTGCCGTGCATGCATCGCCCTTTTCGTCACCATCCCCCATCACTAACACCATTCAGGTATTATCTGACTTGCTGACTTGTTCTCCCCTGATGGAGCTGTCTATTTAACGGACCTCCTCCCCACCCTCCCAAAAACTACATTGATCTCAAGCATCATCAAACCTTTTATTGTGCTCAGTCCATTCAGTCCAGAATGGCGGCATATGCACCTTGTTCCGGATGGATGCTCAAAAGCCTTGGGATCCCAAAGTGGACATTCCGAGTCGCAAGGGTATCCAACACTGTGATCCAGATGCGCGGTGTCTGGCCCTTTTACCTCATTGCTCCGCACAACCATGTCTCAAATCCTTCCTACGTCTGGTCGTTCCCAGGCATCACTGAACATCTGGTTGTCACTTGAAAGACAAAGTCGCTGGCTCCTACTTTGGCACGCACGGAATGTCTATTCATGTGATGTGCACTGCTGCACAACCCTACCCGGATCTCCATGGAACCTTGAGGAACTCTTTTGGAAAGCGCAATAGAATTGAAACTCAAGGATTTACAACTTGAGGAGAGGATGTAAGAGATGATACAAAAGGTTTGCTACCAAGCTTCTTGGAACCATGTTGAACAGTCTCGGGTTGCGGAACGGACCAAAGAGCACTCTCTTTGTCATACTGGAGATACTGAGGGAGCTGTAAGTGTGTTAGATTTTATTTTCTCTCTAAGTCATGGAAGCGACATACCGCGCGTGCAATCTGAATCCCGAAATACAGGACTCGTTCCAGCCGAGCCTTTGCGGTTGTTCCCTTCTCGGCAAGTCGCTCCTCTTCCGGGACTTGGAGTATCGCTGCGTCAATACTCTCCGGATACACCTCCTTAGTGATGACCTGCCCACGCAGGAAGGCGTCGTCAGGAATAGTCGAATCGGCCGGGATGGTGCTGAGGAAATCTAAATGAGTGTAGGATGCTCGGCTTCGCTCGGAACCCGACTGCGTACATGATGCATAGTTGAGCAGATCGACCAACTCTTGCCACGGCACAGCACTGAAGTAAGTGCTGGCGTCGTAAACGTTCGAAACGTCTGCACTCTCCTCCAAGACTTTGACCAGGGAAAGAATGAAGACCAGCTGGATGTGGATGAATGCCATGACATCCGGTCTCGTCTTGTGTTGTGCAACAACGCTGAACGTATCTCGGTTGAAACGTAATGCCGCAGAGAACGCCGGTCGCGACGATTCATCAGGCTGCTGGATCTTCAAACTCTGCACGCCATGCTCCATGGACGTGACCGTCGCAGATCCACTAGAACCCTTCTGCGCCTCGAGCCGGTCCCGCGCTCGAATATCGTATAGCCGACGCAATGCCGACCCCTCTGATCCGTACTCGAAGATTGCTGCGATACACGACATGGCCATATGAGTGCCACGTGCGATCCAGTCCGTCTTCCCGTTCAAATGAACTTCCAGCAATCGTAGAAATTCCGCTTTACTCTCTTCCACCGAGTCCAGTTGCACTCTCTTCAGTAACATAGCATGAGTCTTAATGTATGCCTTATCCTCCGGCGACGCAACCGTTGTGCTAGTTCCATTCAAAATCGGATCCATCAAAGTCAAAACCGAATCCCTGGTGCTAAGGAAAGGCTGAACAGCAATGAGAGAGCGGCAATAAAAGTGTAGCTGCTGTACAGGATTGTGCCGAGAAAGTATCGCCAGGTGGTGATACAGGCGGCCTACATTCGGGATTAAATTATTCGCCATGGTATACCAACCTCGAGCGACTGCAGCCCAGATCTCTCGGTCCCGAAGGTCTTCATCTTCCACTGCCATCCGATAACGAGCCAAGTCTCCCAAACATTCGATCCAGGTTTCCTTGAACGAGGGGACCGTCTCATAAAGCAGCGCCATTATCTGGTAAGCAAGATAAATGAAGGCTAACATATACTCTAAAGAATCCGGAAGCCGGTAGCGAAGCAACTCCAGGAAGGAATGGATCCCATGTTTCCACATTCTGGCCGGCATGGAGTACTTGGCGGCCAAACGACGCAAAGCAGGACTCGCAGAAGGATGTTGAGAAGCCAAAAAAAAATCGTGGTGCTCATGAAGGAGGGTCCTATGCAGCGCAATCAGGGCCTGCCAGTGGTCATCCTCTAACTCCGGCGGATCCCGGCCTCCAGCAGTCTCCCACTCATGGGCCTGGGCTCGGACGACGTGGATGCACTTGGTCTCCACCATGATAAGCCCGCTATATATATTCTTAACTTCCGCCGCAAGTTGCTCGGGACTGATAGGTCTGGAGGGCGGCTGCCGAAGTAACGCTGAGTTGCTCAAATCCGGATTGGATGGTACGGTCGACCCGGGAGTCCTGGGGACATTTCCTAATGTGGATGCTGTTGATGCGGTACCGCTCCAGGTCGCGACTTGTGGCGGCCTGGTGGTCTTCCTTCGGTTAGAAGCTGCATTTCTAGGATCTGGATTTGAAGTTCTTGACTGGTTTTGCTTCGGTGCCTGCCTCACTTGCTCCTGAAAGTTGTCCTCTTGCTTCCTTTTACGTGGCTGTTGGCCTGCTCCTGGAACGTCCGGCGTTGGGGATGTTTGCTTATTGGAAATATCGAGCATCTCTGAATCCTGCACCTCTGAATCCTGCACCTCTGTGGTGTTGGCACTAAATCCACGCCGGTTTGTTCTTCTCTTTCCTATGCCTTGTTTAATATCATCTTTAATGGTACTAGAACCATCAGACAAGCCCTAATCCAGGATAAATAGAAACACATACGGAGAACATCCATGCAACCTTTCAAGAAACCACTTTTTTGAATCTTCATTGGACTTATATCTGGTGGGAACTTCATCGAGATGACCCTCCTTAGCGTGTGTCAAGTACTTCTCATTATTTCCAAATTCCCGATGACAGAACGGGCATTTGGGACGCTCGGGCGACGCATTTTGTTGCCGCATTTGGTGGTCCTTTTTCCACTTGGCGTAGCGCGGATCCATGGGCAGTCGACGATTTCGAGCAATGCTCTACATGCGCCGACGTATTGTATATCATGTGGTCGACGAGATAAAAGCTGAGCTGGGCAACATAGAGCAGAAAATTTGAAATTGAGAGGAGTGGAAAAAAGGGATAACGAAATACCGAAGTCCTCCAAATGAGCGGCTCAACCAGAGCTTTGTAGTTGAAAAGGAAGGCAAACTTATGACACAACAGCTTAGGTCTATTACTCTCAGGTTAGACAAGGCTAGGTGGGTCTACCCAAGGCGAAGATGGTTTAGAGGGTGGAAGTCTCTCATATCTATTTCAAGCACATAGTTAGACATTTTCAATTATGGATTTAACATAATACTGATGCTTTCATCGACCTGTGATACTTATATATTGAGAAACCTAAGATACGATGCGAATGCACTGGATAAAAAAGCACTACGATCCGAGGGCGGGGGTGCTCGTTGGCGAATTTGTTCGGGGGGATTTCTGGTCCGCTCATCACATATTAATTAAGGCAACCGCAGAGCCGCACAACCGCACAAGTGACACACATGTGACACTATTCCCGTCACATTCGCCACGGGCCACGGCCTCGCGAGGCAGCCCGAAAATTGGATTATCGTTTCGGTGTGCATGGCTGCATGCACTCTGAATTCTATTGAAATCCAGTCAAAGATCCTTGTTGCTTGATTGCCTGAAATTTGCTCTAGAGTATGGCCTTCGAGCCCTTACGCAAAGGTGGACCAATTCGGAGGATAATAGAGTTACACCATGAAATGAGGCCTGGCACAGCTATGGAGCGCAGCTGGTGGATAAGGGCCTACGCTGAAGCTGCATTCGGCGCGTTCGGCATTTGTCATGCCCAAGCCCAGCGCCTATTGGTATTACTGATGGGCGAGGGCCGCGGACCATGAGGCCATGAGGCCGCTCATAACAACCCCAGCCTTATATTTGTTCATTGCTGTCGTACAGTGTTTAAGTCTTGTCTTAGGACGAAACCAATGTCCTACCACCCAAGGTAATGCATCCTTCCATTGGAAAATAAATGACTTCGAGGTATGCCCAGGGCAAGGGATGCCATTGGACGCTGTAAAAGCGGCGAATTACCAACGTGGTTCCATCACTTGACAATCTCCCAACTTCATCTCAGCAGAGCAAGTTTTGAAACTCCTGCGTGATCACAGGATGATGTCGGCTCAAGAACATAAGGAACGGATACTGCTACTCCTATGGGAAAACAGTCATAGGGCTGTGGGGAGGATGCCTCCGGGCCGGTGTGGCCTCCACTCCCGCCTCGGTGCGTCCATGTACGAGCGCAAACAGGGGACGCTCAAAACATTGTGCCTTTGATGTAATGTCCATAACCGTCTCCGAGAGTACCCGCTATCATTGCCTCAATTTTCTCCGAAGACGTTCCCGGAGCTTGACCGGTGACCATTCAGAGGGCAAAACGTGTCTGACTGCCGCTGCCTAATCTTGCTCAGATGATGACTGAAAGACCGGAGACGGAAACAACCACGGGAGGCAATTGATAGTCGTGATATGGAAGAAACGGGGGCGATATTGGGCCTGCTGACAGTGCAAACAATCGCTTGGGCGCGGTTATCGAACGGCTTCGGACAATCCAAAGAAAGATAAAGGTCCGCATGTCCAACCAACTCCAACCCTTCAAGGCTGCGACAAGTTCAGCTAGGCCGTCTTGTTTGAGGAAAAGGAGCAGAGCGTGTGACTAGGAGGGGACTCAAAACGCAAGCCTGGTGAAAATGGTTACATGGTCGCGAGGAAACAAGATAGAGAAAGAGAGACTTGGACTTTGAAAGGACTAATCAGCGCTCAACACTCTTAGACTTCAATTTTTTAGCCGGTTTGAATGCGATGTGGACAATATATCTCCCACTTAGTGTGATTGGCAAAATGAAATCATTGACAAACGAAGGTCGAGATTCCTCTCCCCTCCAACGACACCAATAACACGCATGCACATTCAGGAGATATTGACCAGCAGGGAATTATAACGCAAACGAATGGGTAAAACACCTGAGGAGCGGCGAATTTACGCCTAAGAGCCAATTTATACATTCTAGTAGGCGTCGGTCTCAGGCGCTCAAATCTCAGTAGGCGTCACCGCGTCAGCCTGGGCTCAAGCTCAGCACCTCAGCGTTGTTTCGAACAGCACGTCATATGCGAAATTTAGGGATTTGTACGTGATTGGACAGCACCACGAGTTCTGTTATTGCGGGGATCGCCGTGCAGGGGAAATATCCCAGACCCTGAAGATCTCGATTGGCTGCGCGGCACTTGATTCGCGAAGCTGTCGATGTTGAACTTGACACCTTTGACCATTCTGATTTTCTGAGCCACTGCTTGCCATGCGATAAACCACTCTGCACATCTCGGATTGTGTGTCCTTGTCACTCTTTGGGCTCGGTCGATGGAATAGTCCTGCCATATTTCCCGCCGTTTTATTTCATTTGCCTACCCCTAATGCCGCCTTGGTGATGGATACAGGTAGTCAGTCCTGGCATCCTCTCATCCAATTGCCATGGACCTACCTACGTAGGGCACCTGTAGCCGTGCTTCTAGCTGTCTCTATCCTACTTATCATAACTGCCGTGTTCCTCGTAAGAGTCGCTTGATCCAATTCGAGGCTGATTGCTCACCAGTACGCCAGTTGTACACTCTCCTTGTCATCGCTGCCCCTATTCCTCGAGAGTCCAGGCCTGGTGAGAAGGCGTTTCGCACGGTACTGCGCAATGGGAAGGTTTCTGGGCCGAAACAATTGCCATGCTGGATCGACCGCTGGAAAGCAGCGAAGCAGCTCACCTTCTCCGAACCGACGATACCCGGCCATGCACCGCGACCCAAGATTGACGACGCCGAACTGCTTCTTTCCGTTGTGGTGCCGGCCTACAATGAAGAGAAGCGCTTAGGCGTGATGCTTGATGAGGCGGTGTCATTCTTACGGTCGAAATCGGACGGATCCGCAGGCTGGTCGAAGTCCACCGAAGCCGTACAGGGATGGGAGATACTCGTAGTGTCCGATGGATCAACCGATAAGACGGAAGACAAGGCGATCGCATTCGCTCGAGAAAGGGGTTTGATCGAGGATCAAGGCGCTGAAACAAAGGATGGCTCCTCCGGCACATATGGGCGGGGTTGTCTTCGGGTTATTTCCCTAGAGCACAACAGAGGCAAAGGCGGCGCCGTTGTGCATGGGATGCGTCACGTGCGAGGGCAATACATCGTCTTTGCGGATGCGGATGGCGCCAGCCAGTTTAGCGATATTGCAGGGCTGTTGAAGGCATGCCAGGCAGCAGAAGATGAACATGGGAGAGCTGTAGCCATCGGCTCCCGTGCACACCTCGTGGGAAGCGAGGTTGTGGTCAAGGTACGTCGAACTTCTCGGTCCGGCAGTCGCAGATTAGCTGACCAGCTCGTTACCGACAGCGTTCCATGCTTCGAAACTTTCTCATGCACTCATTCCACCTATTGCTCTGGATCCTCACCCCGCCAGCCACCGCATCAATCAAAGATACACAGTGCGGATTTAAACTTTTCAGTCGGGCTTCGCTCCCAGACATAGTGCCCTTCATGCATTCCGAGGGATGGATCTTCGACGTGGAGATGCTCATGTTGGCAGAAAGTGCGAGGGTCCCGATGGTAGAGGTCCCAATCGGGTGGAAAGAGGTCCCAGGCTCGAAACTGAATGTGGTGTGGGCCAGTCTCGGGATGGCATGGGGACTTGCGGTGCTGCGCTGTGCCTGGGCGTTGGGTGTCTACAAACGGAAATGATATGAAGCTAGATGCAGGTGGCTGTTTATAGTTTACAGTTTGCATATTGTAGAGCTGACGGAAACCGCGCTCACGTTTCAGTTATGTGCGTCGGTTGGATCGCAACCGATGTCGTTGGGAATGCAAATGGGACATGGAATATGGGACATCACGATCCGAAAACACGGTACTTCGTCGCCCGTAGTTCGTATAGTCTGGAGTAAGAGTATTAGATATCTCCCCCATACATGTACCCCCACATCTCGGCCCAGCAATGACATGGCGGAGGGGCGGCGTTCGATTTGATGTGATGAGCTCCAGGCCACCCTGCACGTGACCACAGACATGCGATTAAACTTCTGATTAGAATTTTGATAACGACACACCTCAGTCCCCAAATTCCTCCGCGATCGGCGGCCTCTTTTCGTCTCGAAAGTCGAACGCCACCAATCGGAGGTGCTCAAAGGATTCGAGGAAAGGCTCGGACCGCGAGGTAACCGAGAGGGACCCGTCTTGGGGTTGGAACGTGCGGGATACCAATTAAACATCATGTGTACCCCGTACACATCGCAATATGGCTCGTCCGAATGTCCGATCCATCCGATGACTTTCGATTCAAAGTTCCAAACTCCAGGCCATACGGATAATGCCGTTCACCGTTCAGCCTTCAACCATGCCATGACCTTGCCTTCCCTAGCGCATTTCATGGTAACAGATATCCGCTCTCCAGAATGGAATGTCATTGCAGTTCATGCCCTTCACGGAGCCAATGGCGGGGAACCGAAGAATCCGTTGAGTGACGTGGTCAGTGTCCATTCGCATGAGGGTATCGGATAACGGGATGCTTGCGGAAATGCTCCGATTCTCCGAGCTACCTAAGTAGGTACCTAGACCACTTGGGTACCCCAATGGAGGCGCGCTAATACAACCTGCCGTGCTTCCTGCGCTTCCTAATATGTTAACGTGAAACTGGCCAACGCGCTAATGCATCTGGCGAGTGATAGAGAGATACGTACCGTTCTTCTGGAATGCTGAGGGCTCGTATTGTGGACAGGAACCTGGCCCGGAGCGCGGCCCGGGGTCTGTCTCGTAAGCATTCGCAGCAAGATGAGGGTTGACGCTTTCAAAGCACTGATATCGTTTACAATCGTCTAACAGTTGACCGTCAACCGCATCGAATGTCTCGAAGATATCACGTTTAGACTTCCATGGCCTGAACGAACCACATCTATGGGACCAGCGGTGTTGCAGCAAATTGCGAGCTACCGGCCGAACTGCATTTTAGGTTCTTCTTCCGCTGTGGATCCCAGGCAATGAGCTGGCATCGGGTACACCTATTGCGCCGCCACGACTAGGGAGTTCTAGAAAGAGTAGAAGCCGTGCAATCATCTCCACGTTCAAACCACCATCACGCGATCCATACGAGACTGGAGGACCAAGGGATCCTAGCAATATTCATACCATTGGAGGGGCGCATGCATTTGTGCCGCCAACTATGCACGCAGCAAACGAATCCTACAATTCCATCCCGTCTCTGCCAACAATTGGAGCATCATCGACCTCCACGGTGATTCTTGGGTTACACAAGATCTGAATTAAGATGCGGCTCTAAACGCTGCGAACGTGAGTGTTTCCAGGCTGTCGGGGAAATCTTTGAACTTCAAAAGCTAAAATGAACCTCCATCTTGATATTCTTGAATCATGACACGATCGTCGTGTTTCCATCGTGGCGATTAAAATCACCGCGGGCCGCGCTGAAGATCAGATCCTATTAACGCTGCAAGGAATCCAACGCCATCTTGGCGCAGCTATTTTCACTTTCCACATGGTGCCAGCCGTGCCACTGACTCGCGTTCAGTTCTTATTACATCCTCGCCGTCGCCGTCACGATGTGAGCAATCGGTAGACCGTGGATGACAGGATGAGCCATGCTCTGGTGCACGTTCTGCTCTTTCCCCCTTCAGATTAGTTTTCTGCAGGCAAAGCCCTCTGCATGATTGATGAGAGACTTAACCTTGGAGGTACCTACCATGTTCCCACTTCTCAGGCTTGTGTCCACTGATGCGGTGGGGTTGTGCTCCCTCGCACGTAATACTATCTGGAAAATATCTGCCTACCTCGAACCGTATGCCCCCGCTTCCGCTATGGACTAGGCGAACGATTTTACCGCCACCCGCGACACGGCGCAGGTAATCCGCTTAGCTTCGATTAATAGAGTCTCCCCGGTCGTGTAGGCTTCTAATTACGACCTTAGGCCAAGACTCCAAAGTACAAACGTCCCGAACGGGGTTCTGTGCGACTATCGCCAATTGAGGCAGGGCCCTCGGTATCGCTGATGATGATTAGGATTTCATGATAATACGAATCCCATTGTATTCAAGGACCAGTTAGGGTACATTGATATCTCGAGAATGCAGGGAACGTCGTTGCAGAGCCAGTAGAAGTCCTCAATTCGAGCTCAGACCTCAGTTCGACTATCTTCGCTTGCACCGGGGACCCGCGGGATATCCTCTCTCTCGGGAACGTGGTTATCAAGGATAGACGACCAATATCAACAAGCAACGCATACGCAGGGACGCACGCCAACGCAGGAGCTCATTGAGTTCCGCGCTTGTGAATTCACCAACCGGTCAGAATTGCGAGCTCAAGCTTGAGCTTGAAGCTTACTCTTATATAGCTCTCACTGCCCGAGTTGTTGTGCCCTGATTCTATACAACAGCCAGGCCAGCATCCGCAATTCAACTTCCCAAGGCGGATTCTCTGGCACCATGGCTTCAGAATCCAATATCTATCTCTTTGGGGACCAGACTGCCGAGTACGACGCCGGAATCCGACGTTTGCTCCATGACAAGACCCAACCTTTTCTCTCCACCTTCTTCAGCCAAAGTTATCAGGCCTTGAGGCAAGAAATCGGGTCCCTTACCTACCAGAAGCGCTCAGAGTTCCCAAGACATTCCAGTCTTGTCGAGCTTCTCAGTCGTAGCAAGGAAGGAAAGGCGAATCCTGCTCTTGAGACGGCGTTCACCTGTATCCATCAGCTGGGCTTATTCATCAGGTATGACTTTCGACTGAGCCTAATGTGATTGATACTGATTGGCGGTCAGCGAATGCAATAATCAGAAAGTTGGCTTTCCCAGTGAATCAAATACACATCTATTGGGACTATGTACCGGGCTCCTCTCTGCCGTGGCAGTGAGTGGAGCTCACTCTGTCCAGTCACTCGTTGGAATCGCAGTTGAGACGGTTCTACTCTCATTTCGAGCAGGACTGCTTGCTGCTGACGTGAAAGAGCGCATTGGATGTGGGACCGAAGAAGGATCATGGTCGGTATTGGTCCCGAATGTCTCAGTGGCTGAAACGGAAGCATTGCTTCAGCAATATATTGAGTCAAATGTATGTTTCCCCTTAGCTCCGCAAAGGATTGTTACTGATTCATTGCAGGCTCTACCACCTTCAGTGAGGCCGTATGTAAGTGCGGTTGCGCTAAAGGGTCTCACCATCAGTGGTTCCCCCTCAACTCTGCAGGCATTCCTCCAATCGGAGGGCATGGCGGCTCGTGGAAGCATCAAGAGCTGTATTTATGCTCCCTATCATGCTCCAGAGCTGTATTCCAAGGAAGATGTTGACACCCTGCTGTCAAAAATGGGCGCGGAAATTGGCAGCCGTCCGTGCAAGTTTCCTGTCATCTCCAACCTCACTGGAAAGTCAATGACAGCACCGGACCTCAAATCAGCTTATCAGATGGCTTTGGAAGAATGTCTTACGGCGCCATTACGCTTGGATAAGATCCATGAAGAAGCGCCAAGCTGGTTGGCAGCAGAAAATGTCACGAAAGCAATCGTTCACCCTATCGCCACTGTGGCGGCTCAGGGCCTTGTTCAGGCAATGGAGAAGAGCTTGGAGGTTGAACTCCGACGGCCTGGAGCAGCAACAGAAGATTTGAAGGGAGAATCATGCACTGGAAAATCCAAGATTGCCATTGTTGGCATGTCTGGGCGGTTCCCCGAGGCCAACAGCACAGAAGCGTTCTGGGACCTGCTTCATCAGGGTCTTGACGTCCACCAAGAAGCTCCTGCAACGAGATGGGATGTCAAGACACATGTCTCCGACGACCATCGCAAGAACACCAGTATGACGCCTTATGGTTGTTGGATCCAGGATGCCGGGTTATTCGATGCCAGATTCTTCAATATGTCCCCTCGCGAAGCGCCGCAAGTGGACCCTGCCCAGCGTCTCGCCCTCCTCACCGCATACGAAGCCCTCGAAATGGCTGGAATCGTACCAGACGCCACGCCGTCGACCCAACGCGATCGTGTGGGTGTCTTCTACGGCATGACGAGCAACGATTGGTGCGAAACCAACAGTCCGCAAAACATCGATGCGTACTTCATTCCAGGCGGAAACCGTGCTTTTACGCCGGGAAGGATCAACTACTACTTCAAATTCAGCGGACCTAGCTACAGTGTCGACACTGCTTGCTCGTCGAGCTTAGCAGCAATCCACGTGGCATGCAACTCGCTGTGGATCAAGGACTGCGATACGGCGATTGCAGGAGGCACCAATATCATGACTAACCCCGATGTCACCGCCGGACTTGACCGCGGCCACTTCCTTTCGCGGACTGGGAATTGCCAGACCTTTGATGACGGCGCTGATGGATATTGCCGAGGCGATGGCGTCGGCACGCTCATTCTCAAGCGCATGGAGGACGCTATTGCGGATAAAGACCCGATTCTGGGCGTTATTCTCAGCGCCTCTACCAACCACTCGGCTGAAGCTGAGTCCATTACTCGCCCTCATGTCGGCGCACAGACTGCAATCTTCGATAAATTGCTGAACGAGACGAATGTCGATCCCTATGACATTGACTACATTGAGATGCATGGTACAGGCACACAAGCCGGTGATGCGAGAGAGATGGAGTCCGTCCTGACCACATTTGCTCCCACTTCAAATCGTAAGTCTCGCAGTGCCGACCAGTCGTTGCATCTTGGATCCGCAAAAGCAAATGTCGGGCATGGCGAGTCTGCATCCGGAGTTACTGCGCTTGTCAAGCTCCTCCTGATGCTGCAGAAGAATACGATTCCGCCACATGTCGGGATTAAGAACAAGATCAACCACAACTTCCCAACAGATATGGAGCAGCGCAACGTCTTTATCGCCCGTGAAGCGAAGCCATGGAAGCGAGATGCTGTTCGCAAACGACGGGCACTAGTCAATAATTTCAGTGCCGCCGGAGGAAATTCAAGCGTGTTGGTCGAAGATGCTCCGCTCTGTGTTCCGGAGGGTGGCGTCGACCGGCGCACTGTTCATCCCGTTGCCATATCCGCCAAGTGTGCGGATTCGCTGACCAAGAACATCGAGAGTTTGATCAAATTCCTTCGGGAAGGCGGAAATGGCTGGACTCTCCCGCAATTGTCGTACACAACTACCGCGAGACGTATGCATCATCCCCATCGAGTTATCGTCTCTGGCACAACTGTCGATGAGGTCCGGTCTAAGCTTCAAATAGCTCTGGAGAAAGGTGAAGGTCTTAGCCGACCGAAAGGCTCTCCAAATGTCGTCTTTGCCTTCACTGGCCAAGGAGCACAGCATCCTGGGATGAGCAAGGATTTCTACAATGCGTTCTCATCCTATCGGACGGATATTGATCGATACGATCGCATTTGCCAAGTCAATGGCTTCCCCTCTATCTTGCCGTACATTCTTTCCGAGAACGCAGACGAGGAATTCTCCCCCTTCGCCACTCAGCTCGCAACCACATCCATGCAAATGGCATTAGTCCGCTTGTGGACAGGTTTCGGCATTTTTCCCTCTGCAGTTGTCGGCCACAGCCTCGGAGAATATGCTGCCTTGAACGCTGCTGGCGTCATATCCGAGGCCGACACCATTTTCTTGGTTGGGAATCGAGCATCTTTGTTGGACAAACTGTGTTCTCGTGGGTCGCATTCCATGCTTGCGATCAAGAGCAAGAAAGACGCCTGCGATGGCCTCTTGAAACAGGCGAAGTTCGAGTATGAGATTGCATGCCTGAATGGTCCCGATGACACGGTGATCTGCGGAGAAAATGCGTCTGTCGACGCCATTGCAGATCACCTCAAAGCTCTCAATATCAAAGCGACGAAGCTTAACACGGCTTATGCTTTCCATTCCAGACAAGTTGAACCCATCCTGGACTCCTTCGAGGATAGCGTTAGTGGTGTTCGCTTCCACGCTCCTGCTATTCCAGTCTTGTGCCCGCTCATCGGCAAAGTCGTCACAGAATCTGGCGTGTTTTCTCCTCAGTACCTCCGCCGCCATTGCAGAGAGCCGGTTGATATGCTCAGTGCTGTGAGGGAGGCTGCCAGCCTGGGCAACATCACTGCGAATACGACCGTTATCGAGATCGGGCCACAGCCAGTTGTGTCGGGTATGATCCGGGCATCTACCGCCGTCAAGAACACTTTGTCTACCATGCAACGCAATAAAGACCCCTGGAAAATATTGGTCGACTCTCTGGACTGGCTCCATGCCGCCGGAGCGGACGTCCGATGGGCGGAGTACCATCGTGACTTCAAGTCATCGCAAGCCGTAGTGCCACTACCGGCCTATAACTGGAATCTGCAAAACTATTGGATCCAGTACGTGAATGACTGGTCCCTCCGAAAGGGAGACCCTCCACTTGTTGCAGCGGCTCCAACACCACCTCCTATGCCGCAATTTGAGAATACGTGCGTCCAGAAGAAACTTTTAGAGAAAAAGGATGGCAAGAAGGTCCAGTTGGTCTTCGAGACTGATCTCCTTCACCCTGACCTGGCCCCGATTGTACGAGGCCACAAAGTTAATGGCGTCTCGCTGTGCACGCCTTCGGTGTATGCCGAGATTGGCTTGACCGTTGGCAAATACCTTTTGGCACAATACAAAGCGGAAAGCCAAGACCTTTTTGTCGACGTCGGCCACATGACTGTCGAGAAACCGCTGATTGCCAAAGCCAGTGGGCCTCAGCCACTACGAACGACAGTGGAGTTTGACACCAGCACAGATCGTGCAACGCTTCGTTTCTGTACGGGTGGAGAACACGGCGAGAAATTAGTTGAACATTCTCACTGCGTGCTAAGCTTCACCGACTCCACTCCTTTGCAAGAGTATCGTCGAAACGCATACCTCATCAAGTCTCGGATGTCCGACTTGAAGAAGGGCGTCGTGACTGGCGAAACAAATCGGTTCAACTGCCCGATGGCGTACCGCATCGTCAGCGCGCTTGCTCAGTACGACTCTGAGTACCGTGGCGTTCAGGAGGTGATCCTTCATAGTGCAAATCGGGAAGCCACCAGCAAGGTAAGCTTTGCAAAGACCAAAGTTGGAGGCACCTGGACGTGCCATCCATGCTACATCGACAGTCTCGGCCAGACCGGTGGGTTTGTAATGAACGCCAATGACGATGTTGACCTTGACGTTGAGGTCTTTGTGAACCATGGTTGGAGGTCTATGCAGATATTCGAGGCGATTGATGGCAGTGCGACGTACCAGACCCATGTGAAGATGCATGAGGCTGAAGGGGGTAATTGGGAAGGTGATGTGTATGTCCTCAACGACAAGGATGACATTTGCGCCATATTCAAGGGCATTGTGGTAAGTACTAGCCTGGCAGATCTAGCAAGTTCCCATACTGACATGGTTTCCAGCTCCAAGGTGTGCCTCGCAGGTTGCTCGATTATATTCTTGCGGTCAGGGACGATAGCAAATCCGCCGCTCGCCCGGTTGCCGCTGCACCCAGTTCAGATGCCATGAAGATTTCAGTGGGAACCCCGGAGGCTGAGGGTGTCTCGCATTCAAATGCAGCCAAAGAGCTTGCACAGGCACTGAACATCCTATCCGAAGAGAGCGGCGTGGCCCTGTCGGACTTGACTGACGACAGCAAGTTCGCTGACATGGGTGTGGACTCACTGCTTGCGTTGATCGTGGCAAGCAGATTCAGAGAAGAGCTGGGGATCGATCTCGACTCCTCCCTGTTTGTTGACTTCGGATCCGTGAAGGCATTCAAAGATTGGTTCCTCGGTGACTCTGCTGCTCCTACGGGAGCGAACCCGTCCGAAGCAGATGCTATGCTTCGTGGAATTCTGGGGGTTCACGGAGGAGATTCCTCGGCTTCTGCATCCACGGCTACTAGAAGCCCTTCCACAACATCCGATGAAGGTGCTTACACGGACACCACCTCCGTGGAAGGGTCATCTAGCATCTCATCTCCCAAGCTCGAGATTCCGCCTGCCACATCGGTGATACTTCAGGGTCTCCCCAAGGCATCAAAAAAGACTCTCTTCCTCTTCCCCGATGGTTGTGGTTCCTCAATGTCGTATGCTCAGGTCCCCCGCATCAGCAATGAGCTTTTGGTGGTCGGTCTGAACTGCCCTTTCATGAAGACGCCGCAGAACATGAAGTGCAGTATCGATGAGATTACGGCTGCTTATATCCACGAGATCCGTCGACGTCAGCCCCAAGGCCCATACCATTTCGGTGGCTGGTCGGCAGGGGGCATCTTTGCACACAATGCTGCGCTGAGACTGATAGAACAGGGCGAAGAGGTCGAAACGCTGATTCTGATTGACTCTCCTCTACCCATGGGACTGGACAAGCTGCCAAAGCATTTCTACGACTATTGTGATGATATCAGTCTCTTCGGCGAGGGAACTGGAAAGGCGCCAGACTGGCTCGTCCCGCACTTCCTCGCATGTGTAGACGTTTTGAACGTCTACTACGCGCCACCACTTCCTCCCAAGCATGCGCCGAAGACGCACATGATTTGGGCATGCGACAACATCTTTGTCGGGTATGATGCTGAGCCGCTGGAGCCACGCGCAGGTGATCCCGAGAAAATGAAGTTCTTCACTGAGAGTCGTACGGACTTCAGCCCGAATGGGTGGGATGAGTTGGTTGGATCTTATCCTGTGAAGATTGAGCGGATGCAAGGGGCAAACCACTTCACTATGATGAGAGGCGAGCAGGCTGCAGAATTGGCGAGGTTCTTAGACGCAGCAATGGCGTAAATAGACATAGATTGCATGTTGAGCGTGGTTGTTTGTCTGGGAGGCTGCTTGATACCGTCTCTTTAGCGTTGGGTGTTTAGAAGATGCAGGCGAGATTGCTCTGTTCACATCTTTCTTTTATTTGTCTGGGAGTCGGGCCAAGCGTCATGGGAAGACGAGATGTAGCGAATCATGAACACAACGATAATGAATCAAACCATTATTCGAAAACCCTTCTGCGTGAACGTGAATGTAAAACAGGAAAACGTCCGCCAAAGAAGATGACCAAAACAATCCTCATGATATCATTGGAGGAAACTGAAATGACACCTCAGGCCGCAAGGCTTTAATTGAGGCAACGACGGCAATGGCTTCGATAGTCCGCTGTAGCACTCTGATATCAATTCAACGTTCGCGTCTTTTCGTCACGCGTCTTGACGATGATCCGGAGCTTTCAACCGCCAACACTCTATCTAGAACCAAGAATTTCCGTTTTGGTGAGCCGTCTGGTTACTTCCCTTGTTTGCTGTCCATCTAATTGCGCCGAGTGGCGCTGCATCATGCAATGAACGGCACACCTCGCCTGTCCTCTGCGTTTCCAGGCACACCGCAAACGACACGGAGAAGAGGATACGGTCAAGATGGAGGAAACCCACAGTCACGGTCGAGGACATCACCTCTCCTGAAGCTTCCAGCAGAAGATGACTCCCAAGAAGAATACCACCCGGTCATCTCTCCCGATCTCATCGATCCCGCAACCCAACGTCTCTCGGTGCTCGGCGTCTACATAGCGCTTTGGATATGGCGGCTACACGATTTCTACAGTCTGTGGATCGACGATACCGAGTCATTTTGGCTGTTCATGAAATGGGTGGCCATTGACTGTGCCTTTCTTTATGGGTTGTTTGCGCTACATATCCCGTGGCTAGAATGGTCGCCTGCCTTTAGGCTCGTTCTTTTCATGGGCCATGCGGTCTTGGATGGTATGCTCATGTTCAAGATTGGGCTGCCGCTTCAATCATGGATAGTGGCATTTATCAAGACGTTTTGGGACAGCGAGCTAGCAATTTCGGAAAGGCGGGTGAAACCTGGACATCTATTGCATAACGCTTCCTTGATTCTTGGGAAACAGGTCATTCATATCCTGCCTGAAGGGTAAGTTAGATTCAATCATTGAAGTATTGCGACTGACAAGCGTATTAGATCAGCTGCCCTAAATCCCGATGGTACACCGCTGTGCATTGGGACCACCAACCAACCAGTCGAAATGCCGATTCTCATTAACCAGACAACCCCCATTTTCATCGAATTATTGCGCGCGGACCTGAATGAAAACGTTGTGGAGAAGATCGAGATTAACTCTAAAGAAACGAGGAAACTCATGAAACAGGCGCTGAAAGCTCACAAGCCGAACTCCAATGAGCCTATCGTACTGAAGTATCCTATTCGCAAAACTGGGTTGTATAAGCTGTCCAAGATCGTAGATGAGTCCCGACTGGAAGTCCGACCGAGACCATCGACAGTGTATGTTGTACAGTGTCCAGAGGGCAGGTTTAAAGAGAGTGGGAAGAACAAGTGCTCGGGAGAACTGTCAAATTTTGTGCTTGAGATTGAGGGGACGCCGCCGATGCGAATCAAATACCGAAAGGAAGTCAACGGAATTCGAGCTCGAGCGACTTTGCAAGGCATACAGCCTGATGGGTTTATATCACCCCTTTCCAGACACCAATCTTCTGGAGCCCCCTCAGCAGCAGACGCCCCCGACCTCTCATATGCTCAGCCTCACCGGGTCCTGGTTCCCATCAATGAAACTTTGGACGCGAGTGGGAACTGGGTCTATGAGATTGAGCTTGTTCAAGATGCTCTAGGCAATGCTATCAGCTACATCGAGGGTCCTGAGGAATCTTACTCTAGCACCAAAAAGATGGCGCCTACTCAGACATTCGAGGTCCACGATCGCCCACGGGTTTCTCTTGTGGATTGTACCCCGGACAGGCCGTTGCGAGTTGCTCGTGGGCTGTCCGCCCAATTGCCACTGGATTACAGCTCCTCTGGGTCCGTTCTGGACTTCCCATTGTCAGTGGAGTATCGATTTACTCCGGAGGAAGCGCTCCTCCCGAATGGCGAGCACAGCGACAGGTCACCTCTAACGAAGTCGACGATCCGCTTTCGCGACCAGAAGCCTTCTGTTGAGATGCCAGGGTTATACACGATCCAGAGTGTTTCGAGCAACTTCTGCGAAGGGGACATCCACGAACCGTCTTCTTGCACAGTTCTGAATCCGCCTGAGCCCTCGATTTCAGTTTCTACTGAGAATATCTTCGACAAATGTGCGGGCAGTCCCATTGGCCTTCGTGTTTCCGCCGACCTCACTGGAACTCCCCCTTTCCGTGTTCGTGTGCAAATTCAAAAAGATGGGGAGAAACAGCCGAGGGCCGTCTACCACGACTTCAGAAAACTAAAGGGGCAGTTTGAGCTCACTCCGCCGGAGGCAGGCAGTTATACCTACACTATTACGGGGATCTCTGACAGTGTCTATGAAACTCGGCACTTGAGTGACAAAGACCTGGTCATTCGCCAGACCGTCCGACCTGCTGCTTCTGCACACTTCACCAGCTCGACAACTCAACCGGCTTGTATCGACGAGTCTGTGCCTCTTCAAGTGAGGCTGCTCGGAGAGGCGCCCTGGGCGCTTGAATATGAATTGGTTCACGCCGGAAAGAGAAAGCGGCAGAAAGTGTCCAATATTACAGATGAAGAATTTACAATTGAAACGAGCCGGTTATCAACTGGCGGAGAGTACACTGTCGCTCTATCAAGTGTAACGGACAAGAGCGGTTGCAGAGAACTATTGACTGCAGAGACCAAAATCAATGTCCGTCACCAGAGGCCAAAGGCGTCCTTCGGTGTCATCGATGCGAAACGGGCCGTCAAGATTTTGACCGGGAAGATAGTGCAGCTACCAATTCGACTGACCGGGCGTCCGCCTTTCAAGGTGGAATTCACCTGGGTCTCGCCGTCTGATCCTGGCAACGTTGTTACCGATACACAACAGTTCGATAAGCCGAATGGGATTCTCTCAGTAAATAAAGAAGGCACATACGAACTCGTAGGTATTACGGATGTAGATTGTAAAGGGGTAGTGGAACGTCAGAACGGCGCTGGCCTCTTTACAGTCAGCTCCATCCCTCGGCCTCAGCTCGATATCCCAGCCAGCCAACGAGTGCGTAAGGATGAGGTTAAGTACGTCAAGACGGAGGTATGCGAAGGAGACGAGGACTATCTTGAACTCGTCCTATCAGGTAAGAGTTTTCTACTTTTGATCTACGGGAAGTGTTGTACTAACTCGCACCCCAAGGCCAACCTCCGTTCACTGTCAAATATACCGAACATCACGCACCTATCCGAAGTTCAAGCAAGAAGCTCGGGTACCAAAAACCCCTGCAAGGTCAAAAGTCGCTACGAAAACGCGAACTCAATCCGGCTACAGAGAGTGCTTCCATCCGCATGGACACATCCGACGCAGGTGTCCTTACATACACATTCAGCGAGCTAAGCGATTCCAATTACGACCATGATCCCAAACGCCACAACCCCGTTACTGTCGAGCAAACCGTCTTCGAGCGTCCTACCGCATACTTCTCCAATCCTGGGAAGACGTACAGTTGCTGTGCTACCGAGGGTGATGGCGACGAGATCATTCCCGTGGAGCTGAACGGTGTCCCGCCGTTTTCTATCGACGTCGAAATTCGGCATAGTGGAACCGCACGACCGGAGATGTTGACGTTCCGCGGTGTTGAAAAGCGTCAACACGAGCTTCGCATCCCGCACAGCTCGCTGCAGCTCGGTCACTCGAGCCTCATCATCCGCAAGGTTCTGGACTCGAGAGGCTGCCAGAGCAAATCGGAAGTCGGAGTGCCTGCGGAAAGCAGCCGTGTACACATCTCCATGCACGAGGCTCCGTCTGTATCTCCTATGGAGGCAAAGACGGATTACTGTGTAGGCGAGCATCTTGCTTTTGCCCTTTCCGGAAAAGGACCGTTTGAAGTGTTCTACAACTTCAAGAAAGACCGAAAGGCGAAGGTGAGGACCAACGAATTCCGCCGAGTCGCTGATGAAGCGGGTCCCTTCACCGTCACTGGCATCAAGGACTCGTCCTCCAACTGTCGAACCAGCACGCACATCGCCAAGTTCGTTCGGCCGCTTCCGGCGGTGCGGCTGTCCAAAGGCCGTTACTCCGTCGTGGACATCCACGAAGGAAGCGAGGCGGAGATCCTGTTCGAATTCGAAGGCACCCCGCCGTTCGAGTTCACGTACACTCGCAGCACGAACGCGGAGAAGGGCAGGAAGAGCGTGGTGTTGGAGTCTCGGATGGCGACTAGCTACGAATATGAGATGAAGATCAAAGCGAGCGAGGAAGGAACATACGAAGTGATCGCCATTCGAGACAAGTATTGTGGATACTCGAAGCACGGTGTTCAGGGGTCGAGAAATCAAAAGCTTTTGACGGAGTAGCATGGAGATGCGTCTGGCCTGGGGGGCGTGGTTTTCTTTCGTCGATAGATTGTTGGGCAGCATTTCGAGGGCGTTGGACTGGTTCTAGATACCTTGGGTTCATGCAACGTATTTCAGGGCCATCAAAATCTCTAGTTGTATACAGGATATGAAACAACAGAATGAGAAATCGATTTTATCGTAAGCCACGGGTTAGAGCAACCGAAAAGGGAAGTGATATCATCCAATATCCGAAACGCTCTAATTCCAATCCATATATCGCAACGAGTGCTAGCTTCTATTCAACTCTTGTTACTCCATAGCTTTACGGAGCTTTAGGGGTCTCACTTGCATTCCGGCTCCTGATAAATTCCTCCACCTTCCCATTTTCCAACTCATTTACCCTCGGATCCTTAGGCCTCTCCGCCAGCACCTCTTCCTTCTTCTCTTCCTTCCCCGTCAACCCTACTTTCTCTTCCAGCGCCCCCACCGTGTTCTCGATCGCCCCGCCGACCGCCCCGGCAGCCGCCTTCGCCTTCCCCACAACCCCAGGCGTCTCCTCGACCGGATCCGGAACCGGGACAGTCTTGGGCGCCTGCCCTACCGTCTTTGGCTCCATCACCGCCGCCTTGTCTCCGCCAACGTCGTGAGATACGTTTTGGGGAGTCCCCTCTGCCAGTTGGCCTTCCGCATGCGTGCCGGTCTGCTGCCCCTGCTTGGTGACCGACGTCCCCGTCCGAGTAGCATCAGCGTCCGCACCACTCTCCGCTGCTTCGCCATTCTGCTGCGTATCTGCTTCCACCGCTGCGGCCGTGGCAGCGCCGCCACCGTCCACCTCCGCAGGCGTGTTTGCGCGCTCAGGTGCTAGATCGCTCCCATAATAAAGATCGCCGTCTTCCGTCGGTTGCGTATTGGTCCCCGTCGATGGAATGGCGGGTTCTTGAGACCAGTCGATCTCCGTGTTCAGACGTGAAACGCCGTGCATGCCCTTGAAGTCGGCCTTCACGCGTGCAACGACCTGTTCCCTTCGCTTCCTGCCCTCCGAACCGACCGCGATGGCTTCCATATGGTCACCCGGGGCTTCACGCCAGATGATTGGGCCGATGGGAAACGTTTTCTGACCTCCCTGTATGTGGGGAGACTGCCATTGGAGGTGTTCCTTGATAGAAGGTTCTAGAACGGGAAGCATGCCGAATTCGAAGTCCAGTTCGCCGCCATATTTCTTGGGGATATTGGCGATGTCGATGAATTTCTCCAGTGTCGGTTTGACTTCAGACGGGCCGAGGATGAATATTTTGGAGACGGTGATCGGGTCGAACCAGCGCTTGATCCAACTCCAGACGGTTGGGAAAAACACAGGGGCGCCAATGATCTGTAGTCCTTAGCCGATAGTCATATAGAGGTCGGCCAGGATACTTACGAAGATTCTGTCAAGGGTTTCCGGGTAGTGAGCAGTTGCCAGCTGGCTAGCATCTTGCATATGGTTCTTCAAATTCCAGAACGTCCGCAGGCCGACTTTTGAGATGTCGACAATATTGCTGCTTTGAGAGATAGGCGTCTCAAGATGCGGCCTATCCTCCAAGGAAGTGCATAGAGGCATTATAAATCTCGTGAGATTTTCGTACAAAGCAAACAAGCGGAGCATTTTGGTCGGAACTTTAGCCTCGTTATGAGGCACCGTCGTACTCATCGTAACGGATTTCTCATATTCCGATACGGTTTTGGAGTCCAAATGAGCGACTTCAAACAGGTAAACGGGAATCCCTCTCTTGTCTCTCCGACCTGTCCATTGGGGATACTGGTGAACTATTAGAACGTGACGGATACTTAATCAGGCTTCCTATAAATCCTTACTAAGCGGCGAGTCTGTTCGTACTCCTGAGTGTCGATGGTGTCGTATAGATCTTTCAGGTGGTTCGCTTTCCTCCAGTCCTCGGTGTCTTTGAACTGCTTGACCGCTTCACTCGGCACAAACTTTCGGGCCCGCAGGTACCGTCTATGGTTCGTCAACAGCAATTCAAAAGCACGGAATCATCTCTAGCCTTACAGCATGGTCTCGTCATCGTGGCTCGCATAGCTGTAAGGAGCGCCTGTCGACGGCTTGTAATAGCCTGCTTTTTCGCATATCGATTTGAATTCATCCAAGCTCATCTGCTGGGAGTCTGTCAAGTGACCAAGATGTGCGGCGGGATACTGAAACGAATCAACGCGTGAGAGGCTCGATGACGATTCAGCCATTTCGGTATGATGTCGGCCGGGGAGAAACCGAGGGACGTCCACGTCCAATTATCAGGACAAAATTTATATATATATATTCAACACGTGGATATTCACAGTCTCGAGGATGTTGTAAAACCAGATATAAATATTGTGTAGGGTCCGCCGTTAGGAGGCTGTCATATTTCGCTTTCGGTGAAATGCTGACAGAGACTTGTGGCGGGGGACAATTCCAGATATGCAGTATTAGTGAGATGAGATGACGCTAAGACCGGCACTGACCATTGGACCAAAAAGCCAAAGCATTCCCTTTCTTTTTGGCGGACTCCCGCCGTAGTCCGGATCCGCGGCTCCGGGGAGGTCGGGCCCCGCTGCATTGACTGAGAATCTGAGATACATATCGGCATTTTGTGCATGTCGCGGTGGAATGAAACCCCGATACTGCCGACTCCATGTCCCAAGGCTGGAACGCCAGTTAAGGAACACTGATGTAGTGATGTTGATGGGAGGCATGGAGGAAGCACAGCCGCGACGTTATTATATATTATACTGGTCAAAGAGAATCGGCCGAGATCTCGGTAATATTATCTCATAGCATACGGCTTAGAATAATTAGAAGATGCCCAGGATGGTCCTCCATAACGCTAAGTGAGCATGACATCGGACGGGCCGTGATGTGTAGCTGATTACAGAGCTCTATGGCAAGTGAGAACTTAATTAAGGAACATCAGCCATCGGGATATCGGATGGGCTCGATTGATCTCCGATATCCGTCGTGATCTGCTTCCATACCATAAGCTCTCAAGGTACGGAATACCAATCTTAAAGATAGGGGATCGACTTCTATTAGGCAAGACTGTTACTAGCACCGTAGCACGATACCGTGCAGGTGCTTAACTAGGCACATGGGTTACTCCAGCTACCTGCAAGTGTAGTCTGTATTCCGTACGGAGTATACTGTGTATCCTGACTCCTGAGTAGCTATGGCGTGACGACACCAGACGGCGCCCTAGATTCTACCACTTAATAATCGCCGCGGAGCCTCAAGTTTCAGTACATAGTACAAGACCACATCGGAAATGAGAAAACATCAAAGCTGCTAACAGAAGGTCAACGCAGCATTTCCTTATCGGATTCGCCTATTTTTAAATCTATCACCCTACAGTATCATACACCACTGCCTCCCACCAATCAAATCCCAGCGCTGATCTCGGAACTGAATTGCAGAATCCATCACTCCACTCCGCCTGGAACCTTCACTGAACCTTGTTTCAACCTCTGTAACCAGCTGCTCATAACCAATGGGTACACAATGAATCCTTTGTCGTGGTCATGGAGAACGTTGCCTCCACTGTCCGTTGCACAGAACAAGCCGAGGTGCCACCTGACCGATTTACCTGACGAACTCCTCGATCATATCCTCCAGTTCCTGCGGCCCAAGGACGTTTGCGCCGCGCAAGCGACCTGCCAGCGACTCCATGGCGTCGCAACCTCCAACCTCCTCTGGCAACGCTTCTGCGTCGAAGACTTTCGGTTCTGGAAGGATGTCGATCTGCTTCGGGAGATGCTTGACCAGCCGCCGGCTGCGAACGATTGGAAGGAGATCTACACCTCGCGGATGCTCTTGAACGCCGCGATCTTGAAGCGCATGGCGCTGCTGCAGAATAATCCGACGCACAAGCTGCAACATTTGGATTGGCTCCTGATGCTCGAGTTCGATGCGAAGGATATACTGCTGGAGCAACTACATGCGGATCCGGAGGTTGGAGATGGGATGGCGGTACGATACTGGAGCAAGGTGGTGTTGTCGGCAATTCACAAACAAAAGTCGGTGAAGATATGGGGCGACCTGCACAACGGACGGGATATCGAGCTCGAGAGTGCATTGGCGGGACTGGATCTATGTGCGCTCGGGTCCCTATCCATGACCGCGGAGATCGGTCCGGAGCTGGACGACCTGGCGGAACGCTTCCGCCAATATACACCGGAACATGGACGCTTATCAACAAGAGAAACTGCAGTTGCTCTGGCTGCGTTTCTCCGGGATCAGGGGTTTCAGGGGGTCCCTGAGGCGGATTACCACGAGCTCCGCAATCGGTTCATTGGGATTGCGCTGCGACATCCACACCATCGGGCACTACCGCTCGTGAACGCTGCGATATACTGCGGAGTTGCGAGGCGGCTGGGGATCACTGCCCATCCGACGGATTTCCCGCTTCACATCATGGTGATTGTGCAGGCGTCAGAAAGCAAGACGCTGGACGGACGACCACTCACCGACGAAGCAACCGACGATCAAAAGCGCATGTTCATGGACCCATTCCGAGACAGCAGGGAGCACTCTGTGGAGGAGCTGCGCGGCCTCCTGTCCGCTATGGAAGTGCACCCCGACTCCTGGCCCGACTTCATGACGCCCGCGTCCACCATCGACCTCGTCCTCCGCAACGCTCGCAACATCCTCAACGGCCTCCACCGTCATCGACACTACGACTTCCCGCAAAACATCGATCCCTGGGGCGCCACCGGCGAAGCCGAGCACCCGACCGACGAGGACCTACTTTACAGCTCTGTGTGGGCACAACTGATGCTCTCCCAACAACCGCAGGACGTGCGGCGACTCGCCGACTTCTACGCGGTGCGGCTGCAGGACGAACGCAAGTACGACGTGCCACTCATCGAGAAATACCTGCTCACCGAGGACGGGCCGCACACGCAGTCGACGCTGACGTTGAGCACGGTCTGCACGCGAACGCGCCTGGACGACATGCGTTCGGTGACGGTAAAGCGGAGGAACACGGCAGAGGTGGGCAGGGTGAAGTACCGGGTGGGGCAGATGATGAAGCATGCGAGATACGGGTATACCGGGCTGGTCGTGGGATGGGACTCCAAGTGCGAGCAGAGCGAGGAGTGGATCCGAACGATGAATGTCGATGCCCTTGGAGGGGGAAGAAGTCAGGCGTTTTATCTAGTAAGGTGAGTGGTATATCGATTCCTCCCACCCCCACTATGGATAGGCGGAATACCGGTATCGCTCCGGCATACATCGGAAGCTAACCATGGATCTAGGGCTTCAGATGGCCACACCAAATATGTTGCGGAGGAGTCCATCAAGGTGTACATGGGCGAACCGTCGGACCGGACGATGCGCGGTGCTGGGGAGTTCTTCCAGCGGTTCGACCAACAGACGCGGGAATTCATCAGCAATATTCGGGACGAGTATCCTGACGATTGATGACAAAGGGTTTACCATAGGTATAGGTCATGATTGAATGAAGTACAGGTATTACCGTAATTACCGTATGCAGAGACATGGTCAAGCGCAGCAGCACATGTTCGAATTGCCGCAACTAAATGCATGTGTATTTGCATCGACGTTCCCGGGCGCCTGACTACAATGAACTTCCGTGTCGCCAACAAGATTTCATACTCCATTCGCAGCAATTAAAATCAGTCTGGTGGTCTTCTGGGGCGTCTGGCCATCGGGGCTGGATCTGCGCATAGTCGGCATGAACAACGACCAATGTCTAATATATTCCCCATTTACCCCATTTACCCCATGTTTTATGTGACATTGCAAGGAAAGTCGTAAAGTCGCATTCAATCTAGATCATCGGAAAGTGGCAAGCGAATGCCTTCTTTCATATCCAGTGCAATAATGGCTTCCGATAATTAATAGAAAAGGGCTTTTGTACATCCACGTAAAGGTTGCACGTCGGAAGAGCAGCCATTCAAAGTCAACCATCTAGATTCTAAGTTCGAACCCCTGCCTGTTGGCCAACCACCTACTTGGCCAGTATCACCATCTTAGCCACCATCATGAAAACCGTGACATCTCTACCACCACGTAATTATATTGAAAATTCAAACCATAGGACTATTGTACAGCATCTTGGGGAGCGTCTGGTATAGTTTCAGCCACGGGAATACTCTGTTCTAGTATAGTATTTGCCTCCAGAAGCCGTACAGCCTCTTGCGCTACTTTGATCTCTTTAATCTGTGCGAACTTAACATTGGGATCTATCCGAACCTTCTT